AAGTACCTATATATGCTAATTACGGAAGCAAAGTCGTTCCATATACGTCCAGCAGAACAAAGATAAATAGAAATTTGACACTTTTCCTTCTTCGCACATTTAGAAAAAGATGTTCCCGACAATTAGTGACACATTTATTTTCTATGAGTTTCTATAGCATTAATTTTTTTCAGTGTAGTGACATTTTGATAAAATCATCTGATTTGTCCTTTCTATACACATATCATGTTCAAATCATTTCATATTTTCATTCACAGAAGCGGAGATAGAAAATCCCAAAAAATCTAAAGAAATGAATAAAATCATTCCAAGAGCAACAAAACAACTGTTTATAATTCAACAGACCATTATTGTCCCTATCATTCCTAGGTACGCAGGATGTTCCTTTCGTGCACTCCAATAGACAAAAAAACGGGCCTCCAACATTTTATTCGTGGATTACATATTCTTAATTTGAGAATATGAAAGACGAATCAAACCACATTATTTTGAAGTCCTCAAAATATTATTGAAAAATCTGAGCTGATGCGATATTTCAATTTGATTTCAAGTATTCAGAACCCAGCTTATACATATAATTTGGAATATTTAAGACTGTTCTTTTCAATCTTGGAAAACTATGAAAATAAACTGTATTTTTCGATGATTATGCCTCGAATCATAGAGTTTGAGTACTTACTGAAAATAAAAATGTATATCCGATAGAAGCTGGAAGAACGAGTGTTATAAGGAAAGATTATGTAGAAATAGTAATTTTCAAGTGGAAAGGAACGATTACAGAAAGAATTAAATAATGTGAAAATATAAATATCTTCATCACATTCTTCTCTTCTCTCCGCCAGTGACTATCACCCCGTTCTTTGTGAAGAAGCATTACGCATTTCTGTGTTCGACCATTTAATCGACTATAGCGTTTAACCGGGAAGTAAATTTACACCCCCGTTTGAAAGCATTGTGATATCATCATTGCATTAGTCTATTGAAACGGGGGACATGGAGACAACCCTATCTTTTATATAAATCTTCATAGTGATCGCGAATGCATGCATTAGCGTTTTTAAGAGATGTTTGCCGTATACCTATACTATGATTTGTAGATAAATCACTATTTTGATTTGTCCATAACAGCATTTTTTTAAATATATGTACCTATAGGAAGCGTTCTTATGGTCAACAATAATATTTAGCATCCAAATTCAAAAATTCTCATATATAAGTATTCGGAAGCTGTAACAGTCCAGATTAGTCCATAAGACCGTGATTTTTGCCAATTAGAACAGTTCTGTAAGACCAATATTATCTGAGATTGAGTAAAATATAAACAATCACGCAGCAGTACACGTCAAGAAGGACTTTTTTGTCATATATAATACCACAAGTGATAATATTTTGCCGGAAATATTCGGTGATTGTTACGACAGCTTGTTGCCTAGTAATTTCGTGAATGACATTGTTATCAAAACTACGAGCCGTAGGCGAGTAGTTTTGGATCAATGTCATGAGCGAAATTAGAGCAGCAAGCTGGAGTATGTCAATCGACGAATATTTCCAGGAATAATAGTATCACGAGTTGAATTCGTATGACTATTTCATGATTGGATGAGACAATATATATAAAATAGGAAACATAATTTAAGTATATTTCAACTCGAACTGCAAAGAAGACAATAATGATAGTAATGAAATACAAAATTTACTTTTTTAGAAATTAACTACCTATACTTATAGTTATATTCACAAAGTGGAATGTACAATTTTGATAAACAGTATCTTTTTATTATCTTGGAGATGGTTGGTCTCAAAAGAGTGTATATAATTACTATCCAATTCAAACGAAATAAATTGAATTTATTTGACATGGAATAATTATAAAAAAAGATATCGTCGCCGAGGGCTCGAACCATCGACCTTCGTATCCTCGCGCAACAACCCTAATAGTTGCGCTACATCAGCCTGTGATTATATTAGTCAGTCACAATGACTTGAGTAATTGAAAAAGGATTTGAATTCTACGAAGCCCTGGAAGGGACACATAAAATAAAAAAAATAAAAACTCTTCAAAATTCTGAGTTATAACTCGGAATTTTAAAATTCCGAGTTATAACTCGGAATTTTACATCAAAATTCCGACTTATATCTCGGAATTTTAAAATTCCGTGTTATAACTCGGAATATTGGATGTAAAATTCCGAGTTATAACTCGGAATTTTAAAATTCTACTAATGAATGATACTATAGGTATTTCCATCGAACCCAATATAGTTACAAAGAATAGTATAGTTATTTGTTTAACTAGGCAGCAAAGTAGTAGATTGACTGCCGAGGCTGAATTCATATGGTAGCGAGGCTAGGAATCCAGCTAAGGCAGTCAATCTACTTTGCTGCCGAGTTGAACATATAATTTTTTCTCTGACTGTTCATAATGATATAGGAGGATATTGTAATTGCAAATTTTACAATTCCCACAATCTCTTGTTTTTTCCTGTAGTGTTCAATTAAAATGAAATTTGATAGAAATCGCAGTTGTCCATGATAATTATAGTTTGACAATTCATGAAAATTCTGACAGTTGTGCGAAAAAATATCGGTATATTCAAATTATTATATAATGGACAGTGATATAGCGACCTGGAAGTACTCACACCTCCAGAAATAAGGGAGTGGAGTTGAATTTGTTGCCGGAGAAGTCTCGAATAAAATATGAAGGAAATTATAAACGATTTATGGATTATTAATTTTGCTGATACATATATATCAATCAGCAAAGTACCCACTTTTAGTGGTGCCCGCGAGAGTCTCGTTTTCGAGAGTCTCGCATGGTCTCGTCTCGTTTTCGAGACGAGACTCGGACAAGACGAGACGAGACTTTTATTGGTCTCGTCTCGAGTCTCGTGCAAGACTTCTCGTGTCTCGTGCGAGAGTCTCGCAGATAAATTTTTCTGCGTGCCGACTGCAGACTTGGGAATTTCATTCATAATAAAACATATTTAGAAAGAATTCTACTTATAAGAAAACATCTAATGAAGCTGCACGATGTTTGTTGTGAGTTAACGACTGGGTGAAAAACAAAAACATTTGCGATCGTGAAGGCTGATCTGACTGATAAAGGTTTTTTCTCCAAGCGGCAGAGATAATGGCTCTTTCCTGCCGCTCAACAGGCAGAAAAGGTGTACTTTTACTGCCTAGGCAGAAAATGTTTGTTGATATGCAACGTTTTAAGAAATTCTTATGACAAAAATTGACACTGACTTTGGGTGAACACAAAATGATGGAGATTTCAATAAAAAATTACACGAGATTGGTTTTATATCATTCGGAGAAAAAATTCTATGCTTCACAATGCACCAAATGTAGATTAACTACTCTTCTGCCTAGTAAATCAAATAACTATTTTCTTAGATACCTATTTTGCAAATAAGTAAAATAATGTTGGAAAAAGGTTTTTGTTTTGTTTATTCGTTAAGAATATGTAGAATAGAATAGAATAGAAAAACATTTATTGTGTAAATATCTTACATCATATAAATATAATATAAATATACTACACAAAAGGTGGCATTCGTTTACACGTTCTACCATACCACCACTCGTTATGAGTAAAAAGCTCAAAATAATAAAATCTAGATGGTTAACATTCATAAAAACACTAACGAAAACAACAATGTCTTGAATATAAAAAAAATAAATTAATAAAATAGAGTTAATTAATTAATTAATATAAACTTTTGACTAAGTTTTTATCGCATTCTATGTCTGAATACTTAAAAGGTAGTCTCTCCATATTCTTCTAAAGCTAGCTACAGATCTGTTCTGAGTTCTAAGATAGTATTCTGGGTTATTTAAAAATTCTATTCATACATAGGCAAAACAGTATTCAAATTTGGTGGTATTGTGCTGTGGGATGTTATATCTTATGATGTTTCTGAGGTTATGCTGGTTATGTAGTTCATGATGTGGAGTTAGAAAATCTGCTAAATATGCTGGTTTATTATCATCTATGATTTTTTTTAAAAATACTCCAAATAGTAGTTGATAACGATATTCAATTTTCAGGATGTTGTTGCTGTTATATACAGGGGTTATATGATCATATTTGTAAATGTTGTGTACATATCGGATACATATACATTAATGATATTTTTTTGTTCACATGAGGTTCAAAATTAAAATTGGAATCAAATATCAGTCCAAGATTTCTAGCACTTTCCTTATAGGGTATTTCATTGTTTTTGATATGTAAAGTAGTGAAGTGAATATGTATACGTGTTACTTTTTATTTCATTTTTATAACTTTCAAATATATAATGCTATGTTTTTTTTTCTTGTTTAGATGTAAGATGTAAGTATGTATACCTATTAGGTACTTACTTTTCAATAAATAATGTTATTTTTGTAGTAATTTTCTCTTCCTACTTCCCTTATACCTAAAAAGTAGGTAAAGGTATATATCCCGTACTAGACTGGAACAAGATTATGCATGACGAAATTGCGATACATCTGCGAGACTCTCGTACGAGACGTGAGACAAGACGAGACTTGGGGCTGCGAGACGAGACTCGAGACAAGATTTCATATTCCATCGGTGAGACGAGACGAGACTTTATGAAAGTCTCGTCTCGTTGGTCTCGTGTGAATCACTACCCACTTTGTTGCCTAGGCAGGAAAAGTAATACCTTGCTGATTGATATGTGTCAGCAAAATTAATATTTGCTGCCAATCGGAGAAAAATACATTTACGAATGCAGAAGTTACAGGGGTGGACCGATACCTCGTGTCACCCAGTATAAGCCAAGTCGAAGTGTCGACTTGTCGAGAGTCGAGAGTGGGTGTTTGCATGAGATGTGTGAGAATTTGTCGACGTCCAAGGATTGACAAGTCGTATAATTCCTGGAGACTATCGAGTGTCGAGGTGATCGGGCCTGTGGAACGTCTGTGGTCGAGACTCGAGATATCATGGCATCAAGGTCTCAAAGCCAAAAAATAAGAAGAAGAATAGAAATGACAATTGACATACCCTTCAAATCAAAAGAAAACAGGTTAGCTGTTATTTTATTTTCAAATATCTATTTTATTATTTATAAAAAAGAACACTTTAAAATCTTTTCAAAATGTCTGGTGGTATGTTATATGGTGGTGATGAAATCGGTGCTTTGGTCTTCGATCCAGGTCATCATTCATTACGAGTGGGTTATGCTCAGGAAGATACACCAAAGGCTGAAATACCCGCTGTGGTCGGGGTTGCCTCGGATGATGTTAAAACAGAACCCGAAATTAAACCTGAAGAAAATAATGTTTCATCAACTCCGTCTTGTAAGTATTCTCCTGTCCATATAGCATCTATAAACTTATGAAAGCTTCTCATAATTTCCAGCCAATAAGTACTATATTGATACAACGTTTTTGCACTTGCCAAAACCCAATATGGAACTCCACAGTTACATGAAAGATGGAATGATTGAGAATTGGGACTTGTTTGAACAAATTTTAGATTACTCATATGAAAAGGTTGTTATAATAGCTTGGTTATTAGATGTATTTGACTTTAATTGTTTTGTTGCTTTTTAGATTATACAGTCTGAATCTCACTTCCATCCTGTTCTGTTTTCTGAATCTCCTTGGAATCAAAGACAGAAAAGGGAAAAGTTGACAGAACTGATGTTTGAAAAATATAAAGTACCTGCCTTCTTTTTAGTGAAAAATGCAGCTTTGGCAGCATTTGCCAATGGAAGGGCAACTGCCTTAGTTATTGACAGTGGTGAGTAGGTAGTCAAACCAATAAATCAGTGATATTTCTTGAATAAGATCATCAGATGGGAGTATACATAGAACATCAAATATTTTAGGGGCAACACACACTTCAGCAGTACCTGTCCTAGATGGCTATGTTATAACCAATGCAGTAGTCAAATCTCCATTGGGAGGTGACCTGTTAGTTCTTCGAGCTAGGGAAATGTTGGAAAGTATTGGGGTAGATTTAACTCCAGCTGCTCTGATTGCCAGCAAAGAAGTTATCAGAGAAAAGGAAAAGCCCAAATTCACTAAGAAGAAATTCAATTTTCAGCCAACCAATTCTTGGATGACCTACATGGTGAAGAGAACTGTGCAGGACTTTCAACAAACAGTATTACAGGTAATGAGTACATGAAGATTCAACTGACAATTTTCAAAACATAACTATCAGGTATAATTGATTCAACAGGTTAGGTAATGCTATTTTGTTTTTAAGGTGTCTGAAAATCCTTATGATGAAAAGGTAGCTATGAACATTCCAGCTGTTCAGTATGAATTCCCCACTGGATACCATCAAGATTTTGGCCCAGAAAGGTTCAAATTAGCTGAAGGTCTATTTGACCACCCTATGTTAGGGGCAGGATATATTGGTGAGTGAATTATTTAGCTCTGGTTATGAAGAACAATATCTGTACAAAATTTTGATCCAAAGATGTGATTTCCATTTTGATCAAAAGGTTGATTTTTACTTGGGATATGCAGATGTGTATCTATCCCCTGGTCTATCCCTATGCCTAGAATATTTTTTCAATTTTATATAGATGATGTTTTCTCTGGTTTCCTCTTTATAGCCTCCACAAGTGCAGGAATGTGTGATGTAGACATTAGGCCAGCTTTATATAGTTCAGTTGTGCTGACAGGGGGAAATTCCCTTGTACAGGTGAGTCCATTTGTGTGATTGTGGATTATTTTAATTCTATCTGTCTTTATATGTATTTCTAAGTTGAAATGATTGGAGAAAGTTCCCTTTAGTAGGGACTCTGCCTTTAATGTGCCAGCAATGATGAAATCACAGCCAATGATCAATTATACAGATTAACAACTCTCAACAGTGTCAACTATCAATTTTGAGAGTTTTTACTATTCTTGTTGTAAATGTGCATTTTCCACTTTATCCTTCTCTGAAACTGAAATGTATGTACACTCTACTGGAATTCATACAAACAGCAGTAATAAATACTATTATATTTTATTATTTACCAGTTAACACTATTGTCAGACATGCCATAATCTGTACATTTGTGAAAATCTTAAAATTCAAGTATTTTCACTTTTTCTCAATAATGAACTAATCTTTACAGAAACAATAATAAGGTACAGTCATATTCAATAAGAAATTCCCAATAGCCCGTTTTATGCAGAATAGGATGAAGTTAATTTCTCTCTGTAATATACTTGTATGCTTTTTTTTTAATGCTGTACAACTTGAAATACCAATTTTTCAACATGGAATCAAAATATTTCGCTTCAATTTGATATCATGATTCTTATACAAAAATCTGAGCACAAACATTGAGTATTGACACTTATAATCAAGGGCACAGATTAGATTTCTAGAATCCAACATAAAATCAGTCACTTTCTACATCAAGGTACCAAAATATAAAAAGGTTAACAACTCATTATTATTATTATTTTGTTCATTTTCAGTAATTATAATATGTTTTCCCATGATAACTCAGTCAATTTTTTTAATTTGCTGTCAATTAATGTCGTCATAGATAACTTATAACGTCACAGATGCCCCTGATGAAATATAGATTTCAACTGAATATAGGATCGATTAAGTTATGATAGTAATAAGGTATAATAAACTTCGGTTTTTTAATTCTCAATTTCATTTCATGGTCAACTTCCATGTGAAAGTCACATCATTATACTGCAGTTGCAAATCACTGTATTACTGATCCTACAAGTTCTGTAGATTTATCCTATATCACCACCATAGTCAAATAACCTCATGATTTGACATCTCCCTCTTTGAATTCATCATCAATAAATAATCAGTCCTATCATGTATGTAAAAATAAAGAACCATCACAACTGAAACATAGAATGGCCTGAATTGTACAGGAATGTCTACTATAAATGACTTATACGCCGGGCGGTAAAGTACCGCTTTACACCCGCAAACCAGGGCGGAAAAGTGCTACTTTACGCCTGGTCGTGCATAAAAAATTTCATGAATGTGGACACTATCTGAAACACCTAATTTTATATCTCAGGGATTTAGTGATAGACTGAGCCGAGACCTATCCTCGCGGACTCCAGGATCGATGCGACTGAAGATGATCGCAGCCAACGGAACTGTGGAGCGGAGATTCGGTGCGTGGGTTGGTGGATCTATTTTAGCTTCGATCGGCACCTTCCAACAGATGTGGGTGTCGGCACAGGAGTACCAGGAGTGTGGGAAGGCCCAAATCGATCGAAAGTGCCCTTAGATTTTCATCTATCAGACTATTTTTTATTATCACAGTTCATACCATAATTTCAACACCCAAAGTTAGATTAAGTTTACAATCATATTTTTACAGTAATTCAATAAACATTGAGACCAATATACATAAATACGTTGTTTTATTTGGGTATGACTGAAGAGACATTCAAAAATCGAAATAGTTCCTCAGTCTGGAGCGGATATTTCATAGCAGTGATTTTTATATTACTAATTATGAAAGTTAAAGATGGGAGATGGGGTAAGTGAGCTGAGAATAATAAACCTAAATAGACTTGTAGGTATAGTTCTGAGATGTTTATAATTCCTAGGATAAAAACATCTCATAACTAACACAGCTGTTTTTTTTTTGAGGTTATAACTCTTTGGAGACAAGCGGCGTTCACTGTGGTAAAGTTGTGTTGTGTTTTGTGTTCGAAATAATTTCGTACTTCTTAGCCAGTTTTCAGATAGTGCCAGTAGGGGCACACACGCTCATTCGTATATCGTCGCTTGCGAGAATTGACAAGCCCCGGGGTTTATCGCGGGAGAGAGAAGGACATATAATGCCCTCTCACTCGCGAGAATGCATTTGGCACATAGCCGAAGCACAGTACTTCATCATACTTCGTCTCGTAAGCAACTGGTTGGCTCAGTAGGCAGAGCATCGGCATGCCAAGCCGGCGGGCCGGGGTTCGAATCCGTGCGAGGCTCATCTTTTTTTTATTTTTTCCTTGTCTCAAGTGATTTCTAAAAAATATTCTCTATGGGAAATAGGTTCATTTAGGGGTTTTCTATGTTTGTGGTTTAGGCCAGAGGTGAGGTTCGGTTAGGTTAGGTTAGGTTAGAATAGAATAGAATATTTTATTTGGTGTTAATAAACATTAAGTTTTACACAGGTCAACGAAACAAGTACAGATATACTCATTAAATAGATAGGTTAGGTTTTCTCATTTTTTATGCAGAAACAATATTTTCCTTCCTCAAGAAAAATTCTCCTTCTTCAAGAAAAAAGGTTCATCTGAGCGAGAGCGAGTTATACGTCCTTCTCTTTCCCGCGATGAACCCCGGGCGTTGATTGATATATTACGCTTACAAGCGTAATATATCAATCAACGCCCCGGGGCTGGTCAATTCTCGCTCGTCGCTTATCCTTGGCTCTTGGCTCATTCCCGATGCGTCGTGGTTTTAGACACAGCCTATCTGATTATCATACTGTCAACGTCCACTCTAAGTTTTTCTAACCTAGCAAAATCCTCTCTCTTGGTAAACAATAACAAATAACAATTATTATTGTAATGAAAGGAAGATTAATGGGTCATACCAAGAAATAGGATTCAGTGGGCTCTATGAATTTCTCGCTCAAATATGACAATTCGTTATGCCAAGAGAAAACAGGTAAAGATAACAACCCAAAGCCAACATTTCATAACTAGTTCTACTACTTCTGTAGTGTCTACTTTGGTAAATAATTTCATTGGATTTTCAGTCAATGTAGGAAATGGGAAAAACAGCGCAGGAATCGTTTGACTGAAGCATTCTCAGCACTAGCTAAAGTTCTCCCAAGCTATGATCCTTGTGTAAATATATGCAGAATAGATATATTGACAAATGCCCAATCCACCATCAGACAACAGCAGGATGAGTTGAGCAAGATCAGTTTTAACAAAGAAGGCAGTAAAAGTACTAAAGGTTATTACAGATTACACTCAGTTTTAAAATTTTATATTGTTTTCAATATAATATTGTCAATGGAATTTTGAAGTGCAGGTTTCATTTGAAGAAATTTGTTAAGAAGGTTATCACATTTTCAGGTGATATCTTCAGAAGGTTACAAGAGAGAATCAAGAAGTTGACATTGCGAAATGAACAGCTCAGAGAATTACTCACAACAGCTGGAATTACAATTCCAAAATCTATTGAAACATTCCCAGTTGGAAATACCAGATTCAAAAAGGGAACTCCAGAACAAGCTAAAATATTTCAGAAAAAAGAAATGGAAAGTGAGTGTCATAGTTGTTCAATACATTCAATCTGAATTAATATGTTTCACAATAATTTCAGAAGAAAATAAATCCACACATATCAAGAAGAAAAAAGTAAAATTTGCCAGTGCACCTGTGACACTGAAAAGACCAAAACCTGATAGTAAGCCACTGAACAAATTGCCCACTAAAAAAAGGAAAACTGAGAAAACAAGTACAGCTGCCCCTTGCCTACTTGTCTTGTCACAACCCCCAATAAATGCTGGCATCAATAACTCATGCTTCCTGTTATCAAATCAACAATTCACTCCAACAAAAAGTAAGCAATCCAACCATTTAATAGTAATTTATAAATTAAACTTCAAAAGTCCCATATTTTCCTAGATATTATATTTGATTTTCTAGTTATAGGCAAAGCACTGGGGAGTTTCTATTAGCAGAAGGTCAGAAAAGAATGAAATTGTGGGTTGGTAGAGATAGGTTCCCTGATAGTCCACCTGAGTTTGCAACCAGCGTGGGGGGGGGGAAAGAAACTTTGACTCCCAGTGCTTAGTAGGTATGTGCTATTGAAAAAAAGGTTCAAATGAAATATGTAGAGAACAAAATTGTGCACAACTTTGGTACCTGCATTTTTTTCACTCTGACCAATAGTTTTTACTCTACAATGCACCAAAGGTAAAGGGTAGTATGCAATTATGCAACACAATTGAAAAAATGCCAAGGATCTTTGCAGAATATCTCAAATTACCAAATCCTGGGATTTTTACAGGACATTGTTTTCGGCATTCTAGTGTGTCCCATTTAGAGAATAGTGGTGGTGAAATCCTCAGCAGATGCTGAAGGTGACATATTATAAGCATAGATTTATAAGCTTTTGTGATGAGAAAAATTGAGGTAGGTAGCTCAAATGTTTTTTCCCACCCTACAACTTCTACAACACATTCTGATGCATCTACTTCACAGTCACATTGCACAAGCAATTTGAATAATCAGACTAATAAAGCATCCCAACAGAACACTATTGATAGGTAATAAGTGCTCAAGAATCTCAAGATATCTATACTGCAATTTTCCAATGTTATATTTATTTGTTGCATTACTTTCGGTCTGTCTCTAGACACTAGTATGTCTGACAGTTTGACGTTGACATTACCATTACCAACCTTGAAACAAGATATTCAGTGTGTCATAATAGAAGCTGTCTTGATCTACACACAGATACACATTTGGGTGTCATAATGAATTCATTGAAGATGCAAAATAGAAGTTATATTTTCTTGTATCATATTTGCATATAACGAACAGTGACGGCTCGTCAGGGACGGCAGGGTCGGCCGGGCCGTACCAAATAATTTGGGGAAAATTACTGAACTATTTGATGAATAAAATTATTTTCCGAAATTGTTTTCATAATTCATCGCTCATTATCCTACTGTTATGCCACTATTATTTGAATTTCATTCATGGAACCTTTGAGTATGCCATCCGCATATACACCGAAAATCACGAACTAATTCAGGACCTACGACATCTGGTAATCCCATCGTCAAAACGCCGCTTTCAGTCGAAACGCTCGCGTAGCTCATTACACTGATGCAGACGGCCGGCCGATCAGGGCCGATCGGTGATTTCATGTCTCGACGCATCGCCACAGGCATCGCCTACAGATTCCCTGCTTCAAGTTTAAATTTTCGCTTATACGCGTCATACCTTGGGTGCGGCCAAGCTCTGCTGGCCGTCCAACGTATCGATCGTACTTATCAGTATCAGTATCAGTTGTTTGCAGTGCGCTCGCTGTGCACCGTATCGAACCATTCCGACCTAATTTTTAATATACGGATTGGCATGATTGACATTCTATTTTCATTTTACATTGTAGGTATTTATAATTTTAATTCCTATACTTATTTGTGAGTTGATGTTGGAATTTGAAATGTACAAACTGAAAAGAAAAATAATTTCCATGTTTTTGTTTACGCTTGCAGTTGTTGCAGTAAAAATGACTGGTGATTTTTGAATTTGCAATTTTTCAGTAATTCATAATTCAACATATCCATCTAATATTGGTATCAGAATTTTCCTTCAGTGCTTCTGAGCGTCAATAAGTTATAATTCAATTTGAATATTGCTGTAATGTAACCTACTGTGCCCAGTGCCTCTGCCTATGTAGGTAATATGGCAAGAAAAATGTCAGCAGTCCAAGAGCTGAGTAGGCATTGAAACATCGTAAAAAAGCTCTGGTGACGAAAATGTAATAAATGTATAACTTCCAGAATATCATTTATTTTCAAAGACGCATGTAGCGGTTATAAACTACCTAAATAATATTTATGCATCCATCGCATCGCGGGAAACATTATACCTACGGCTGCACCCTGCACGCGGGCTCGGCCAGCCGACTACGAAGGAGTGGGGTCAGTGGGGTGGCTTGTTACAGGAACGGCGTAGCGTAGACAGATTAGATTAGTCATTGTTGTGCTTCTCGCGTTAGGTGAGTGGTTGTCGGTTATGTTGATTTTTTTGAGTTTACATTACGTTTTCAACAGAATATAAATTTTTTATGTTCACGAGTTATTTTATTTTTATTTTCTTTCATTTTATTTTTTCGACTTTCTTGTTATTATTTTTTCATACCAACAAACCCTTATCCACCTCCTTTTTCTTTCCCCATTTCCCCTGGCGAGAATGCTCTAACCTCGTGGTTCTTGCTGGACAATTTAATTTTTTAGTTATGTGTACAGGGTGATTCACCATAAATGTTCCCCCCTCTAGCTCAATTATTTTTAACCGATTTCAAAATTTGAAATATCATCTTGAATGATTTTTGATTGACTTTTTTTCCGCTACATCAGAAAATACAGGGTGCTCAGAACAAACGATCTACAGGGTACCATTTGATTTTTTTATATGGAACACCCTATTTTTCATTGTATTTTTAGATTCTCCCTGAAAAGCTGATTTGCTCAATGTATCACACTTGGGGTCTATCGGGAATGATTACAGAGATATAGGGTGTTCAAAATCGAGATTTTTCAACTTTAGGATTTTTTTGAGACGAAACTATTCATCATCGGTCAAAACGGCTTTCATGTCCATAACTCAACTTTTGATTTACTATCTACTGACATTTAATAATTGGAACAGATACAGGGTGATCAGAATTCTGAATCTTTAACCACCCTGTAAATGTTCCAATCAAATCTCAATAGACAGTTAATCAAAAATTAAGATGGAAACATAGGAGCCGTTTCGACCAATAATGAATAGTTTCGAGACAAAAAAATCCTAAACTTGAAAAATCTCGATTTTGAACACCCTATATCTCTGTTATCATTCCCGCTAGACCCCAAGTGTGATGCATTGATGAAATCAGCTCTTCAGGAAGAATCTAAAAATACAATGAAATACAGGGTGTTCGATTTGGAAAAATCGAGTAGTACCCTGTAGATCATTTGTTCCTGATGCAACGGGAGAAAAAATTCTGAGAAATCATTTTAGATCATCCTTCAAATTTTTAAATCGGGTCAAAAATAAGTGAGCTAGAGGGAGAAAGGACAATTATGGTGAATCACCCTGTACATGCTTATTTGCCATCGAACTTCACTCAAGCCGCTGACCCACTTACGTTCGCATTTTAGAGCAATATCTATATACCCTGGCCGACCCAGGTTCTGAGGGCACGAGCCGTCACTGATAACGAAAATGAAAATGAAAAAGTTATTGTATACGTATATACACTAATGAATATTGATTAAAAATTGCTCAGATTGATGTAATGTAGGGGGGCAGACTTTGAAAAATATCTTTCATTATTAATATATGAATTATATGAGTATATCAAAACGGGCATGAGCCGACTCTCATAGCAAAAAAATATTTCAGAATTGTTTGGTAGCCATCTTTTTCTTAAAATCCGTGATGAAATTCGGATTGTGTTGAAATGTTAAAAATTGCAAATCACCCGCAACTTTGGCCGGCTGTACAGCAAAAACTATTGGTGTGAGTGAAAAAGTTGTGCACAATTTTGTTGTTTACGTATTTTATTTGAATTTTTTCTACCCCAACGGTGCTATTCTCGTCCAAGTGCCGCGAGTCGAAGTTTTCATCCCGTCACGCCACGAGCGGCAACCCCCTGAGGTCGCAAACTCAGGTGGACTATCCGGGAACCTATCTCTACCATTCTAAAAATAAAACATGCTATTTTTTCTGCAATCGAAATAATTCAAATCTGATTATTGAAATATAAGTGAAAATACCACTATTTTGAGTCACTTGAGCATGTCAGTGTCAAAGCAGCTATCACATCAGCTGTCATCAGACACGTTTTTAGTTCCTAGAAGTTGAACGTCAACTTTAGCTCCTAGACAGTGAAAGTGTTGCCTAGCAACATACATACTAATCATTTTATTGTGTCAGTAAGAGAAACGTCAACTTCAGGAGCTAATTTTGAAATAAAAATTGACGATTTTTGAGCCCATTGCAGAAAAATGTAATTCCTTTCCGACATTCTGAACCCGTTTTTTTTTTCAATCGCCTGGCCTATTATTATATCAGGAAAAGATTTCTTACATAATGATTTTAGATTTTGAAATATGCAGACTCCAGTTTAGTTTCCATCATGCATATGAATTATCCATATTTCATATGAAATCTGTCTAATTCCTAGTAAATATTCCAAGATAAAAGGTCCATATGTGGGTTTATTTGTATAAAATGAAAATGAAAGTTTGAAATAATTCAACCTCAGCACAAATCATTCAAGGATATTGCAGAATTTTTGACAGATTTCATGTGAATGGCAGAACATTCCTCTGCATGAATTATTCATTGGGACTTAATTTATTCAGGCATACCATCAGTAGCAAAAATTTCATCAACCTTTCCCATTATTAATCCTCCACTATCATCCCTTGGACCAGGTACCTTGGTTCTAGCTAATGGCACTGTGCTTCCAGTTGTTCCCAAACAACAAGTTTTTATATCAAATACACAGTATACTTTGAAAAAAACAAAATGTATGACTGGAAATTCAGTGAATATACCAAAAACTAGTAGTCAAATAACACATAATAAATGTGAGAAGCAAGATCCTCAAGCCAATAAAAGTCGGTTAATCAGACCCAAAAAATATTGTGTTACGAATACAACTCAAATTAATAAAGTTCCTATTCCCGCATTAACGTCAGACTATGCTAACAATCAATTACTGCTCAATGAAGGATGTTTGATAGTAGAAAATTCAAGATGTTCCCAAAAAAAATTAAAAGATATTCCAAAGGGCAAAAGAACCAAAGTTATAAAAAGAAAAATTGAAACTCCTGTGGAAGTTGATGTTGAAAAAAGCAAAGAGGGTAAGAGCAGTGACAAAGTGGTAAAAGAGAATGAAATTACAAATGAATCAGAAAAAATCACAGTGGGTAAAGAATCCAGTATCATTAACACATCTCAATCATCTATTTCAACTACCACCAGTGCAGATCAGATTACCACCACTAATCAGAAAGATGACAAAATTTGCAGTGCCAAGGCAAACACTCAAATACTTGATAACAAAGAAAAACCTGACCTAGATAAAATTACTTCTAAGGATGAACAAGTTAGAGATGAAAATGATCTAAAAAAAACGAAATCTGAAAGTATCAACGTTTCGCATTCAGGGAAGAATTTGACTTGCTTAGCAAGTTCAACTTCATGTGATGATAACATGAAGAACCTCGAACTGAATCTCGCTCATTCCGAACTCTCAAATGATGATATATTTGCTTCCCTGCATGTACCACCTGGCTGTCAAAACCCTGAGTCTACTTCCCCCACTGCTGCTTTTTTGATGGCATTTCCCCTTGTTTCCTCTGTCAAAGCCACCGACGTTATTGATGACGATCATTCTAGTCAAAGACAAACTCCTACCTTACTTCAAATCGGTACAATGGATTCTACAAAACATACTCATACGGATACATTGGCGGGAAGTCTATTGAATTTAGATAGCTTCTCATTTTTCAACGCGAAAGATGTCTGTGAAAATTATTATGAATCCTGTACGAATATTCTTCCAAAAGAAAATCAAATGAGCAGTTCTGAAATGAAAAATAAAGTAGAATGTGTGAATGTTGATAGTTCTACGGTAGCAACAAGCGAATCTGGTTCACTAGAAAGTGTCTTATCAAATTGTGGTCCCCAAAAAAATGATCACAAAGTTAGACAAAATATGCATTATAGTGTGTTTCATAATTCAGATGACAATCATAAAACAAACGTTCAATTCGATTCATCTGAGAAAGTTTCTTATGAAGTATATACTGATGGAAAAAGCTCTATCGCTAAGGATGCTGAAAATAGTGCAAATAAAAGTTCTAATATTACTGAGAATGTGTCTTGTAATACATATCCTGAAGTAGCAAAAGATCCAAACAGAAATAACGAAAATGTTGAGAATATGTTGGTTTCTACAGACGACACTAGTAAGAAAACAGAACAAGTTTATAATGAATCCGTGAAACCTAACAATTTCGATGGAAATAAAAATTCTAAAACCATCAGCTATCAAGACACTAAAATGAAGGAAACGCAAGAATATATCTCATGCCAGGAGACTGAATTGAAAGATATGACAGGTGCTCCAATTACTTTTCCACATTCTGATTCTGATAAGGAAATTGAGAAAACCAATCCTTACAACATATATCAAGAAAGATCAATGGATACTGTCACAGGCTTGAACGTAAAACAAAATTCTGGTAATGATGAAGTGTTGTGTAATTTTAACCAACAAACTCAAAATCATTGTAGCAATAATGCTTCAACAAATGATGTTAGGGTTCATCATAATCTGATTTATAATAACAAGGATGGTCCATCTAAAGAAATTATTAAAAAATCGAATGTTGATTATGAACTTCATGAAAATATCATTCCACAAAATAATTTGTATAAGTCTTTTCATGATAGTAATAAGAAAAAGAACGCCGAAAACAATATAAATGAAACACCTTATATTTATCCAAGATCTGGCGTAAAATCTTCCAATCAGTGCAATTCGGTGAATACGAATTCTGCAATTATAGAAAAGGAAAGTACCCACCTCTATTCAGTTGATAACATGTCCTTCAATAATAATTTTCAGATGAAATCAACCCATACAACAGGAATTGGAAGTTGTGATAAATCTTCTGCTAACAATAAACTGACTGAAAATATTTCATACAATATATTTGAAATAACGCACCCAGCTAAGACGATAACTAGTTCAGTGAATGCGAATAATTCAAATAGAGATGGAAAATTATCTCATACAGTACAACACCAAAATTGCAAGAAAGATGTCTCAAAAGCAACCGAAGACAAATCACAATGTTATTATTCCATGGTCTACCCTGACAGTTCATACAATATCAATTTCAAAAATGATCCTTCCAAACTTTGCCCTACATGTTCATACATGAATCTCAACAAAACATATTCTAATCCTCTCTATACCAATAGCACCAATTACAACTATTATCCAGATGGTAATATCAATCAGAATTATTACAAAACTTCCACACCAAAGAATGATACAAAATCCTACTACTCATTGAACTATGAGAATTATCAGGAATATAAAAAGTCCGAAGGAACGAACTTCCCAAAATCTTATGGAAGTAGCTCGAGCATACAAAGAGAAGGGAACATAGTGGACAAAACTAATTCTGCCAAAGACAAATGTATTCCTCAAAATAAATTAGTGAACTGGATGACTACTCCTGAAAATAAGGTTCAACCTTCAGACACATTCCTAACATTTCCCAACCAATCATATTCGTTTACGTCATGCGTTAGTGGAGAAGCAAGTGACATTAGCAATATCCTGGAGCCAAAGAAACATTTGGACGCATCTCATTTGGCAGAGGATAAACAGTTCTCGTGGTCACAATCGAAACTACCGAGCTTTTTGGACCAAACTCACAATTTCGTCACTCCTACATTGCCTACATTGGTCGGTGATCTAGCTCTAGGCAATCCAGTTCCGTTCAACGATCAAAAAACTGAGTACAAATATCCCAAGGATCAGAAACGGAAGAATAATGCCTATGAGAATCAGACCAACTTTTTATCGGTTAGTCAACTTGTTGATCACAACAAAACTGAGCATGTGCCTTCCAGAATCACTACTAGAAGGAGCAGTGGGGGCAGATCCAAGAATACTGTTCAGATGAAGAATAAGAGACCATCTAAGAATGAAAGTAACGATAAAGTCTGCCAAATCAAACCAACTGACGTTTTCAATGGTCCTAATAGAGTGTTCAATGAATTTAAAAGTGGAAATCATGGGAAGAACACATCCAGTAGTTATTCTGCAGAAGCTTTGATTGGAAATCAAATTACTGATACATCTAAGAAATATCCGTCGAATTCAAGTAAACCTATGGGTTCCACAAGCTTCCTTACGGAAAATATCATAACTTATTTTCCTGCTATCGAGGAGAATTATTTGAATCAGAATCAAAACTTCCAAAACAACCTATACACACATAATTCCTTTCAAACTACCAATAATTCTGCGGTTTCCACAAATAGTTTTATTTATACTACGCCTACTATTACTTCTAGTTATTTATCTAGTAACTTTGAGGCACCATGTTACTACAAACAGTCGACAAGTAGTAAAGATGATAAGAACAGCAGTTACAATAGTTTTGCGAAAAAGGCGAAGAAGAAGTTGGGGAACGAAAGTATCAATAGCGGTTTTGCCAACTTCGAATTTCCACTTTTACCAATGCCTGGTTCCACAAATTCTCCCATTTTACCCGATGACTTCCATACACCTGCTAGCTTCTTGCCCCCCACCGCTCCTTATCCTGCAAAAACGTCCATGTATCAGAAGCAAGGAAACGATTTTACTCCCAATGGATTATTACCACTACCTGGACTACCAAGAAATAACACGCAGCTACCTGATGTGTCGCCTTCATTGAATTCCGTGGGTACATCTTTGACGAACTTCAACTTGAGTACCATATTTCCGGAAATTAATAAGGTATATGATTTTTGATCAGTTCCAACAATGGATTTTAAATCCCATTATAATAATTGTAGAGAGGTGTGTCAAACGTTTACCAAGATAACAGAAGCAAGGAACATTCATCCACTCTACAAGTAAGTTTTATTTTCATCTTTTGAAGCATGCAAAAGGGAATCCATTATGAAATTTCTGCTGGCACACTTGTTTTACTTTTTCTTGAATACGTGCAAGAAATCATAATGTGCTGTTTTGCAACATTTTCGATAATTGAATTCATTATTCAAAAAGAAGTTGATGATATTGTTTTCAGATGCCTTTCAATTTGGAGCCCAAATATACCTTCTCATGATGAAGTTCGATGCGAATTAGACCATTTATTGAATACTGTAAGAGTGCAAACAGCTCAATGTGATATTGTTGTGAATAATATATGAAATAATGTAATAATGTATTAATTAACTGGGTCACTGAGTGTTCCAGAACAATATAAAGCATATGAAATCATGAAGTGTTTTCATTAATTTTTGTGTAATAATGTAATAATGTAATTAATAATATCCTCGGCTTTGGCGACGCTGGCGATGAAACGTGTCTTTTTGGCTCAAAACATGCATTTTTGCATGTCGCGGTTGTAAAACTCATATGTTGAATAATGCAATGGAACAGAATTGAACAAAATTTATTCAATTAAATAGCGAATTTGCAATGATTCTACACAATGAAGAAGAGTAAGTTATAAGAAAATTGATATGTTTCTCCTAGATTCTATATAGACACTTTGGAAATGCTGAAACAGACACAGGATTATTAGCATATCAAAGAATCAAACAGATTTACACAAAAATGAAAATACAATTTTAGTTATACATATAAATTCAATTCAATATTGGAAAAGTAAGGTACTTTAAGTATCAAGATTTTGTTAATAGTTACTTTCTTTCATTCTGTCTTGATAGCAAAAATTTGGCAATATTAAAATATACATGGCGGTTATCCATATTCACCAGTCATTCTGGGAACCTAATTCAATCACATCTACAGGGTGATTTTCAACCTATATGCATGTAGTTTGGAACTGATAGCTCATGTTGAATGAATAATGCAAAAAAAGTCTCCTAAGAAATTATAATAACGATTGATCCCATGAAAATATAAACAGTCATTATTTCAGAATTGACATTCAAAATGCATCATAAACCGATTGATCATTGCATCTGTTCGAAATGTCGCCTACCATTTGCTAAGAGTCACTACTGAAAACCGGCAAATAGGATGTTATACTCGGAGCGTTGAAGTATCAGACCGAGAGCGACTGATGGGATCGGACAAAAACAGTACAGTTGGGGCAACTTTATTCATCTTAGATCTCAGTTCCTGAGCGACTAATTTATCATGTGCTCCCAATCTGATACGTGAAGGCAAACAAATCACCCTGTATAATACTGCCGAGGCACTGGAAGTATCGCGCAGACTCGAATCAGTCGAATCTCTCACCACACACTGCACTTGCTCGTCGGATTCATCGGAGACCCTACGGGGCAATGGTAAGCCTCGGCGAAGTCCTTCGAGTTGGATAGGGGCCCCAGCACCCTTATGGGGCCCGGGGAATGCACACTGGACCGGACCTTCGTGAGGGCGTCTTCTGGTCGCATCGAGCCGCACCAGATTTGGGCGTAGTTGAGGAAGAACAGCTGGTCCTGCGTTATGTTGAGCCCTGGAAGGTCGGGTTCCTCTCCGTATTGAGACACCCATTTGCGGAAAGCCTACAATGATGGATTTCTTTTAAATAATAGAAAAAACAACTTGAATCTCTTGCATCGCCCCAGCTTCTCAGGTAAGGCACTAGCCGTTCGATATCTGAGGTAAAGCTAAGCAGACCTTTGACCGTCAAAGGGGTTGGGTGGCAGACACGATGTCCGTGAAATACCTGGGGGTAAAGTTGGACACCTGTATGAATTTCTGGTCTAATACAAGTTAGTTAATACAAAAAACTCAAGCAACAATAAAGAGATTGTATCCGCTGCTATCCAGGACCTCTCCACTATCACTGGAGAATAATGCCCTGGTATATAAGCAAATTATTAGACCAGTGATGACGTAAGCGTGCCCAGTGTTCTGCAGCATCTCACCTACTCATATGAATAGGCTACAGGTGCTGCAGAACAAGGTACTTCGTATTCTCACCAACGGTGATAGATACTCACGAGTGGCAGATCTCCACGAGAGATGTGGTAATTTGACCAAAATAAAAGATTTCATTATCCAAACATCTAACAAACTCTACAAATACCACATCGCTGGAAGTGACCTTACCCGGAATATCACAGAAACGCGACAACAACATAACATACTCAACACGTTGGCTACCATATGAGTCTCATGAGATGCACACTCTCATTTGCTCTACAAACCATCGTAAAAAATCGCATACTTCCTCTCTGTACCAAGTGAAGAATCAAACTCAAAACGTAGCCTCTCGCTACAAGATGTCGCTATATTGTATTTTTGAAGCAGATGCCTTCATCTCGATAGAGTTTGCTGAAAGATCACCGGAACCATTTCATTAAATGATTGTAGGGAACTCCTTATATTTTGTTGTTTTTTCTTCGATTATAAGCGCCTTTATTCAAACCTTCAAGAAAATAATGGACAATTAAGACGAAAAACGTATTTCCAGGAGTACGCAAAAATTCAAAGATGGCAGCAAAACATACGAAATTGGTTACCACCTTTTACGCGGAATGCCCCGAGAAACCTGCATACTGTTTGGACTGTTTTCAAAAAAAAAACATTAGTATTTTCTTTGTACAATGATTATTGATAAGATTATTTTTTACTTATGAGTGTAACAATCTCAATGAAAAATTGACAAGAGAGTGAGCGGTGCGTCTTTTCATCAGAATAATCCAGTCAATTCCTATAGGCATTTTTCAGATCTATGTGTATCACTGGTGATACCCACTTCAACCCGATATTATTTGGTTCATACCTGTACCATACCCACATTCTAATTCCTTCGTTTATACACTATTGGGCTTCCCTACAAGCATTCAAATAATATGTGTTCATTATCACTGGTGATACATAAAGTACAGAAGTGAACTATGAAAGAGCATCACCGGTGATACATATGGTACCTTGGGTCAGAATGTTGAAATCAGGCTTGGTAGTCAACGTGTTAAGAAACACGGGCATCAACCGATGTTTTAAGAGAGCCTGGGAACCTATAGTTCGGACCCTCCCCGGATCCTCGGGATCAAACTGATGCTCCGGGAAGAATCTGGACAACACTGTCTCCCAAAACACGATGATAAAATAGTGTCAAGAACACACAATGACTGATGATCTGGCACTGAACTTGGTCAGTAGTGCGCACGCGCCCGAGTCCGTTGACTGGCCGGAGACGGGCGGAGCGTGTGGGCATAGCTTTTTTTTTTTGACTTTTATTTTCTTCCAACAACGCGCAAACTCTACCACTGACAGCGACTGATCAACTCCCTCGCCCTCTTGGGTATCCTCCGCGGGATCATCTATTCTATTATATAAAGGGCTCAGCCCTAGGTCATAGGCTTCTGCGACGAACACTTCACATATACGCTCACATTCCTTGGCCAACACCATCCACCTCTGTCTTGCGCGGAGGATTCGATGTACCACTGGACCTCTCAAATATGAAATGTGAATGTAAGTTATGTGTAGTATTGTAAACAAATCATCGAAAGAAATAAACAACTTTTCCTATGACGGAAATTTCATCTCTGTTGATAGGTTATGAAATATCACTTTTCAAAAATTTCTCTTTTCCTACACTATTAATGGCTTTTGTTGTGCTATAGTTCCGAAAAATAAGCCAATAACACCGTCTCCGAGAAAGAACTACAGGTCCTTTTACCTTCCATTCGACTTCGCGGTTACCTACGTTACTTAAGTTTAGGACAGTTTTGTTGAAGTTGTGTAAAATTGAAATAGAAACAACTTTCCTCAGTAAACTCCTTTGAAATTCGAACAAAATATGCCTGTTTTTAGCGATTTAATTTGAAAAAATGTTTCTTTTGACATGTAACAAGTCACGTGACTCCGACCGAGTAGGCAATTTTTCATCTTTTTTAAAGCAAAGCTTAACGTCCATGTCAAGGTTCAATATAAATTGTTATTCAAAGTTTTTCCCATATGATGCCAATTTTTATGAATGACACTTCAGTGTCATATTACACTTACATTAGAAGGAAAGCAATAAGAAAGATATGATTGAAATAAAACTAGAAAATCAAAACCAATCAAATCTTCACCTTGATTTTCTCACAGAAAATGATGAAGAAAATTATTAACATAAAAAAACTGATGAATATAGGTGATAAATTAAAAATCGTACCCTGAAAGACTGTTTCAGTCCACCATTATCAGCGATGTTTTCTCCTTGGGTCATTCTTCCATTCACATACAATCCAACTTCGTCAATTTTGTACCGGGAGTACTGATCGATTATACACTGCGTTCTGTCTCTAAAAGCTCTGATGGTTATGTTGTTCCACCACTGCATCATGTTTCCATCTTTATCGAATTGGCGCCCTGTAAGAACCATATTGAAATTTTATGTACTGGTTCCTACGAAAAGGGATATCCTGATGTAATGTTCAGAGAACATCGTGAGAACCAAGGGAAATAAGGTAGGAATTGGTGTTCTTCTTAAATTTTTGGAGGTTATATGCCTCGGGGAACACCTCCCTTGGCAATGTGTTCCAGAGCCTCGCTGTTCGTTGGATGAACGAGTCTTTGGAAAGAGATGTTCTGCAGGTCTCCAAAGTGACCACGAAGGGGTGCGAAGCCTCAACTCGACGGGTTAATCTCGCGGGGACTGCCAAGGGAGGAACAATTGTTGATATTCCATGCAGAAGAGCATCGTCCATGAAAATATCTACAAAATAGAGCCAGGTCGCCAACTTTTTTACGGTGTTCCAGAGAAGTGAGTGAGTTTGTGAGCGAGGCATCACCCACGAGACGAATTTCCCTTTTTTGGACAGAATCCAACAGTTTCAGGGTATGTTTGGGTGCTGCACTCCAAATATGGGAACTGTAGTTCAGGCCAGGTCGGATCTGTGCCTTATAGATCATAAGCAGCTGACTGGAAGTGAAATAGCTCCTGGCCCGAAACAGAAATCCCAAGGAAGGTTATTGCTGATAGTAATACCAAGCATCGAAATGGATGTCTTCAAAGGTATGGTTACTCCTGACAAGCTCATGTTGGACACAGTGCGATCGGCTTTTCTAGAGAAAAGGCATGCTTGTGTTTTGTTTGCATTGAAATCTATCAAGATATTGGATCCCCATTCGAGAATTGTTGCCAAGTCCATATTTATGTTGTCAACATTTCTCCCTCGTTCGTTTTTTGATTCGCCTGGCTGGTATTGAAGCCCTGGAAGAGAAGGCGGTATGGGGGGTACTATCATCCGCCAAGCTGTGTACTGGACATGAAGTTGCTTCCAACAAATCGTTGATATGGAGTAGAAATAGTGTTGGTGCTAGAATTGATCCTTGCGGAACACCAGCATTTATGGTAAGAGAGTCAGATGAAACTCTGTCGACCACTACATGGAGAGATCTGTTTGAGAGAAAACTAGCTAGCAGAGAACATAGCTGGGGAGGCAAGCCATAAGATGGGAAGCTTGGTATGTTTGTTTAGTTCGTAATTAAGTGAAAAGTATTATATAGATTAATAAGTTGTTCGAAAAATGCTACTACGCACCTTTATCGTCAAACCCATGTGTGATTTCATGGCCAATAACAACACCTATTCCTCCATAATTTAATGACTTAGGAAAATGCTGACTATAAAATAAGGGTTGTAAAATCCCAGCTGGAAATACTGAAAATAAAAATGTTAATCAGCATTAAATTGCAACTTCGCGTCGGATTACGCACCTATATCATTTTTATTAGGGTTATAAAAGGCGTTTACTACTGCTGGTTCCGTTGACCACTTGGTTTTATCGACGGTCAACCTCAGTTTATCTAAATTCTGTTTGGCTTCGAACTTCATGATGTTCAGTATATTGTTCATGAACTCGTGATTCGAGATGCTCAACTGTTAGCAAAAAAAAATTAGTAAAAAAAATTCAGTGAGGAAAGCCTGTAGAAGATTCTGTTCAGCAAAATATGGAAAAAAGTTGATATGAACGTGGGTCCAAAAATACATTTTTCTACAAACGTCAAAAAATGACAATGTTCGCGCATTGAAAACAAATTGCGAAGTGACACTTTTTTTCAGTTTCCTACGTTACCATGATACCTTGCACAAAACAATGCGCGAAGTAAAACAGTGAGCGAAGTATACCTACTTCGCGCATTGTTATGTAAAATATATGAGATATTTATATTTCAACTTTATGGTCCTCAATCGAGCAAACATTCACGAAATCATTCATTCCTGAATGTTCAACAATAACTTTGTTTTATCTCTTGGAGCGCACGAAAGGAAATTCCTATTATGTTCGTGGAACATCGTGCGTACCTATATAGGGAGAATAGGGGGAGGCCTTTTAAGCCAGATCAACACTATTGTTTATATCAAGCTGAGCATATTTTTACTTTAGAACTATATTTTTTTACTTTTGTAGAGAAAATGTTGTTTGCAACTCGAGCGCGAAATACTTTGGTCATCTCGACTATTTTTTTAACGAGGCGTAGCCGAGATCTCGATCACCAAAGTAGCATTTCGCGCTCTAGATACAAAAATAACTATTTTCTGTGACGGGAAAAAAAGTTTGGCATTTCATCTCTGTTAGCAGGTTATAAAATGTAACTTTTCATAAACTCCTTTTTCTACAAGCGTGCGTGATTCACCCTATACCCGCACGCAATTTAGTTTGAGAGAAGTGTCATTTTCCCGCGGGAAATTTTTTCCCACACTAGTGCGGGAAATTTTTTCATAAATTACTTGTTCTTATTTGCATGAATAATCAATTGAACAAATCAATCAATTTACTACGCTTGTTGAAAAAATATTGTTCCTAAATCATGCGGAAAGAGTCTTTTCCGCACTAGACTGCTTGCCCGAATGAGTTCCATGAATGTTAACTGTAATGTCAAGTTTGATAATACCTAAATTTTACTTATCATTTTCTGAGAATTTTGATAGGAAAGTGTATGTCATTTACTTTGCATTTTCAGAATTGGTTGATAGTAAATTATGATCAAACCACTTTTTGAGAGTTGGAAAATCCATATTCTCATTGGCTGAAGCGTATTTGAACTATCAATGAAAAACTCACTTTTTCAAAAACGCAAAAGAAGCAATTTCGGGCACATGTCTATATTTACTTTTATTTTTATTTTTTGCTGAGTGGATTCTTCCCGATGAAACACCTTGTAACTGAAGAACTATTATAAATGCAAAAGGGGACCTACTGATTCATATTCTTTGCAGAGCTCCTCTTTGTCTGTTATCATTTTGGGGTAGCCAATCCTCTCATTCATGGCATTAGCTTTTTCTTTAGCAACAGCCCTCGTTTCATCGTCCATCCAATGGTTTTCTGCTAGTAGCTCATTGAAAGCTTCTCTGATAGTATGTATCATCTCCAAAGCTGTTTCCTACAAAAAAACATCTTTCTATATATACTTTTGGGTTCAATATAAAATGCTTCTGAAATGAAAACAAGGGCGTAATTTCATTGATGAAGGAAGATTAAATAAATAGTTATTTATTATACAAGGGAAAAAAGTAGTAGATTTTAGCTCCAGGTTGTGTTGTCTCCCGACGCGTAGCGGAGGGAGACAAAAAACCGTGAGCTAAAATCTAATATTTTTCCCGTGTATAATACACTAGATATAGAAGATATTACATTATTTCGAAATCTGAAAATCTGCGACGTGAAATTTCAAGTTTTTAACAGTAGGGACACCTGCGTTTTATAGACATCTTTATCATTCTTTTGAAGTAATCGAATATCTGATGTCACTTCTGTCAGTTCAATTCTGTGATTTTATTTTAAAAAATTGCGAATTCAGTAGTTGTTTAGTAATATACGAAACCGCGAAGTCGAATGGAAGATAAAAGGACTTGCATTTCTTTCTCGGAGACGGTATTATTGACTCATTTTTCGGAACTATAGCACAACAAAAGCCATTAACAGAGTATATATATGTGATATATATCCGGGAAAGAAGTACTCACTTTTTTCCCACGGGAAAAAAGTAATTTATGAAAAGTGACATTTTATAACCTGCCAACAGAGATGAAATGCCAAACTTTTTTCCCGTCACAGAAAAAAAATTATTATTTTGTAGAAGATAATATAAGATGTTGAAAAGGAATATTCTCAGATAAATTATGAACATACAAAAAAGGATATATATTGATATAAAGCAATACATTGAGAATTCGCATTCTCTATGTGATGAGAATATTTACTCTTTTTCAGTTAATTCAATAGAAAACAACTACTTTCCTGGCTATATGCCACGACGAACATTGAATTATATCTATTGAACACACACGAAAAGAGTTTGAAAATAGAATATAAAAATTTCTGAAATTGAGAATTTGTATTCTCCTTCAGACAAAAATATGTATATACACACATCATTCTGAATATTCAACAGAAAACAACTACTTTCCTGGCTATTTGCCACGTCGAACATTGAATTATATCTGATGAACATTCAAAAGGGAACATGAAAAATAAAGAATAAAATCCTCCGAAATTGAGAATTGACATTCTTCTTCAAATCGGATGAATAATATGATGAATAATGATCTAGAAATATGACAGCATTGAAATGAAAATTGGAATGTATAGGAGAAGTATACTGGCATGAACTCTGATCTTGATGAGCTTGAAAACGTCCAAAAATAATCATTCATATCAGTGATATGGGAAATATTATCTCTCACATTCCAATTTTCATTTCAATGCTGAATATATTGGTAAGTCATATTTCTAGATTATTATTCATCATATTATTCATCCGATTTGAAGAAGAATGTCAATTCTCAATTTCGGAGGATTTTATTCTTTATTTTTCATGTTCCCTTTTGAATGTTCATCAGATATAATTCAATGTTCGACGTGGCAAATAGCCAGGAAAGTAGTTGTTTTCTGTTGAATATTCAGAATGATGTGTGTATATACATATTTTTGTCTGAAGGAGAATGCAAATTCTCAATTTCAGAAATTTTTATATTCTATTTTCAAACTCTTTTCGTGTGTGTTCAATAGATATAATTCAATGTTCGTCGTGGCATATAGCCAGGAAAGTAGTTGTTTTCTATTGAATTAACTGAAAAAGAGTAAATATTCTCATCACATAGAGAATGCGAATTCTCAATGTATTGCTTTATATCAATATATATCCTTTTTTGTATGTTCATAATTTATCTGAGAATATTCCTTTTCAACACTTGCATACCCAATCAGGGGGTTCAAACTTGAACGATGGAAACTTGTGATTTTTATAGACCTCTAATCGCAGATTCGTGATAGAGTCTCAATTCAGAATTCATTTCCACGCCCTGTATGATGAATGTCAATTTATCATACACCCAAAAATAATATAAGATATTAATATCAGTCGTTTTCATTTTGTCGACCTGAACGTAATTATACAGTGTGACCCATTTTTATTGAAAACACTCCCCTAAAATTTGAAGTTGTGAACCGTGTGTGATTTCAATAATATTTTTTGAAATGTCAAGTACTGAAAGGTCTACCTTGGGACAAAATTTTAAATGCTTATTTCAATTTTCAGGGTATACTACGATATTTATTCTCAGTCGAAAATCGGGATTTTTAATAAGCGATTTTTTTATTGATTTCATTAATAACAAAGTTATGACAACTCAAAAATTCGAAAACTCACACAGCTATAACAGTCACAAAAAACACCTTATATCAACAGATATAGCCATGTGAATATTTTTTTATGATTTCAACAATAAAGTGCCACCAGATGGGAAAACATGATTTTTTAATGAAAATAACGGAATTACATTCACACCATTCAACTAATAATGAAGCAAAAAATTGAAAAAATTCACGCTATCAATTTTTTTTTTCGTTCATCTGGAGGCAGTTTATTGTTGAAATCATCAAAAAAAAATTATTTTCATGGCTATATCTTTTGATATAGGGTGTTTTCGTGACTGTTCGCTGTGTGAGTTTTCGAATTCTTGAAGTCATAACTTGAATATTTTTCCATGAAATTTTGGTCACACATGTTTAGAGGCACTCGGAATCCAGTTGCGTAGTGGTTTTTTTAATAATAAAATCGCTAATTTTGTCCCAAGGTAGACCTTTTAGTACTCGAAATTAAAAAAAAAATGAAAATCGGTTCACAACTTCAAATTTTAGGGGATAGAAACACCTATCAAAAATGGGTCACACTGAATGTACATACATTATCATTAGAGTGTGGGTTAATAATATACGTATGTATCAATAATATGAAGTACGAAAAAAATATTTTGATTGCGGAAGGAAATGATAAAAAAATAGATTATGGAAATTCTAATAAAACAACCGACTGACTTTTTTCGATTCAGTAAAATAATTCTATGGCTACTAATAGGTACGTACAGACCCAGTAACTATATTGTCTCCGGTAGTAGTACTTCGTAAATCATCTTCAATTAATTCATTAAATTAAACTTTAAATACTGATGCATTATTCTTAAGGAAAGTTTAATCTAAAATCATTTTTTTGTGGAAGATCAGGGAGGAACGCAATTTTTCCATGATCACTATGCAGTGTGTCCCAAATTCATGTTGCATGTGTGGGTTCATCACAATGATAGATAAAAAGTCGGTTAAATGGTGAATATCTTGGAATAATTTATGACAAATCAATGCGTGTCCTCAAATTTCGAATTTTATTCCTGGATTTTGTTTAATATAGATGGAGAACCAAAACAGCTTCTTCTTGAGGAAATCACCCTGTGACTTCGTTATTTAATCTCTGAGACAATTTCATTTCGTGATTTTTTTATGTTCTTTCAAATAGGTATGGAAATAAAACAATAATGTTCCTTTTTTTCAATTCCCAGAGCTTACAACTTTGGAATTCTATACAGGCGCCATATATTAAATTTTTATTGCATTATTTGATATTATATACAGCCTCCTTTTTTGAGAATTAGCAGAAACTTTATTGTTGATGATTACTTTTTTATTGAACAAATTTTCATTGCAGCAAGATTTTTTCAAGCAGTCTAAGAATTCAGATCTACTTCGAAGCAAAACAAAAGAACGTGCTATTATATGGTACAGTCTTTGGTACAGTTTACTTGATAACAACTGATCAAAATGTATCATTCCAGGCAAAAATTCAGGATGCAAGAAAAAAATAACATTCTAGTGTGTCCATCACTGTAAAGAGAAAAAAGATTCAATTCAAATCATTCAATATATGGAGAAATAATACATTATGGTGTCCCGTGCTGATAACAAAAGAATGAATTGAGAACGCTATTAGATTGTTTTCCTCATTATTAGAAATATGATAAAAAGTGTTTTCAAATTGCATATTTCTTGTTTTCCCAAGAACTTATAACCTCCAAAAGTTAAAAAAAAATCCAACGCCTACCTCCTCTCTCTGCCCTACCTAGGTACGCGCGATGTTCCATGAACATTATAGGAATTTCCTTTCGTGCTCTCCAAGAGATAAACAAAGTCACAAAGATCGAATTACAATTTCAAAATTTGAGGACACAATATTGGATTTGTAATCGAAATCTCAATTCTTTGAAACAGTATACCTATACCAACCTATACATGCAGCATCAATTTTGGAAACACTGGAAATTTACCTTACTTTCATGGTTGAAATGGTCTCTAATATACAGGGCACCTACAGCCATCCCCATTTTTTTGTTAGTCCACTCTACACATTGCGACCATCTGTTTCTCTCACTAAGCACACCCTGTAGAATCTTCCTGAATTCGACTCTTTCTCTCTGATAATCGTCGATCAAATGCGATGACAAGGACATTATCAATCGCCACAAAATATAATTGTGGATAACCCTGAAAAACAAAATGTATTAAGAATATTTAAAATTCTGTTGAGTTTCAAATGAAGAATATACAGAACTAATAATTTCTGCAACCATTATTCATTCCCTTAATCCTTAGTATCCAGAAGCTGATTGTGATAACTCTATATACAGAGGGTATCTCAGAGAATCTACTCTACTATACACTTTATGTGACCATACCAAGGCCTTCGATTGTGTCCCCCATGATATCATCCTCTTAAAAAAGTTAAATTTCTATGGAACTAGGGGAACTGCTGATTCTCTCATAAAGTCCTTTCTCAGTAACAGTCAACAATGTGTCAGTGTAAATCATGTCAAATCTGACTACAAGATGATTGATAATGGGGTACCTCAAGGCTCAGTACATGGGCCTCTATTATTCGTCATCTATGCAAATGATATCTGTAAGTACTTGAATCACAGCAAATGCATTTTTTTTGCCAACGATAAATCATTCATAACCTCAGAAACCACAATAACAAATTTGTCAACCTCAATAGCAGAATTAGAAAACAGGACTGTAGGATGGTTCTCAGCAAACAACTCGAAAATAAACAGAAATAAAACAATGAAATCAATTTTCACAACTAAGCTGGAAAAGTCATATTTATAATTATTTGAGCAGCAAACTATATCTGGCACTATATTGCTATTGAGGTATTTGAAAACCATCACCAATTTATCTACAGTTAAAACTGTATATTTTTCCATGTTTCACTCTAGAATGACCTATGGAATCATTCTTTGGGGCAACAGAGCTTATGTCATGAATATTTTTCGGCTTCAAAAAAAGGCAATGCGAATAATTCCAAATACCGATTATCGCGAACATTGCAAACCACTCTTTATCAAATACGGAATATTGTCATCGAGATACACAAAAATGTCGACAGCTTCACCCGTCAGTCAAATATCCACAAGTACCACACGAGACATGCTAATCATATTCAAACAACATGCTAAAGATTAGTCAAATCAAAAAAAAGTTCTATGAATATTTAATTATACAATGCACTACCCACCACAATAAAATCTAGGGGAAATCGTAAGTTCAAATCAATAATGAAAAAATATTTCCTTCGAAAATGCTTTTATTCCATTATAGAATACTTGCAATCTGTGATGACATTTAAAATCTCGGGGTTCTAATTCCTCTAGTTCGGATATTGTTAGTCTGTGAATTTGGATTCTCCATTTGCTTAATTTTATCCATACATATGAATGTTTGTAAGTTTTCAGTCGATTCTGACTTGCTACCAATATGTTGTATATATAATGGTAGTTAAATAAAGCTCTATCTATCTATCTATCTATCTATCTATCTATCTATCTATCTATATAATATAAGATGAATCAAAAAATCGTTTCGAATAATATCAAGTCTTCTTCAATTTTCAATTTTCCACAGCCCTCGAGATTCCACTTCAAAGTTCTCTTCTTTTTTCATTGTACCCCTTCCCTAATTCCATAATTTGTATATTGACAAATATTCATTACCTACTGCTTATTAACTATTTTATAACGAACATGATTTAGGTAAAGAATAATTGTATAGGTTGATTTCTACAGATTTTTGGTATTCGAGATTTTGAAAATACGAATTGGGAGGGTTTCCGGGAATGCTCTCTGAATCTGATAGAAAAAATTATCATGAATGAGCTCTAATATCCTATTCACAAAAAATAGTTATTCATGTACTAAGGACGAAAAACTGTCTATTATTATAGTTAAGCCTGCGAATTGATTGCCGAGGCTTGGCCGAGGCTAGCAATCAGGCGAGACAATAGATAGTTTTTCGCCGATGTGCATATGTTTTTGTCGACCTCTAACACGTTTATTCACAAACCACGGTCTTATTTACACGTAAAATATATCGGATTTCATAAATAACTGATTTGAAATCAGCAAATGACAGTTGTCAAGTCAATCGCACGGACGAAAAGTACTTCAAAAATAGTTGATTTTTCATCCATAAAGTACGTAAAATGTAATTTTTTGTAAAGCTCGACGATAAAAGATTTTTTAACCACCAACACTGCCATGCCATGGTTGATCTCAGAATGTTCTTGATGCCAAATTCTTCATTTTCCTGATATGAAATCACCACCAGAGTTTCGAAAAATCGCATTATCAATAACTGAGATGTTATAGGGTGTATTCATGAAAAGCAGGACACACTGATGTATAAGCAATAATTATACCTACCGTTTATCTGTAGATGCTAAGAGTTTGTCCAGTTCGATAAAATAGGGTAGTCCATAGGCAACGACATATTCATCCTCATTGATAGCGATATCAAAAATTGATCTGAAATATTCCAGCCAATTGATTCGTGGAACGATTTTTCCGAGCTCGCGCAAACTAATCTTTTTATATATCAGGCTAGTGTCATGCCTGTCTTGCTCTGGAATAGAAGCCTGAAATGTTTTCAGTCGCTAACTCGTGAATTTAGTAATAACATTTTCATACGCACATTAGCAATTTGCTTTTCAAACTCCACCACTTTGAGTAGCTCCTCACTAGCAGAACTAGCATTTGCTCCAAGCAGTATCGCTATATTCGTCATATACTTGTGGTAAGCTATAAGATCTCCTTTACTACTTGGTTTCAAGTAATAATCTCGGCTAGGCAGAGCCAGCGCAGTTTGGTCCATCTAGAAATAAGGAATGTAAAATTCAATTACCAATAATATCAAACTTCTAGATAGTGCCTATACAGACTATACAGTGTGTCCATTTAGTGCGTAATTCTTCGATATCTCGAAAGCCATAACCTATAGAGAAAAACTTTGGAGAAAAAACTTTTTCAGTTACTAAAGTTGCTCATTTCAAAATTATTTTCAACATTACTGGGTGTTTTATAAAAGCAGGGCAACTCGAAGAAGAGTTTTTTTTTAATGGAACACCCAGTATTGTTCATTCGGAATTCATTCCGCCGAGGTTCACCTTCACATCGCTGTAAAAAAAATTGAAATCGGTTGCGGCGTTGCCAGGTTATAATTGATAGATCTATTTTCACCATTATTGAAGAGTCATGTTGAATTGGGCATGGTATATTCATTTATTCAAATTTTGAAAATATTTTTGGCATACGGTAGAAGCAAGGTCCCACGTATATCAATCAGTAATTTTGCGACATGTTCTTCAACAGGGTGCTCAATTTTGCATTTAGAATTTTGCAAGATTCAGATGACATTCATCGGAATTTTTCAAATGGAACACCCTATATTTTTGTTCAAAAAATCGGTTGCGGCGTTGTCAAGTTATGGATAATTTCCTTATTTTCACTACTATTTCGGGGTAATTTGTACGTCATAGTTCTTTCATTTATTTGTATTGTGGAAATATTGCGTGGCTACGGTATAATCGAATTTTTTCATTGACCATTCATATATTTTTTTATAAAAGGAACATTTACAGGCTCTCCAAGTTTGAATTTTTTTCGAAATATTTGTGTAATGACCGGTCAAACATCGACACAATCAAATATATATCTTGGATTGATTCGACATTTTGCTGAATTCCCTCCCAAAAGCCGCGTAGTAGAGACATATTGTTTGTATCATTATGTTTGCCTTCTTCAAGTTAAATGGAGATTTGGATTGTGGGAATAGCGACAATAAAAATGGCCCAAATTTCAAAAAAATTTCCTAATTTTCGCAATCCGCATCTTCATTGTTTGTATTGTTGTTTCAAAGACAGGCGTTGCTTTTGGCATGTTTGTTTGTTTCACATATATTAGTTGAATCATAAGTAACAAGATTACGGAATATTTCAAATTTGGACGATGCACATATCACAAAAATATCTGAATGATCTATGTAGAACCTCGAATGTCATGTGGCAAGCAATATTCCCACACTCAATTGAAATTAAGGAACCATCATGACGTACAAATTACCCCGAAATAGTAGTAAAAATAAGGAAAGTACTCATAACTTGAAAATGCCGCAACCGATATTGATTTTTTCTTCTGCGATTAAGAGGCGAATGATGTCGAAATAAATCTGTGATGAAAAATACAGGGTGTTCTATTTGAAAAATTCTTATGATCGTCGTCTGAATCTTAAAATATTCAGAATGTTAATTTTAGCACCCTGTAGAGGATTATCCCGCGATATCACTGGATTGGTATACGTGAGACCTTGCTACTACTGTATGCCAAAAATATTTTCGAAATTTCAATCAATAAATATACCATGCCCAATTGAACATGACCCTTCAATAGTAGTAAAAATTGGTTTATCAATTATTACTTGGCAACGCCGCAACCAAATTCATTTTTTTTACAGCGATGTAGAGCTGAACTTAAGCGGAATAAATTTCGAATGAACAATACTGGGTGTTCCATTTGAAAAAACTCGTCTTCGAGTTGCCCCGCTTTTATAAAACACCCAGTATGTTGGAAATATTTTCGAAATGAGCAACTTTAGTAACTGAAAAAGTTTTTTCTCCAAAGTTTTGCTCTTGTGATAATTGATTTCGAGATATCGAAGAATTACGCACTGAATGGACACACTGTATAGAGACAAAAATTGAGGACAGAATAAGAGTGAGATGCAAAGCGCTGTGAATGGTTTGGTAACCTTAGTTCACCAATCCATAAGGGAGCTTGAGCAAAAAGACTCAGTAAAGAACCAATCAATTCAGAATTTTTCCACACCTTCAATCGATGAACATCAATTCATCGTAAAACTGACAAACTTAGCAATAAATTCGATAAACCACCTTATTCTCGTTTTTTGCATACCAATGATCCTATTTTTGCGTGACATTCAATGCTTTGTACAGGACGGTAGATCTATTGTAAAGTAAAAAGATGTAGAAAAAAAGTGGCAGATATGCTCGATTGGGTTCATGTCTGGGAAATTTGCCGGCAAGTTCAATTTCAATCATCATATTTCAATAATTAGGTAGCCAAGAAATGGAAAGAATAGTCCCGCAATTAACATAAATATCAACCAATAATTGAAATAGTAACATAGAGTTGAAATTTATTGGTTTATTATCGATATCATCCTCAGGTAGCCTATGAAGTTAGTTACCATCCCTACACAGAACACCTCTTTCTAAACGATCAACATATCTTTATATCGGTGTTTTTACCACAGTATAAATAGTAAAGTAGTGAAACACACTGATTGAACATACTTGAATGATATTCAGAGAGCTATTTTTATCATCTGGTCCGACCCACTGTTCGATAAGAAAACCTTCATTATAATGGCTCCTGATCAAACCTATGAGAACCTCTATTGAGAACGTCGGAGATTTCCAATTTTTCGTTATCACCGGCCATCCACCAAGTTGGCTCAGTACATCACGAATGGGTTTGTCACCAATTTTGCGAATATTACCTGAAAAAAATAAATAAGAAATAATTAAATTTGAAAAACAATTCACGGAATTCTTAAGCAATTCAATTATCTGATGAAATGAATCGCATACATATATTTTATTAATATCGAAAATAGCTCCATAATAATCTTGAAATTTATAAAATCGAACTGAACCTGAACTTGATGAGTTTTAGAGTCGATTATTTCCAATAATTAAATAAAAAATTAACACCTTTGCAAAGTTCTGATTGAGGTCTTCATGGCTATCTGATTGCTGCCTGAAATACTGAAAATTTTCTAATTGCTCTAGTACGAAAATAGAAATTATTTGAATCATTTGAATGGGCATTCTAAATTGCGAAAACACAAAGCTAATTAGTGTTAAACTAAGTTGATGAATATTCATCATCTTATACTTACGCAAATCCATGCATGAGTTGTAAAAAGTTTTAGCTTTCCTTGTTGCTTCATTATCTTGTAGATTCATTGGTTCTTCCAAAACTCCTGGAAATGATGTTTTAGCTGTAACTTATAGAGTAAAGACATCTTAAGAAGTGTAGAGAGATGCCAACCTTTAAGAACCACTTGCAGCTGATCAGCCATAACTTCAAACGTACTAATTGAACTTTTATCTTCAGGTATCAAATGTTTTTTATTCCATGTTCCGCATGCGTATTGAAAGAAATCCACGCAAGGATCTACACTACGGTCCATTGCAGATAATAAGGATGAGGCTGAAAAAAAAAACATAATTTGGTGATGAAGAAAATTAAACCCTATACTATATCACGTAATTCTAAACATGAGGTTTGGACGCCCGTGATGTTAACTTCATTCGAATTACAAATTCTGATCTCATACTTCTGAAGCAAACATAGAAATTCGAATTTTCAAACTTCTGCTTTTTTCTGGCTTTTCATCGAGAAATATATTTGAGCAATATAATACATATATGGCATTTAAACGGAAACTTAACCCCATCTAGAACCATACAGAGGCCCCTTTTTATGGTAATTTGACGTACGTATATCCCTGTAACCCTTAGCAATTCCACATTTGAAATTCCGAATGTAACTATACAGTGTGTTTCATAATTGGATGTCAATATTTGGGGAGGCGATGCTTGGGACCATTCTTAGAAAAAAGATTCATCTGAACGTATGACCTAAATGTCCTAAATTTTGAGATACAGAGAGAGAATATTTCCATTCAATTATGAAACACCCTGTATATACCTATACCCCACTTTCAACACATCATTTTGAGGCCCTTTCTATTAGGAATCCACTTGAGCACCGCTTCTAAAAATGGGTTGAGAATGGATTGAGAAAGATTAGGATGAAATAGGTGAAAGAGGTCTACTTTAATATAGCCACCAAGATCACTTGATCTAAACCCTTTGGACATTTTTTCTGTATGGTCACTTAATATCGCGAGAGTATGCCCTTTACAACACGTAGTTTGAGACGTGCTGAAACACTAGAAGAGTTGTATCAGAGATTGATTCTTTTATTTTTCATTCTTTGAGTTCACCCCAATAATGATTTCAATTCAATTATTTAAAATGATTTTATGATAGTAGGGCAGTTTCAATTGAAATTTAGGAGTTGGAGTTACTAGGGGTTAGGAAGATGAACATATCAAATTGACTTGACTGTCAAAAACTATTCCGCCATTGTAGGGCAAATTCTGAAAAAAATCTGGTTTATCTTATAGCTTAAGGGGTGTTTAAGTTTTCTTTGGAAACCCTTGTATATTAATTAGATATATGAAGGTACTTACCAGTTCGCACACATTCCTCTGTAAGACACATTCTCTTTTTCTTTTCTGAAACATAGAATTCAAGGTCAATCAATCAATCAATCTTTTATTTTCCTTAAAATGACAAAAATTTTACATTTTGTATAGGAATAGTCAGCACCTTATATCTAACTTATAACTAAAACTAACTAAATAAGATAAAATAAAATAAAAACAAGCAAAAGGGGTTATGGGTCTAGACAAGGTAGATATGTTATGATAATATATTGAATGTGTTTTGGTTTACTCAACTAGAATGCAATATACTTATATAAACCTGTTGAATATTTTCCATTTTCTTCTTAATGTGGATCACATCAGAGATGGCTTGCTGTGTAGTATGTTTTTCGTTGTTCTATTCATCAATAATTGGTTGTTAACAAAAAATGTGTCTATCTAATGACTATCAGTCCATGCTCCTTAAATAATAAAGTGCAATAAAATAACCTTGTAATTATTCATCCTTAAATCATCACTAGGTACCTCGGTAAATAACTATCGACTTCAAATCATTTTCAAAATAGTAATAATCATCTTCAAATTGGGACGACATGATTCAGCGTGGATTTAACACATAAAATTTGAAAATAAACAAATTCAAATTGAGACAAATCACTTCCAAAATGGGAATAACCAAATTCAAATTGGGACTCTTCATTTGAAATATTTTCGACAATGCAGTGTTACCGCTTCTACTAGAAAGTAGTAGCAACATATTGATATTTCAAATGGAACATCATATCTTTTATCGCATTTTCAGATTCTCCCTGAAGAGCTAATTTCATGGATGTATCACACTTGGGGTCTATCAAAGATGATAACAGAGATATATGGTGTTCAAAATCGGAATTTTGCAATTTTAGTATTTTTTTGTGTCGAAACTATTCATTATCGGTCAAAACGGCTCACATGTCCCTATCTAACCTTTTGATGAATTATGATTGCTATAATAATCAATTTCGATTTTGACACAATATTGACAATTATTCCCAATTTGAAATTGTTTGATCCCAAATTGACTGAGTTTATCCTTATTTTGACTGTGTCAATCAACTTGAATTTGTTAATTCTTAATTTGAAACTGTTCATTCCCAATTCGATTGTGTTCATTTTCATTTTGAATCAGTTTACCAATTTGGATGTGTTTAATTCTAATTTGAAATGGATCAGTCTCAATTTGAACTTGAATAGGAATAGTTTGTAGTATTGTAGTTTATCATATTTGATCAGAATTATACGCTGAATAAGGCTGAATTGAAAATTCATGACTTCAAATCGTCGTCACTTGAAATGTTGATCCGAATATGTAAAAAATACAGATTGTCCAGTTCGACAAATGGAATGGAAGAGAAATGTCAAAAGTAAATCTTGAATTGGGGCTCTGAAGTCACATTATATACAGTTATCTTGAATATAGAAATGACCTAATTCATACTCACCAATACAAGACTGATTTTTCTTGTTGAAAACCATCGTCAACAGGATACCGCAAAATATGGCTAGAGCTAATATTACGGCTAGAAGAAACTTTTCCTTCTCGTACTTCCTGTCATGCACCACAACAGTTTTAGTTCCTGTCCGAGTAATTTCCACCACAGCTTTGCGAGAGCTTTCAGGCACTTCACTTTTGGAATTGAGGTATCCGTTTTTGGCGGACGAATAGTTCCACGGATCCTCTTTTTCAGAATCGCACATTTTCAGGAATTCTACACCTTTTTCAGTTGTATTTCAAAAAGCTCCATTTGTATTTCAGAATTGTTAATTGAATTTCAGAAAGCGTCAATGGGTCCGTTTCAGTGAAAAATTGTATTTCATTATTTCGAAGTACTAACCTTAACTACATACAGTGTGTCCACCTTAAGGACTTACCACCCCTGTAAAATCGTTATTAACCGACCAATTTCAACAAACCTTTTTTTGTTGGATAGGTATTTGAATTGCCCATCCAACGAGAGAGTGATTTAATTCTTGGGCCGTTATCGTGGCCAACTGCGACAAATTTCAATGACCCATATTCCAGAAAGTACTATTAGGGTTTTTTTCCACGAAACTTGATGATGGAATCTGAATCAGTACCACTCGAAATATACCTGCAACGATTTTCACGGATTTTCATCTTCATAAAACACAGGGTGTCCGAAAAAACAAATCATCATTTTCTTCAAATAGGTGATCAGCAAATGTAATTCTGTGGTTTTTCTAGAAAGAAATAATTTATTGAATTGAACCATTGAAATAACAACTTTTTTATTCTTTGTGTGATTTTTATATCTATTTTCGAAGGTGCCAATTTCATTATCGAAAAAATTTTATTTGCGATGATTTCAAATACTATGCATACATGATCAATTTGAAATTGGTTTGTAGCGTAAACCTCAAAGTGTCATTTGTATCTCAGAAAATATAAATTGAAATACAAATAACGCTATCCGATCCTACAAGTGACTATTCTGAAATACAATCGACGATTTCTGAAATTCAAATGACAATTCTAAAATACAATTGATACTTTCGGAAATACAAATGACTAATTCTGCAATTGAATTGACATTTTCTGAAATACAACTGGGAATGGTGTATTCCTGCACAATTTTCGATAAATTATACCGTAATGTTAAAATAGGCACGGACCAAATCGAGGACCAAAACATGAATGGGCTTCAAGAGAAGCTATACAGATACTGACTGATTTCAACTGTGATTATTGTTTTTCATCAAATACAGGGTGTTGCAAATTACAACCGAACTCGGCAGGAAGGCCCACAAGAGGATCTTTTCATTGATATAGGATCTTGACGCTGAATTTTTTTACTCGGATTATAATATATGTTTTCCTCTTGAAAAACCTCAAATTTTGATGATACAGTACCACTACTTGTACTACTTGTAGCTCGAAACGGATAAAATGAGCGAAATTACTTCGATTTCGAAACATATAATCGAATATGCATGGAAATATAATATGAATTACATTCGTATGTAAAAAAAGACCGTTCGCGAGTTATTCAAAAATAGCAATAGCTCCGTGTATTTCAAGAATTCAGCACTTGGAGCCCTTGACCCTATACCTGCCTAGTCGAATTTCAGAAATTCAGAATACCCTGTATATCATCGACAGTGGATGAACCTGAATGGACAAAGGAATTACACCTCGGATTACACAATAATTCATTTTTGTTATTGTTCATTCATAATATACATCGTTCAATAGGTATGTACCTATGAAATATTAAAAAAATCGAATTTGTAGATGTGATGACTCAAGTTGGAATCCCATAGGTACCCTTGAAATGCTCTGTAATATGAATTTCTTAAATGAGACAAGTAAATTGGAGCAATTTGGTATTCAAATTGAAATGGAATCCAAGATGTGGAATTTCATTTCGGCTGAGCGAATTGTTAATTTGCCCCTAGCAATATAATCTGAAATTTGAAATATACCTTCAATTTGGCGGAAAAGATAAGAGGGAAGACTAAAAGTCATCTCCAGAAGATATTCCTATCCGCTTTGAACTATAACGTCATGGACCGATGGACTTCTATCAGAAATTATAAAGCGATTTAAAAACAAACATCAAATACTTCAGCAGAGTATCACTTTTCATCATGAATTCCTTCTTATACAGTGTGTTACAATTTGGTCCACCTAACCCCTGTACTGGGCGATTTGAGAATTTTTTTTGGCATGATATTCTACTCAGTTGAGCAAACATTTCTTAATTCAACCTCTTAGGCTACTGCGATCACAAAAACTTCAGCAACATTGAAGAAAACGGAATAGGCATATTTTTTCAAAAATGTTTATAATTGCAATCGATTCGGACTAATCACGTATACTCCTAAATCAATTTTAAAAACATTTTCTCACAAGGGGTATGTATTTTTTATCAACGTTACAATTTTTTAATAATTGCATTTTTCAAGTCACCGTGTATAATTATTATTCTTATAAGAATTCGAATACTACCAGACATCATGGTAGTCAGAATTAGATAATCTGGCTACAGAATGAGAAATTCAGGCCAAGAAATAAAGAAAAAAATATACTAGAAGAGAAAAAGAATCCAATCATAGCAGAGATAGGGAATCAAATCAATTCAATAATTCTCAGTGGTGCGTGTATTCCACGTACAGGGTTATCGAAATCAAGTGTCCGCATCAGCCATTTATTGTAACTTTTTTGTCGAGACTTTTGTTGATATTAAAGATACAAAATTTCAGCTCATGACACAAGTTGACGTAATAAAAGAATATAGTCGGGTTATTTTCGTTTTAAAAAAATCTATGTTTCGTCCTAACTCGAGATAGCCATGCTCAATCGTTTTTTTTTTTGTTTTTTCATCTCAAAAAAACAGTCAATAACAATCTTCATTACTAATGCTGGAAACGCAATGTGGATATCTCTTCATAGTATGTGGGAATAAATTCATTGCATTATCAAATGAACCTCATGATTTTACTGGGTTTTTGTCCAAAAAAAGATCTCTCTATACACAACGACACGACATGAATGAATTTATCAACATTAGGTTTCGCACCATATTAACTTACAAAAAAAAACAAAATAATTGTATACCTACCTGATGTTACACTTTTGATTGAGAGCTCTCACCAATTATTCAAAGCTTGAGCTCTCATACATCCAGACATAAACAACAAACTAACCAATGTTTTTATAGGTTATGTATAGAAAGACGTTTTTGGGCTGAACTAGCAGCACCATCAACATGAAGAAATAATAAGCAATAATTCATTTGAAATCATCAAAAATTGCAATCGAATCGGTCAAAACGAAAAATCCGTTTCCTACATATTATTTGTCACCCCCAAACAACCGACCAAATTCCCCCCTTCACCACTCCATCCCCCGTATCGAATAGAGCCTCTATCCCTCTAAACTAAATAAAGACCTCAGAGGAAACCCGCTGTTATCAACGAGCTGCCCACTCTTTTTTCCACGGCACGTTGAACTCATCGGCCATCGCTCCGCTGGAAATTTCCCTTTGAAGTCAGGCACGGTGGAAAACTCGCGGAAAATCGATAGCCACTCGACCCAAATAGCCCTTCGTTCGAGACTGAAATTCGACTGAACCACTGAATGTTTCAGGCGATGAAAGGGAGCTAGCTGAAACCACCTGTCGGCTGCCTGCTTCGAGTGTATTCGGTACATGATCGTTTGAGTGTGCGGTAAGTGAACTACCCTTTACCCTTAGTCCTTAGTCATCAAAGAATAGAAGGAGGACCACAAAGGCGCTGAAAGGACATAGTGCGAAAAAACTTTTTTTTTTGTTACAATACAAATACATATATCGGAGACTGGAATTCACTGTGGAAAATTCCTATTAACCATAGTCAAAAATCGAATTACAATTACCCCAGCAAGAAACTCTATAATAGCATAGGGGACAAGCGAGTTATAACCTGTGGTTATAAAGTCGACTTTGCTGACTATAACTCACCTGCGACACCCTGCGATTATTAGATATAGAACCTTGCTGCCACTAGCGAGTGCGCATCTGTATGTTGCTATTAGACGATGTTTCTGTAGTAGGTATCTGACTTTGCACCCCTCAGGGGCTCACGACTTGTGAGTACGGGAATGGCAATCCCGAGGTACCCTAGCCGGATACTCATCAATCTTCAACTTGTCTTTGATGGTATCCTCTTCAATCTTCAGTTTCCAATCTTTTTCTTCATCGGCCTCCCTTGGTCACTTCTCCTCTTTTCCTTCTCCCCTAAAGCCCAACCTCACCATAGTGCGGGGAGGACAAGCCGCGGCTGCTCGGCAGATTGAGCATTTTGGGAACATCTTTGCTGTCATCACTCAGATGGGACAGTTTTGTGGACATCTGAGTGCGAGGATGGGGCAATTTGTGAACATCTGCTTATGTGGCCGCGGATTGATAACGAGGCTCTGGCAATCCCCTCAGGGGCTCACAACTTGTGAGTACGGGAATGGTGAACCCGAGGTACCCTAGCCGGATATTCCCCATACTTCAACTTGTCTTGGGTGATATTCTCTTCTCTCTTCCGTTATCAATCTTTCTATCGGCCTTTCTTGGCCAACTTCTCTTTTCCTCTTCCCCTCCAAGCCCAACCTCATCATCAAGTGACGTGGGGAAGGCAGGCCGCGGCCGCTTGACAGATGAGGCATTTTGGGACCATCTTTGCTATCCTCTGCCAGATGGGACAATTTGTGGACATCTGTGGCAGGAATGGGGCGATTTGCTGATGTTTGTCTAGGTGGTCGAGGACTGGTCAACGAGGCTCTGGCAACCTAATCCAAGCTGTGGGAACCCGTGGCGATGGATGGATGGCACCGAGGAATGGTGTCGCAAACGGGGCCTCTGGGAAACAGGGCGACATCCCAGAGTAAACAGCCTTAGCCCTGTGCAGGGGGCACCACAGGGCTGGATCAACCCCTTCCCCCGTCACTCGTAGGAGAAGGAAAACTTTTGGCCTTCTTCGTAGACGAGAACAGGGATCGGAAGAGCAATCTTCAGGAACCTGAACGAATAGGGTCTTTCATATTGAAGTGCCCTTAATAGGCACCATGAGTCGTATGTGGTAAAATTGATAACGGCATGTAGGTGAGATACGATGGGCCACTAGGCCTAAGTGTCGTCGGAGCCTACAACGGGGTGGAGTGTTTAGTGGGTATACCATGGAGGGGACTCCCACACTATCATATGGGGAATTGGACCCATATGATGTCTATAAAAGATTTCAACCACCTCGGCGAAAAAAAAAGTGAGTGGATCTAATAATGGGAGTAGGGCAATGTTATAATCGTAGGTAGGCTACTCTTGATGGGTGATCATATAGATAGTTGCATGACCTTCTTGCTGTAGTTATTCAGTTATTTTCCAGGATTGTTGTCATCAAGAAGGTGAAATTTAGACTGATATCCAATTTCACTTCCAATAATTTCCACCCTGATGTTTGGTATGAATAGCAATTTATTGATTCCTCAAGAAATTTTCGGACCAATAATGAAAGGATTTTGAGTGGGTAATTAATGAAAAGAATTTTCTAGAAACTTTCTGAAACCAATGTATTTCGAAAACTAGGCAAGTCATCACAGATTCGTATATATAGGAAAACAAAATGTTACCAGTGAAATCATTCAGATAATTTCATGACCTGAACATTTTGCTCACAATAAGTTTTTAGACCGCATTCTATAGAGAAGCCCTGATGGAGCATATATTTGACAATTTTAAAGTTTCATGGTACCAAGAGGGCAAGAGCAAGGAAATGTTAGATATTAAATATTTGAATTCCAGTCGAAATACCTCGAGAAAACGTATCTTCATCATTCCATCAATCCTGATAATAACTGAAGCACGCAGATCTACGAAAGCACTCAGATCTACGAAAGCACTGAATGGGAATAGAAGATGTTTCTATTTGTTTAAAAATGATTCCATTTTATATTTGAATTCAGATTCAGATATTGAATAAGGAATTGAATTCAAGAGGGGAAGTATTCGTAACTGCCGTCGTGTCGTCGAGGCTGTCGTCCTGTACATGGGTTTGCATCAAGAGCCCAACTGTGAATGATTGATCATGATCAAGCAAGATGTCTGACAAATATGCTTATATAGAGGGGAACAAATCAGCAAAATATTGAATAACGATAAGTAGGCGCTAAATAACCCCAAGTAGGTCGTTACCCACGTGAACTCAATGGTAACGATCGAGTAGGTTCGTCAAATACTATTTTCGTGGCAGACTGACAGTTCTATTATTGGTAGTCAGTATACAGTTCTATATAACTTACTATAGTAGTAGTTCAGCAAGACAAATATAAAAAAATCATGCTGTCCTAGAGTGGCTGTCTGATAACGACAGCAGTATACCTTCCTGTGGCAGGAAATTCACTTTCAGCAAAGTCGTTATAGCTATCTTAGGATTTCAAGGTGCTGCTTCTATTCGAAAATGTATAACGGTAATATGATTTCTTGTAATGGTAGCAAGAAATATCTCAGCAAAAATTCGGATAGCACAATTTTCCTCAGTGAACCATTGGCACGATGTAATACACACCTCGACACGTGTTTCGCTAACTATGTTAGCATCTTTAGGAGAAGATTGAAACTAAATGCTCTATCCTAGTGTGCTACTCATAAACTAATATGTCCACCCAACCGTGAATACATGTTATATTACTAAACTATACAGAGGGTTAAATGGGATAGGTCCATTAGCCTTAATATTCATTACTCTATTACTACTCTCAAATATCTCTAAGCTTTCATATGCATCTAATTTTTAATTTCAATTAACATTATCAACTTGCTTTACTAATTTGAGGTTATCAATATGTGTGTTATGATTGTGATTGAACATGTGTTCAACTACACACGATTTATCTTACCTACCATATTTTAAATGCGCTAAGTGTTCTTCGAATCGTGTTCTTATGGAACGCCTGATTTGGCCTATATATGTTTTATCACAATCATTACATCTAATTTCATATATTCCTGACTTTTCAAGTGTGTCCACCTTATCTTTTGGATTACGACCTATAATAAATTGCCTAAATTTGACCCAGACTGATGAACTTTTTCAAAACATAAGGTCTCTGAAAACCTTATCAAATCCTCTTGTGTACTTGGGTTGAAACAATTAAATTTATGTTCGAAATTATATTTTCCTGTAAGTGTCTGAACTATTTTGGTGAAATGGCTATGGCTAGATCGATAGAAAATGGCTAAAAAATGGAAATGTATCACCCTATATAGACTCTAGAGTCTAGACTAACAGTTTCAATCCAAAGCCGAAATCGTCCAACTATCAACAAAACCACGAATAAATCAAGCCACAGTTGAACAGTTAAACCAGCTCAACAATAAACGCGTGAGCGACGAATAATCCCCACCTTTGTCGACAGGTTGATATCGACTCTCACTTACGACTCTTTTACGAGTATTCCACTGTGGTAAATATCCATGTAATAAATATGTACCTATCTACAATCAAATCAAAACAGGCGTTTATCATGTTATCAAGAGTACATTATTTATTTGTTTTAGTCTTGTTCAGCATCTCTCACTCAGGAACGTGTAATCGTCTAGGTATATAAACCATCACTAATAACTAAAATAACGAAATCATTGTTACATAATAGAATATCATAATTAACAAGTTTTGTTGTGTTGAAGGTGAAGCCATGGAAGCTAACGGTGTAGTTCCAGATGTTATTGAAGTTGCTCCTCAGGAAGTGGTTCAGGTATGTTCAATTACAAAACATTCAGGTGCTATAAGTACTTGTCGACAGAGGTGTATCTTTGGTATTCCTGTTTGAGAATTTCGGAATCCCTCAAAAGAGGAAATCACGGAATGTACGAGAGTCAAACAGTATATATATATATATAAATGTATACAGGGTGATAAAATGATTATTTCCAATTTTAGTTATTTCAATAAGTTTATTTCATTGATTGTGACTCATTTATTATTTCTGTTGCTTTTTATTAAGAACCATAATTGAAAATTGGACTGGATAATTATGAAAATAACAAAAAAAAAACAAAACCCGGATTTTGCGTTGAAATTCGGTATGTATTGTCAAAATCGATTACTAAGCAAGTTTTCTGAATAACTTTTTTCGGTATCTCCAATGCGAAGCAAATTATCGAGAATTTTCCTTTTTCGCGGGATCGCATAGCAGAGGCTGGGTTTAAGAATCTGTGGTTCAAGGCTGTCACTCGCGTGAGTATTGCGAAAAGTAGGTAAATCCCATAAAGGTCTACGTATGTTCCAAAAATCAAATTTCTAGTTTTAAAAATGACTCAAATACAGGAGTGTCTTCATCTTAAGTGTGTCACACTGTATGTATATTTTCCACTTTGACGGCCAGTATCTCGAAAACGAAGCGAATCCAGACATATGCCCATTAGAAATTTCTAGGCATTATTTCAAGCTTAAATTTTTATTAGGTATTATTTGAAATTTTAATAAGTTCACCAGTGTCGCCAGTTGCACTATATGTGATTTATACAGTGTGGATACTTCTGTAATACATTCGTTAGAAGGGAGGTGAATATTTCTCCAAAAAATTCCCGGTAGCAGAACCACTCTCAACATAATTTTTTCAAATGTAACCCTATGGCTTGTGACTCCTGATTGGAAAGCTGGTGAAAAGAGGAATTCCAGTTTACTAGTCAAATTTTAATTTTTTATACATTTAAAGGTTGCATAAAATTGCGCATTCTTAAAATAACATTGAAAAATAACACTCATTTGTTCATATTGTTTTAAAAGTCCAATTTGAAGAGGCAACCAGAATTTTGAGAATTCTCAACCACTTATTGAAAAAATGAGAAGAAGAAAGTGTATGTCTGACTTCTGACAGAATCGCGCCTGTGCAAGTTACACTTTCACTTATATTTGTCTTTAGGAGATAAAAGTTGGTGTTCTTTTAGCGAATAGTTAATGAAAGATAAAAATTAATTTGGGTGTATAAATGATTGAACGGAAATATTGGTGTATAATCGTTAATGATTGTGAAACTTCAGATTGATGAAAAAGCTATAAGATATCTTCTGATGGATATCCGCTATAAATCCATGGATGAATATCTCATGGATGTCCATCTGAAGACCACAAAAAAGTAAATATATGAGAGCTATTTTCGAGTGATTGTATATTTTTGTACGAAAACATTGAACAACAGAGAAAAATTCCAAACTGTGGTGTTGTTATTTATATATGAATTCATATTTGCATCGGATATCTTAATTGTGACTATAAACATATTGTACCTACATAACAATAGTTATATGATGGAAAACTACCTTTGAATTTCTAATAAACATGTCATTTGCATGTGATATTTGTGATGATTCGTATTGTTTTGAACCATTCTCAATTAACAATTTTTGTTCGCTAAACGAACATCTTATGGACGTCCATAGGTGATCCGCATCAGAATATCCATTTGATATCCTCTGACGGATATCCTATGGATATCCATTACATGTCCCAGGATATCCCGACCTGAAATGGACTTGAGAAGGATATCCATAGGATATCCTGTGTTATCTGGGCTGCGTGCATAAATCCGCCTTTAGTTCGGCAAACTATAAAAGCGTGTTTTTCTCTAGTTTTTTCTATTTTTTCTAACTAGCACTCCTCATTCAAAGTGGTTAATTTGCACGCCTGTTGCCTTCCTTGGATATTGTAACCATATATCAGGTTCCCTCTTCGGAAACTTCATTTCATACGAATGCTTGGTCACTTGGTGCAAGACACTATAAATCGTCATTCTGAATAATGTTACTATTTCATACGAGTACTTGGTGCAAAGCACTTCCGTGTCTCTGGATGTAAAAAGATGTTCGAAAGAATAAAAATTAACATTTGAAATTTTGGTGAAGGAACAATTCAAATTTTGGTGGCGGAACATAACTCACCATTTTATTCGAGATTAAAAAACCTCTCATCCTGAAGATCCCGATCAGGATATATAATGGAACAAAAAACATCAAATTATGCTCATCGGTCCTTGATAAGTAAACGAAGTTTCAATTCAATTCGATGTTTTGAGAAGTGGGTCAGAATCATACGTTTGAAGATTCCGTTACAAACATACACACACATACATACCTTAATGGGTTTGATGAAGCAACTAATGCTTGTTCCAACGAGACCAAGTTTGTTGAAATCCGTTCATTTTAATTGATACGTCAAAAAGCGTTGAACAAAATTGAATATTCGAATAAAGCTCAGCTTTCAAAAGCAAATCACTTTAAAAAGTTTCAGATGACGGTTGCGCACCCTGGCAGCCATCTTGGAAACCTGAAAATAATTTCCAGGATTTTCTTTTGGCCACTTTAGTTATTACCGCAAGTCTCTCAAGACGAATAGCTTCCGAAATACAGCACTTTGCATTCTTATCTGGTCACCCTGATGTGCATATACTTACCAAGCTAATAAAAGAGCGCGATGAAAACATTTCATTGGAACTTAGGATGAAATAAGTTTTCTTTCATTCCGCCAGTATATGTATGTCATGAATCGCGTAATCGCCGGATCGCCGGCAACAGCGGATGACATAACTGTCAAGAATTATAATTCAGACTGTTTGTCCAAACTTTTTCGATGAACTTTTCATCTCAAACTTTTCCATTTGTGCGTAATATGCTTCTTACAATACATCAATACATATATAATACACTGTGAAATTTAAATTTCTCAAAACTCATTTTATTTTAGGTTTCATATCCCAGTGGTGTGAAAGTTGATCTTGGAAATGAACTAACTCCAACTCAGGTGAAGGATGATCCAAGTTTGAAATGGAATGGTGACCAGGATACATTGTATACAGTTGCGATGGTTGGTAAGTATTTCCCCATTATAATTTTGATTAATATTTTCTTCTTATGATTTTAAACCAATCAGATGGTTCAATTGAGCCTGACAGCCTTCATGTTCTCAACGATGTAACCATATAGATTTTCAAATCAAAGTTCGTTCCGATTCTAGCCTTCAAGGTCAATAATTAGTAACATAAGTGAATTCAGTTATCTTCGAAAATTTGACGAATAAAATGTTTGGTTTTTCCACTAGTAGAGAGTTGAAGTGTTGTCATGAACGTTAACGTAAACGTAGAAATTGGCAGCTACGCATGCGCATTTTCCAATTCTTCACGTTTGCGTTGTTAGTGGGCTTACGGGTGTACGTTATCTCACGTACCTTCACGTTTACCTTAAATATCAACGTACGTTAACCAAACTATACTCGAAATATGCCGATGAGTCAAAATTATCAAATTTGGGATACCCAACGAGTTCTGCATCAAGGAGTCCTCTCATTTTGACAGGAATAAATGTTCGAATCTAAACACACAACCAAAATTGACCAATACAAACCGAAAATAAAATGTATTATTACGTTATGATGACAGTGACGACTTCAACTCAATTTAACGACAATACGTAAACGTTATTTTTCGTACCTTAACGTCTACGTACAGTGATTACTTCAACTCTCTAGTATCTGCACAAGCAGCATAGGCCTACAAACTATCTGAACTAGAGCTGACAGTTGTCACACTAACAAAGGTTACTATTCTTTCTTTTATTCGTCTGAGATTTAGACCATATATCTACTACTCATATATGAAGCATAGCTGTCCTCAAAGCGGGACCAACTTTTGGTAATCTCACTGAAGGTACCCGACGGTGAGGAAGCTGTTCAGACGTGATCGGTGTGTTGGGCAGTTCTACTGCACATTTCTGTGCATCACATCTGCCCGAGTTCAGTGGCTGGATGTGATTTCTCACGTCCACGGAACTATTTTATTTTCCTGTTTGGGAGATAGTCCTGTCTAGATCCCCCCGGTGTCTCGGGTATGTCCGAGAATCCGGGAAGATTCCCAAATATAGATTTATCAAGTTCTCTAAACACATCGGTTGATGCATATATCAGCCCGTGTTTTTTGCGTATGTTATGGTGTTGGCGTAGTGTGGTGATGTTCCGGGTAGATCACTTCCAGGTGGTATTTGTAGAATTTATTTGATATTTTCCGGATGAACTCGTTGATTCTAGGCAAATTACTACATCTCTCGTGGAGATCTGCCACTCGAGAGTATCTATCACCGTTGGTGATAATACGAAGTACCTACTTTATTGTTCTGCGTAACCTATTCATATGAGTAGGTGGGATGCTGCAGCAGAGATAAGTTACCCTGGCTGCAGTACACACAGGACACGCGTATGTTATCACATGACTGATGACCGGCTTGTACACCAGGACCTTGTTCTCCAACGAGAGTGCAGAGGTCCTGGATAACAAAGGGTACATCTTTTTTATTAGTGTGTCTTTTGGATAAGTTAGTTGGTGTTAGGCCTGAGAGTCATACGAGTGTCATTGGAAGTCAGATACACAGACCACTAAGCTATCGCTTTACTCGTAGTAGTCCTAGTTTCTCAATATAGAGAAGGAAGAAATATCGTGTTGTGGGTGACGTCACTTGACCTCGATGTTTTGAAGATTCGCTGGTCTAGCTAGACGCTTGTCTTTTTCAACGGTCCCAAGGGCAAGTGAAGATCTCTAATTTTTTCGTTATCATTATTTTTTCAAGACCCTGACGCACCCAGTCGAAAAGAGCCAACCCTTCGCGAAGTGCTCCACTGGCTAGTCGGCAACGTTCCCGGTACCGAAGTCCAGAAGGGAGTGGCCCTTGCGGGGTACAGAGGGTCCGGCCCTCCTCTCGGCACGGGACTCCACAGATACGTTTTCCTCATCTACAAACAGAGCGGACGAATCGAATTTGACGAAAAACCCATCTCTAAAACGTAAGTGGAATCAAAAACATCTCGATAAAAATAGTTATTTATTATACAAGGGAAAAAATTAGTATATTTTAGCTCCAGGTTGTGTTGTCTCCCGACGCGTAGCAGACGGAAACAAAAAACCGTGATCTAAAATCTAATATTTTTCCCGTGTATAATACAAAAAAATTTTCTGTGACAGAAGAAAGGGCGAATCAATATTGAGAAGATTACATTATTTTGACATATGAACACGTGAAATTTTAAGTTTTTAACAATAGGGACACCTGCGTCGTAGGCATCTTTATCATTCTTTTGAAGTAATCAAATATCTGATGTCACTTCTGTCAGTCGAATTCTGTGATTTGACCGCGAATACGTCGAATGGAAGATAAAAGGACTTTCAGTTCTTTCTCTGAGATGACGGTATTATTGACTCATTTTTCGCAATTATAGCACAACAAAAGCCATCAACAGTGTATATGTGATATATATCCGGGAAAAAAGTACTCACTTTTTTCCCACGGGAAAAAAGTAATTTATGAAGTGACATTTTATAACCTGCCAACAGAGATGAAATGCCAAACTTTTTTCCCCTCACAAAAAAATTGTTATTTATACTATACACCAAGGTAGTTAAGAAAAGCAGTATTACCCAGGGACAAAATATTATATCCCTAGGCTTCAGCCGAGGGGTATAAGGTCCCGTGATGATAATTTTATTCTTTAGGTACTATATCAAGGCTATATTACATTTCTTTCACCACTAGCAATACATTTCAATCATTTTAGTACTGAGAAACTGATATATGGCCCCGTCACTATGAAAGCACTTCTTTCCCTAGATCTTAGATCTTTCCGATCTAATTAAAATCTAGTAGCCATCATGACCATGACAGCATGTGATAAGTAATTTAGTAATAAAAACCTACTACACCCTAGTGCCATTCCTGCGATTTCGCATCAGAACAGTGAATTCCGGTTAATTACAACAGAGGTGGGGGTGGCTATGTCTCTCTATTGACTATAGTGGTTCTAAAATGACGAAAACTACCTTGGTAGTAAAAACACACTTCACTCCTCGAAAAAGGAGTAAATAATGATAGGTTTCATGTAAGATGGCTACAAGGACGGTTTCATAGCTAGTGGTGGAAACAAGAAATTATTCTGCACTTGGTTCTGTTGTTTTTACGACGATTTTGTCATTAAAACATTGTGTTGGCAACACTGGAAATGAGAAGAAATGGAGAAGAAGACCATTCTAACCTTTTTTATATTGAGGTTATATAATCTTCTTCTTCATTTTTTCCAATGCCACCAACATAACATTTCCATTTTTTGTCTCAACAATCTCAACGCTAGCTGAACTAGAAGACTAGAACTACTGCTCTAATAATCTGTAATTTTTTTTATAGATCCAGGGAAGGACGTTTGAAATTCTCCATCAAGAAATTCGCTGAAAAATACAACTTGGGACAACCAGTATGGGGCAATTTCTATCAAGCACAATATGATGATTATGTCCCAACCCTTCATAAACAAACTGATCAATAATGTACAACAATAAACAATAATGTACAACATCTATAATATGTAGTCATTCATTTATAGAAATGACCATGTGACCATCTATGTATTTTTATCATTCAACAAAATAAACATATTCTCAAATCTTATAATTACTACTACTTTATTTATTTTTTTATTGATTCATAGCACAAATTTTTGTATGCACCTTATTTCAATCTCAATTGTTAGTTTCCCGTTCCTTCCATTTCTCTTTCAAAAACTTCATCTTCTCTTTCTTTTTTTGACTTGTGGAGCTTTTTTTATCCTGAATTGACTTAATTTGGGCTTCAACACTATTTTCTCTGTTGTAGAAATTGTCCACTTTTGACAAAAGAATGTCATGAGCTATTTTCCTATTTTGTTCAAGAAATCTTGTTTCTTGGCATTTAACTACAATTCCTGAAATGAGAAAGATGAGTACCTAGTGATTGACAATTTTGAATGAAAAATAATATGTACCTGTAGGGATATGCTTCAGTACCACACAACTAGATGTTTTATTTATTTTTTGGCCTCCAGGGCCAGATCCTCTGACATGCATTTCTGCTAAATCCTCATCTTTCAAAAGGGGTACTCTTGAGTAATCAATTGAATGTTTTGATCTCAAAAAAACTCCAAAACAAGCCCTCAAATGTCTTTGTAATAGCATTATTGAATTGATCTTTTGGACAATAATGTGACACCTTTCTGTAAATTGAGCAATGAAATGATAATCTATAGGCATTTAATTGATATTGTCTTGGGCCTTGATTGGGGTAAGTTGATTCTGAACTTAGCACTACAAATGGAAGTTGTTTCTAGTCTCACAATAAAGGTTGTTTTGGCACTGTGAATGAATCAAATAGCTGCTGTATGGGCCATGGGCATGGAATAATAACAGTGATGCTTGTACATGATGTATGTACAAACGTTTTTCAGATTCATTTTCAACTTTAATGGCACCTTTAATAAGTAATTTATCGAAAGGCAAAGTAAAGGTCAACCTATAGAATGGACTTGACATGCAAATATTATAAGGGATATTTTCTCTTCATGTAATAAATTTCATTTACTGTAAAATATCTAATAGAAACATTACTCACCTCAAAATTATATTTTATATCCGCCTCATCAGTGAGATTTTTATTCAGCTTGAATTCTTTTATAAGTCTTTTTTGATAGAAATCCTTATCAGTTAATTTCAATTCTTGACCATATCTTAACAGACCTTTATACAATTTCAATATTTCTCGCGGCTGAATTTTATTCATTTTATTATAAAAAAATAAATAAAACCACTACAAATTACAAATCATTATTAAAAGTTTTGTTTTTTGGATTTGGACTTGAGTTGTTGACTTTAGAAAAATAAAACACTAGGTTATTTTCTAAATATTTCAAATTATTTTATATTCGTATCATTATTCCTAATACCACAGTATACAGTTCTACTTAGTCATTAGGTATCTTGATCCCTGGACTAAATAGCAATCAGCCAATCTCAACAATGTCCAGACTAGATATCATCTCAAAAAAAAAGAAGGAGAGTTGCACTGACAACACTGTGAAATAAAAACGTCAATAATAAAAAAAATGAAACGTCACTTAGTCAAATAGTCACTTCTGTTCTGACAAGTCTCTGTGCTACTGAGCTGTGTGTATGGATTTGCGGAATTGAGATTGATTAAAATTTATGGAATCTTTTATTATTAAGGTGCTTCATGATAGTGAAATGTTACGGAAACATTCATATTCAGGTGGGTAAGAGCTTTAAGAGTCTATTATATTGAATAAACGTTTCACATTAAACATAATATATCACCGTTTTCGTGAAAGGGCGGATCTGGAACCAACAAATTCTGTTGGGAGATTTTGATTTTTTTTTGTGATTAGACATTCAGGTCTTTCACCACGGATTTCTGCAATATACTTCGATGTATCATATTTATAATATCCTCAGCTTTCCGTATATTTCACATTCTACATTCAGCCTGACTAGTAACGCTAATACTACCTAGCTGCTGCCGCTGCTGGCTTATCAGTCCGCCCACTTGTACTGAAACTGTACAACCTGTCTATTATATTAGATATTAGCGGCTACTTCAATACTTATGCAAAAGTAATATGTAATGATGAAAAATTATGAAAAAACCATGAAGTTGACCCCCATCTCTTTAGTCAATAAGTAGGTAGCAGTGGGAGGTATACCTAGTAAACCAGAATTATGTTGTTACTTCAGATTGAGGGAATAGATTGACCTCCAGTTTCACAAAATGATTGGAGGCTTATTTGTCTACAACCACAAGGGAGAAGTCCTCATCTCCAGAGTGTATAGAGATGATATTGGTAGAAATGCTGTTGATGCTTTTCGGGTTAATGTTATACATGCAAGACAGCAAGTCAGATCACCTGTTACTAATATAGCTCGTACCTCTTTTTTCCATATCAAGGTAAGAATTATGTTCAATTGAAATTGTTATTGTTCTTTGTGAGATACATTAGGTACCTACATACTCTACATTTTTTTGTAGAGAGCCAATATATGGATTGCAGCAGTAACAAAGCAAAATGTTAATGCTGCTATGGTCTTTGAGTTCCTCCTCAAAATCATTGAGGTTATGCAGTCTTATTTTGGGAAAATTTCTGAAGAAAATATCAAGAATAACTTTGTGCTGATCTATGAACTACTTGATGGTAATAAAAATATATGATATCAATTGCTTTACTAAGGGGGAAACAACTGCCCAAAATGTGTACACCATATTATTCAATTATCATGTACTTGAAAAGAGTATCAAAGTATTAAAAGCTCAATTAAAAGCAAGATTTAAAGCATATTTTGAATACTCAATATTAGTACTTGAAGTGCTTGAAATTCCCCCTCAGCTTCAACTAATAATGAATACTATTTGACACTATTAGACATTTATCTCAGTTTTGATAATAAACTGAACTCAAATTTAATTCAACTACAACTTTCAGAAATTCTTGATTTTGGGTATCCCCAGAATACTGATACTGGTGTGTTGAAAACATTCATCACTCAACAAGGTATCAAATCTGCCACTAAAGAGGAACAAGCTCAGATCACCTCTCAAGTTACTGGGCAAATTGGGTGGCGTAGGGAAGGCATAAAATACCGGCGAAATGAACTGTTTCTTGATGTTTTGGAATATGTAAACTTGTTGATGTCACCTCAAGGTGAGTGATTCTTTCCATTCAATCAAATTTACCAACTCATATTATGTGATAGATGTTTATGCAATAATGTTCCATTAGAATGTTCCACCATACATCTTTTTTCATGTTGAACAATGATTCATGACATTAAGAAGAATTTCAGTAGACATTTTCTTATATAATATTCCAGAATGATTGATTTGAAAATATTGAAACAAAACTCTGATAAAAATGTTTCAAAATTCAAAAGTGTTCTCTAGAATTTCAAATATTGGGCACAACTAGGAATCAAAAATTGTTTTCCTTTTCCAATAGAAATTCAATGTTTAGTAATTTACATAACAATTCCAGAAAAAACTGTTTTTGGACATGTTGCATGCACTATTTTTTTGGCAACCATGTAGAATAACAAATCAATGAGACATATTTCAACAGGGTTGGAATAAGTCATGACTTTTATAAAAAAGTCATCAAAGTCCGACTTTTCGAATTAAGTCAGACTTTTTTGAATTAATTCATTTGAAAAAAAAAAAAACAAATTTCATTTACCCAAAGTGAAATAGAAAAAAAGAAACAAAAAAACTATGTTTTTATTCCCTTGAGAAATCTTGTAGAATAACATCATAATATAACATGTCATTTTTTCAAAACAAAATTAACAGTGATGATAGAATACAAAATAATAGATACATATAGATCCAGTATCATCCATGAAGTTCGTAACACATGGAGAAAAAGTTTATTAGTAGAATATGGAAACATTTTTTCTGGGGATTATGCATGTCTGACTACTTAAAAGTCGATTTTGACACATCATGTCACTTGATCACTGGTATGGCAGTGAATACAAAAAATTACGATGGCAAAAAGTGGGGTTAGATGGGAAGATGAAGTTATTTAAAAAAAATTGAAATAGCTATTTTCAGTTTTCTCAAATAATGGCTGGAAATTCCATATGCGAGCATGAAATTGAATTCTATTCAACTTGTACATCATCAACATCACTACTGTCAGAAAAAAAAGAGAATTGTAACAAAATTGAAGAATATTCGAAAAAATATAGCTATTTCCAATTCTCCTCCAAAAATTGCTCGAAACTGAATGTGGAATAGCAACTTAATAAGAAATATTTATGGATATTTTGTTATCTAACCCCACTTTTCGTCGCTTTATAGTATTATTTTTATTTATCACCATACGTGATCACGTGACATGTGTCAAAATCGATTTTCAAGTTATCGGATACGCATAATGGATCGCCGAGAGAAAAAAATTCGATGCTGTGATAATAAACCTGTTCTCATATGTTATGGACTTTATGGATGATACTTGATAGTCTTGATACTGTATATATATCTGTTAGTAAGAATCTCTGCCATGCTTGAAATAGCAAAGTCTTGCCAAAATACGATCGAATTTTTCAGTTTAAACTAGTTAAAATCGAAGGTAATAGTGCAAGTTGTCTCATTTTTAAAAATTTGAATGAATTCATGACTTTTTCGAAAAAAGTCAATGGAATTAATTCACGAATTAAATCACTGATTTAATTCATATGAATTAATTCATGCCAACCCTGCATTTCAATATCATATTTCTGTGTAGAATAAAATTTCAATCATTTTGATTGTTATTTGTATCAAGTACTGAAATTTGAACAGAATACCTATACCTATTACTATCACTGCTGCTTTGATAGTTGTCAGCCATTATTTCACTGCAATGATAATGATCATCTGCATTTATTAACACAAGGATGGTATACTTCCTAGACTAGGCCGGAAAAATGCTACATTCTAAAAAAAAAAGCGCCAGGTTGCCGCAAAAGCATTTTCCTACGAGCATTCGGAAAAGTGACTTTTCCGTATGATTTTTTGTTTTGAAAGTTTACTTTTCCGTACGATTTCACGTTTCCGCACGATTTTGAAGGAAATACCAGGAGACATATGGTGATAACTGTTGGCACCAAAATCTACCTATAGCAACAGCTATAAACTGACAGTAGTGGCAGTCAACAAATAAGCATTTCAGACCACTCTACCTTTCTCCATTCACTACACCAGTAATTCTCAGCAACAAACTGATCAAAGCATTCTGTAGTGGGCCAAACACTAACCAGGAAACATGTGGTGATAACTGTTGGCGCCAGAATGTACCTATAGCAACAGCTATAAACTGACAGTAGTGGCAGTCAACAAATAAGCATTTCAGACCAATCTACCTTCCTCTATTCACTACACCAGTAATTCTCAGCAACAAACTGATCAAAGCATTCTGTAGTGGGCCAAACACTAACCAGGAAACATGTGGTGATAACTGTTGGCACCAGAATGTACCTATAGCAACAGCTATAAACTGACAGTAGTGGCAGTCAACAAATAAGCATTTCAGACCAATCTACCTTTCTCCATTCACTACACCAGTAATTCTCAGCAACAAACTGATCAAAGCATTCTGTAGTGGGCCAAACACTAACCAGGAAACATGTGGTGATAACTGTTGGCACCAGAATGTACCTATAGCAACAGCTATAAACTGACAGTAGTGGCAGTCAACAAATAAGCATTTCAGACCAATCTACCTTCCTCTATTCACTACACCAGTAATTCTCAGCAACAAACTGATCAAAGCATTCTGTAGTGGGCCAAACACTAACCAGGAAACATGTGGTGATAACTGTTGGCACCAGAATGTACCTTTAGCAACAGCTATAAACTGACAGTAGTGGCAGTCAACAAATAAGCATTTCAGACCAATCTACCTTCCTCTATTCACTACACCAGTAATTCTCAGCAACAAACTGATCAAAGCATTCTGTAGTGGGCCAAACACTAACCAGGAGACATGTGGTGATAACTGTTGGCACCAGAATGTACCTATAGCAACAGCTATAAACTGACAGTAGTGGCAGTCAACAAATAAGCATTTCAGACCAATCTACCTTCCTCTATTCACTACACCAGTAATTCTCAGCAACAAACTGATCAAAGCATTCTGTAGTGGGCCAAACACTAACCAGGAAACATGTGGTGATAACTGTTGGCACCAGAATGTACCTATAGCAACAGCTATAAACTGACAGTAGTGGCAGTCAACAAATAAGCATTTCAGACCACTCTACCTTTCTCCATTCACTACACCAGTAATTCTCAGCAACAAACTGATCAAAGCATTCTGTAGTGGGCCAAACACTAACCAGGAAACATGTGGTGATAACTGTTGGCACCAGAATGTACCTATAGCAACAGCTATAAACTGACAGTAGTGGCAGTCAACAAATAAGCATTTCAGACCAATCAACCTTCCTCTATTCACTACACCAGTAATTCTCAGCAACAAACTGATCAAAGCATTCTGTAGTGGGCCAAACACTAACCAGGAAACATGTGGTGATAACTGTTGGCACCAGAATGTACCTATAGCAACAGCTATAAACTGACAGTAGTGGCAGTCAACAAATAAGCATTTCAGACCACTCTACCTTTCTCCATTCACTACACCAGTAATTCTCAGCAACAAACTGATCAAAGCATTCTGTAGTGGGCCAAACACTAACCAGGAAACATGTGGTGATAACTGTTGGCGCCAGAATGTACCTATAGCAACAGCTATAAACTGACAGTAGTGGCAGTCAACAAATAAGCATTTCAGACCAATCTACCTTCCTCTATTCACTACACCAGTAATTCTCAGCAACAAACTGATCAAAGCATTCTGTAGTGGGCCAAACACTAACCAGGAAACATGTGGTGATAACTGTTGGCACCAGAATGTACCTATAGCAACAGCTATAAACTGACAGTAGTGGCAGTCAACAAATAAGCATTTCAGACCAATCTACCTTCCTCTATTCACTACACCAGTAATTCTCAGCAACAAACTGATCAAAGCATTCTGTAGTGGGCCAAACACTAACCAGGAAACATGTGGTGATAACTGTTGGCACCAGAATGTACCTATAGCAACAGCTATAAACTGACAGTAGTGGCAGTCAACAAATAAGAATTTCAGACCACTCTACCTTTCTCCATTCACTACACCAGTAATTCTCAGCAACAAACTGATCAAAGCATTCTGTAGTGGGCCAAACACTAACCAGGAAACATGTGGTGATAACTGTTGGCACCAGAATGTACCTATAGCAACAGCTATAAACTGACAGTAGTGGCAGTCAACAAATAAGCATTTCAGACCAATCTACCTTCCTCTATTCACTACACCAGTAATTCTCAGCAACAAACTGATCAAAGCATTCTGTAGTGGGCCAAACACTAACCAGGAAACATGTGGTGATAACTGTTGGCACCAGAATGTACCTTTAGCAACAGCTATAAACTGACAGTAGTGGCAGTCAACAAATAAGCATTTCAGACCAATCTACCTTCCTCTATTCACTACACCAGTAATTCTCAGCAACAAACTGATCAAAGCATTCTGTAGTGGGCCAAACACTAACCAGGAGACATGTGGTGATAACTGTTGGCACCAGAATGTACCTATAGCAACAGCTATAAACTGACAGTAGTGGCAGTCAACAAATAAGCATTTCAGACCAATCTACCTTCCTCTATTCACTACACCAGTAATTCTCAGCAACAAACTGATCAAAGCATTCTGTAGTGGGCCAAACACTAACCAGGAAACATGTGGTGATAACTGTTGGCACCAGAATGTACCTATAGCAACAGCTATAAACTGACAGTAGTGGCAGTCAACAAATAAGCATTTCAGACCACTCTACCTTTCTCCATTCACTACACCAGTAATTCTCAGCAACAAACTGATCAAAGCATTCTGTAGTGGGCCAAACACTAACCAGGAAACATGTGGTGATAACTGTTGGCACCAGAATGTACCTATAGCAACAGCTATAAACTGACAGTAGTGGCAGTCAACAAATAAGCATTTCAGACCAATCAACCTTCCTCTATTCACTACACCAGTAATTCTCAGCAACAAACTGATCAAAGCATTCTGTAGTGGGCCAAACACTAACCAGGAAACATGTGGTGATAACTGTTGGCACCAGAATGTACCTATAGCAACAGCTATAAACTGACAGTAGTGGCAGTCAACAAATAAGCATTTCAGACCACTCTACCTTTCTCCATTCACTACACCAGTAATTCTCAGCAACAAACTGATCAAAGCATTCTGTAGTGGGCCAAACACTAACCAGGAAACATGTGGTGATAACTGTTGGCACCAGAATGTACCTATAGCTACAGCTATAAACTGACAGTAGTGGCAGTCAACAAATAAGCATTTCAGACCAATCTACCTTCCTCTATTCACTACACCAGTAATTCTCAGCAACAAACTGATCAAAGCATTCTGTAGTGGGCCAAACACTAACCAGGAGACATGTGGTGATAACTGTTGGCACCAGAATGTACCTATAGCAACAGCTATAAACTGACAGTAGTGGCAGTCAACAAATAAGCATTTCAGACCAATCTACCTTCCTCTATTCACTACACCAGTAATTCTCAGCAACAAACTGATCAAAGCATTCTGTAGTGGGCCAAACACTAACCAGGAGACATGTGGTGATAACTGTTGGCACCAGAATGTACCTATAGCAACAGCTATAAACTGACAGTAGTGGCAGTCAACAAATAAGCATTTCAGACCAATCTACCTTCCTCTATTCACTACACCAGTAATTCTCAGCAACAAACTGATCAAAGCATTCTGTAGTGGGCCAAACACTAACCAGGAAACATGTGGTGATAACTGTTGGCACCAGAATGTACCTATAGCAACAGCTATAAACTGACAGTAGTGGCAGTCAACAAATAAGAATTTCAGACCACTCTACCTTTCTCCATTCACTACACCAGTAATTCTCAGCAACAAACTGATCAAAGCATTCTGTAGTGGGCCAAACACTAACCAGGAAACATGTGGTGATAACTGTTGGCACCAGAATGTACCTATAGCAACAGCTATAAACTGACAGTAGTGGCAGTCAACAAATAAGCATTTCAGACCAATCTACCTTCCTCTATTCACTACACCAGTAATTCTCAGCAACAAACTGATCAAAGCATTCTGTAGTGGGCCAAACACTAACCAGGAAACATGTGGTGATAACTGTTGGCACCAGAATGTACCTTTAGCAACAGCTATAAACTGACAGTAGTGGCAGTCAACAAATAAGCATTTCAGACCAATCTACCTTCCTCTATTCACTACACCAGTAATTCTCAGCAACAAACTGATCAAAGCATTCTGTAGTGGGCCAAACACTAACCAGGAGACATGTGGTGATAACTGTTGGCACCAGAATGTACCTATAGCAACAGCTATAAACTGACAGTAGTGGCAGTCAACAAATAAGCATTTCAGACCAATCTACCTTCCTCTATTCACTACACCAGTAATTCTCAGCAACAAACTGATCAAAGCATTCTGTAGTGGGCCAAACACTAACCAGGAAACATGTGGTGATAACTGTTGGCACCAGAATGTACCTATAGCAACAGCTATAAACTGACAGTAGTGGCAGTCAACAAATAAGCATTTCAGACCACTCTACCTTTCTCCATTCACTACACCAGTAATTCTCAGCAACAAACTGATCAAAGCATTCTGTAGTGGGCCAAACACTAACCAGGAAACATGTGGTGATAACTGTTGGCACCAGAATGTACCTATAGCAACAGCTATAAACTGACAGTAGTGGCAGTCAACAAATAAGCATTTCAGACCAATCAACCTTCCTCTATTCACTACACCAGTAATTCTCAGCAACAAACTGATCAAAGCATTCTGTAGTGGGCCAAACACTAACCAGGAAACATGTGGTGATAACTGTTGGCACCAGAATGTACCTATAGCAACAGCTATAAACTGACAGTAGTGGCAGTCAACAAATAAGCATTTCAGACCACTCTACCTTTCTCCATTCACTACACCAGTAATTCTCAGCAACAAACTGATCAAAGCATTCTGTAGTGGGCCAAACACTAACCAGGAAACATGTGGTGATAACTGTTGGCACCAGAATGTACCTATAGCTACAGCTATAAACTGACAGTAGTGGCAGTCAACAAATAAGCATTTCAGACCAATCTACCTTCCTCTATTCACTACACCAGTAATTCTCAGCAACAAACTGATCAAAGCATTCTGTAGTGGGCCAAACACTAACCAGGAGACATGTGGTGATAACTGTTGGCACCAGAATGTACCTATAGCAACAGCTATAAACTGACAGTAGTGGCAGTCAACAAATAAGCATTTCAGACCAATCTACCTTCCTCTATTCACTACACCAGTAATTCTCAGCAACAAACTGATCAAAGCATTCTGTAGTGGGCCAAACACTAACCAGGAGACATGTGGTGATAACTGTTGGCACCAGAATCTACCTATAGCAACAGCTATAAACTGACAGTAGTGGCAGTCAACAAATAAGCATTTCAGACCAATCTACCTTCCTCCATTCACTACACCAGTAATTCTCAGCAACAAACGTATCAAAGTATTCTGTAGGGGGCCAAACACTAACCAATCAAATTCAAATAAGAAACGACGTTCTTCAAGAAGTTGCAGCATTTGCTATATTACAGCATGCAACAAACACAAATTGCACTTTCAATTTCATTATTTACCATCATTAATGCTTTGGTTATTGTTATTTTAATGTTCTTCAAATAGGTTTCCTTTTATATGGATTAAAAAAAAAATCTATTTCATTATTTTTACGCACGATTTTTGTATTGTTGAGAATAAAGGTATTTAGGTAACTAAATGATCCATGTAACTATTCTGTGTTATGTGTCATTTTGTTCATAAATAATATGGACAAAAATACTCTTAGGAAAAACTTGTGGAAAATGTATTTTCCGCCCTTGACGACTTGTTACCTTTCCGCACTTGTTAGGTAACTTACTATTTTCACTATTTTACTTTGGAAATTGATATTCTTAGGTCAAGTGCTCTCTGCTCATGTGGCTGGTAAAGTAGTGATGAAATCTTACTTATCTGGAATGCCGGAATGCAAATTCGGGATAAACGATAAGATTGTTATGGAGGCCAAAGGCAAAGGCAGTCTGGGCACTACTTCTGATCCAGATCCGGCTAGGTCTGGAAAACCAGTCGTGGTTATTGATGATTGCCAGTTCCACCAATGTGTGAAACTCAGTAAATTTGAAACAGAACATTCCATTAGCTTTATTCCTCCTGATGGAGAATTTGAACTCATGAGGTGAGTCACATTTTGTTTTTCAATATAATATGTAATATACCTTCACTATGCTTATAAAAATATATTTTTTCTGCAACCGACACAAAAGTCGTCCATTTTTATACCAAAATTAGCTCTTAAATTGACGTTTCTATTACTGAAACAAAAATAGGTATGTTGTTAGGCAACATATTTGGTTCCTAGGAGCTAAAGTTGAATTTTAGTTCCTAGGAGCTAAAGTTGAAATTTAGCTCCTAGGAACTAAAAAGAATCTACTGGAAGTCATCAAGAATAACAACATTGTGACGGTTGCTTATTTGGGTTGAGACACATACCTGATTTGTTTCTGATTTCAGCAGATTTGGCATTTCATACCCATGCTGGAGATATAAATACACCTTATTATAGTTTAGTATTGGAATCATAAACATCTCAGTTGAGTATTTTTTTTTGATCAGGGAATCCTTCAAGTTTCAAATACTTGCTTGATCTGTATTTCATTCCTTATTCTCGGGATGGATAACTTGTTTTTGAATAATCACAGCAAGCAATAGTTTTTTTGTCTCAAGCAACGATATTGTTTAGCTTCATTTGATTTTCAAGTCAAACACAGTGTAGTATGGAGAGGAATAAATAATTACTATTATCATTGTTGATATGCTCACTTACCTAACATTTTCCACGTCTTGTTCCTATAGCTGGCACTGGCGCGATATTTGCCATTAGAGCACCTGGTCCATACACAAATTTGTCACTCTGTGGTTGTATTTATATTGAAACTACAATTCGAACATCCTAGAAAACCTAACATGCTGTAATTGAAAGTAGAATATTCTCACCACATGGATTATTTGTCAATATTAGTTGCATTGCATACATATGGCACGGCATTGGTGGTTACTTCATATGTTTATTTGAGTTAGTTGTTTCGGTTGCAGAAAAAATAGCATGTTTCATTCGGATCAAAAGTGACACTTTGTTTGACAAGCGAATTTTGCAATTGCGAGGCGGAGCGTTTCAATCTAATATTTTTCAATCAAAGAATTTTTAATTGATCCTGATTGATACTTGATAAATGGAGGTGATTTTGAGACTCAGCATTTCTTTTTGAGATAAGACAGGTTAGGATAGGTTAGCCCTATTTCTTACATTTTATTTAAATAAAAAGTGATTTTGAAATGAGTGTATAATATAATTTATTATTGAATACATCAACTTGATACAGTCTGAGAATAAGGAATATTTGAAAGTATTAGATTCCTCCCAAGTCCTCTAACTTGGAAAATTCCGTCTTGAGAATTGAACAAAAAATTGAGAAAATTTAGTATGCCATTTCAAGAAAACTAAAATCATTGAAATCTGCACTGGACTTGGTACATGTTCTACAGGGTAGAAGCAAGTTTGGGCATAAAGAGGTGTCACCCTGTATATTAAAGTTGATGTCATGACCTACTGGGAATATTTTTTCAACGAATTTTTGTATCATTTTGGAAACAAAGTATGACCCTAAAATCACTTGCAATTTTAGATACAGAACAACAAAAGACATATCGCTGCCCTTCAGGGTGATACCCTTGGTTCGTGAAGTTGGCCGTACAAAAATGGAAGTCAAAGTTGTTCTGAAGAGCAACTTCAAGCCCTCGCTCTTAGGCCAGAAAATCGAGGTGAAAATTCCAACACCGCTGAACACGTCTGGGGTTCAGTTGATCTGCCTGAAGGGCAAGGCTAAATATAAGGCATCTGAAAATGCCATAGTATGGAAGTAAGTATGTTGTGATTTGTCGATGCCCCTCTAGTGGCACAATTTAGAAGCTCTTTCAAGTTTGAATTATAATAACTAATACTGCATAAATCCATAGAACTTGATGAAGTAATATTATGTCAATTTACATGTATGCCCTGATCCTAAATATTTCAATTGCTGAAAAGGAAGTTTTCAGTCAACTACATAAACATATTGTACAAATTTAATATTTAGTTGGATTCGAATAAAAATAATAATTAATGAGCTTTATTGGATACCCATTAGGGTTTTGGGATCGTAGATTATGATTGTTTCGTCAGAATTTGAAAATTCGGGCGGAATTTGGAAATTCAAGATGGCGGAACCAATATGGCGGACGAGTTTTGTAATTATAATCCGATTCTTTTAAAAATTGGTACCTAGGGGTTTTCGTGATCGGGGATTATGATTCCTTCGTCAAAATTAGGAAATTCAAGATGGCGGACCCAATATGGAGGACGAGTATTGTGACTATGATCCGAATCTCTTCAAAATTGTTTTCTGAGTATTTTCGGGGTCATAGATTATGATTCTTTTGTCAAAATTTGGAAAGGGCGGGATTTGAAAATTCAAGACGGTGGAACCAATATACCGGACGTAATTATATACCGATTCTATCGAAAATTTGTAAATGATTTATGTATTAGAAATATAACACCCAGTCAAAAACAAATTCTGGAATGAAGAAGTTGTTAATAATAATGATACAATGATAAGGAATCAGCTTAGAGTATCTCAAGAGTTTCAGAGCTATGTATATCAACAATATTGAGACACTTTGTAATTTTCATTGAAAAAGGAATTTAAACTTCTACGCCCTATATTTCAATAAAGAATTAGTTGAGCAGAATGTGTTCATAAAGAGAGATGATGTTATTCTACAAAGTTCTGTAGATTCCTAGAGTAATAGGCAATAAAACTTGATCACCTTGTATACTGAGACAAACTGGCAAAAGTGAAATCACAAATCTTGGTTGCCAGCTACTAGACTGCTTCAAATTCTGCCACTTGAAAAAATGTAGGATGTCAATAAAAGAGGAACAAATCATGAGTAATTCATGTCTAGTGTCAAAAACTGTACTCTTTGTTTCTTTAAGAATCAAAAGAATGGCAGGAATGAAAGAAACCCAACTCTCCGCCGAGATCGAGCTTCTGGAAACTGACACGAAAAAGAAGTGGACTCGCCCGCCCATCTCTATGAACTTTGAAGTACCGTTCGCCCCATCTGGATTCAAAGTGAGGTATTTGAAGGTGTTTGAACCGAAGCTCAACTATTCCGATCATGATGTCATCAAGTGGGTCAGATACATCGGCAGGAGCGGACTCTACGAGACTAGATGTTGAATATCTTATAGGCTATCGAATACTATCGTTATTTGCTTTCAAGGTTTTGTATTCCTTTGAAAATTCGAACAGGACATCAGAAGAATTTAAATGGGAGGATTATGATATCTGAATGATTGGGGATCATTCATTTCTGTTTCAAGTTTTTCAACTACAGTTTATGCACTCAGTGTATCAGTCCACCGTACAGGACCCCTTTCTAAATAAGATTACCACTCCTCTATGACTCCATTTGCGAATACTTCCGTTTATTTTCTCAAATGGAATCGTTGGTAAACTTGTCAAAAGAAAGCCACAACCCTTGATCGATTGTTAAAGCCAAATTTGGCCTTAGTTCTTCGCTGGGTCCAATGTGGATAGAGTATGGTGAAATCACAGACAGCGTTTTGTTTCCCAAAACGCTTGACCGCAGATTCCGCAATAATGGCATATTAGTTCTCAGTTGTCCACTAGATGGCGACACGTTTTACAGATATCTTTCATGACAGAAAACAGGAAACGGCGCTTACACACTGCTTGCACCAGAAATAATAATATCATAACATTCATAACATAACCTCAAATCAAATGAGATTAAATTTGGAAGTAGGAAACTCTGATTGGGGAATTTTAATTATCATCAGTTCTACCAACCTTGAATTTTGGTTGAGATCTCGTCATCTAAGGGGATAAATGCGACCTTGATAGGAGTTTCTACACCATCTTCTGTTCATCCTGGCTGGGTCATAGGCGTTAGCGAAACTCAGCAAAATATGGCCGATTTGTTATTATCATATATTTACTATTTCTATATATGGCGCATCTCCTATGCGATATGGGCGTGTTTTTCATTCCATCGAAGAAAGTGCGCACTGATAGATGCGGTTTTTTGTCGTGACGTCACCAATTGTTCTGTTGGAATTTATGCTGGAAGGATTGAACAATGGTTTATACAACACATTGATGGAAACACGGATTTTGTTGTGTGTCAGTCATCATGTATCTTGAGAATCAGAAAAGGCTAATTCGACTTTATTGATTAACACTGACTCTTTCTTCTAAAATCTCTCAAGAATCGCAAAAATACCCAATATTAATTGTTTTCTATCAAATCAAAACAAAAAACAACATAAAAATGAGTCAAATGTCATGTCAATCTCCTCCGAACTGCTGGATTCTCGAAATGCGATTTAAAAGTGCGCATTTTATTACAACAGTTCGATGGATGTCCATCAACATTCCAGCGGAATTTTGCAACAGTTTGATGGTTACTTCGATTCATGCGCATGATAAAATGTTGGAATGAAAAACGCACCCTATCTCTAAAAAAATGGGAACCAAAATGAGAGGTACTTTTTGAATCTATAGGGACGGAAAGTGAAGGATGGAAACAGCCATATTGGTTTGACAAGTTTCGTGTTGTTTTTTCCCTACGTCGGCATCAACGCCTATTAGTCGATTTCGTTACCTATGGAGACAGAAGTTGGTCCCGCTTTGAGGAGAGCTATGCTCCATATATGAGTAGTAGATATATGGTCCATACTCTTTGCAACTGATCGAGTCCGTATATCTGCAAGTGGCTGAACTATCTAGGAATATCCATCATACTGAAGCAGGAAACTCACTAACTTTGATATCCTGAAAGGTTTTAAATAATAATATTTTATTCCGGCCTTTTGCATCAAAACATCAATATATTCTGCATTACGGATCTCTACCCTTCCCTACTCAACATAAAGTTCACTTACTGAATAGAATATTTGGCTTCATTGCTCTCATAAGGATGGTTAATCTTGGTGTAAATAATCAAGGCCACAACATAGTTAAATAGGAGTGGTAATCTTTTTTTTATTAGGGGTGCTATCCCGTGGACCATTTCTGTCCTTCCTCGTGAAATGTAACAAAGAAAGATAAGGTGTAAGTCTACCAGCTTCACGGAATGGAGAATGGCAAAAGACGGACTTGAAACAGATAGCCTTTCTCTTTCTTTTGTATAAATAAGGGAACGAGAGAGAGAGAGAGAGCTTTGCTCCCTACAAATTCGAATATTTGGTCGATGTTTTTGAACAATTAGGGAGAGTTATAGTTCGAATAGAATAAATAGGACTTTTGAACAAGATATTTGTCTTTGTAACATTGGTTTAGAGAGGAAATAGTGACATATAATTACGTACTACTTGTTCATATTTGTATACTAAAGCTTGTAATCGGATATACCGGATGTTTCATGCCCACTAAGCAAAGTTGGAAGCTATGTTGATGCAAGGTTGTAGCAATTATTGAAAATCACGTTCAGCATGTGAAATTGTGAATGTAACCTTACAACAATGTCACAGCAACATGTAATATTGCTGCAACGTTACATTATCAATCTTTACCTTTGCAATATTGCTGAAAGTCCGTTTCAGTGATTGCTTCAACATTGCATTGTTGATGCAAAGCTATGTCATAGCTTCCAACTTTGCTTAGTGGGTGAGAGCATTGTTTGGCCGACTTGGAATGTTGAATTATTGGCCATCTTTTCTGAAAAATGACCAAATCCATCGTCCAGTTGGCTAACCGATGGTTTAATTGAATCAGCCTGTATTGGAAAACTCATTTGTTGACAAATGAGTCAGTTAATTGTCAGGTTGATGTAGAAAAATTTTGTTGGTGGACTGGACTGAACATGAAGCTAAATAAAGTAATTTTCTTTTATTTGATGGGTAAAAACTGAAACTGTTTATTTTTCGTCCATTAGAGAAGCCAGTAGCAATACACTATAAATGTTATCCTTATATAACTAACCTACAACCATGAAGTGTAAAGTATATCTGATCACTATTCAATGTTTTCCCTACATTTTCCTGTAGAATTTTAGAATGTATAAAATCTGTACCTACTATTCCAATTTATAATTTAATATATTATTTCTTATTACAATACACATTTGTTTTGTTTTCACGCCTACAATTCATCTTATACATGGGAATAAAATTAATGGAAATAAATTACATGCATCAAATGCATTGAAAATTATTACCCCAACTCTTATTTTGTTTTATATAACAACTGCAACTATGTGTAGCCATACTTAGAATCTTGTCTTAAAATTTACCACCATGGTCAAAATCTTTTAGATTGGTCAAGATAGCATAGGTCAGAAAGGAAAAAACATTGGAAATTGAATGCCCCAATTTTACCTTCTGATCAAGTTCTCACGGCCTTTTTTAGACATTTTACAGGGCGATCCCTAAAAACATTGCAAATAATATTTTCAAATCAAACCTATTTTGTTTAATTTTTTATAAATCTAATATTGGGTGAAAACTAATATTAATATATAGGGTGTCCCTAGAAGGTCTGTACTAAATCTTGGCACGTAATGCTGAGGTCAAAATGAGATGATTTGAAGCAACTTTTTCCGAGTACCACCGTCCGAAATTGCTCCGTTTTCGAAATATAGGGTGGTGAATTAAAAAAATGCAATCCATTTTTGCACTGCTCAGTGCTCATTCACTGATCAAATTACATTCACGAAGATAACAGCAAACATTTTTGGTAATTTTGCTCTATATCATATGCGATGGTTTTTTTTTTCGAAAAAAATGTGAACAAACCACTATTTATCGAGATATTTCAAGAAATATTTGGGAATTTCGCCTTCTGCCCCCGCCTCCCCCCCTCTTGGATGCATATATATACAGCTACTTGCTCTTCTTATTTTGTCATTGGACACTTTAGTGAATGACGAATTGTGGATTCCCTAGGATTCCGCAGATTTCACTTGCTTCCCAGTGGCGTACTCGAATTTCGAAGCATTTTATGTTCAATTTTCAAAATGAAATTTCTCGTTAATGTGAAGACTTAGGAAAAATCAAATATTTTAGTAATTTTTGTTAGACTCTCTCATATATATGTCTTGAATATATGCACTCATTTTAAAATCAGCCTGTATATAGGTATTAGGTACTTATGTATTTTTATGGCGAGTATTTCATAGTGAACAACTTCGATCATACCACATACCAGATGAACGACCAAAATATAAAAAATAATAAAAAATTTGACGCCCCGCAGAGATTTGAACACTTTGCCACCGCCGTGGAAGTGGGTACACAGACCACTGAGCTATCGCGCTCGCTACTCCTAAGGCTCCTAAGTAACTATATGAAGAAAGAAGAAATATCGTGTGGAATTTAGATGCCTATATCGTGTGTTTGCTTATATCTTACTTCCATCATTCTTGTGACTAATAAGATGCTTGTGACAATGATGGAAGATGGAAGTAAGATATGGTGCGCTTATTCGGCCAGGTGATGCTGCTATTGCTGCAGTGACGAGTGGAAATAGAATGGCAAATGGCATTTTAGGTACGCGAAACATATGTAACAGTGGGATTATTCAACTCGAATTCGAAAAATCTGCGATAAATTTAAAACTGACAGATCTCATAATTATGCAGTGTCGCCATCTATTAGACGATCGACGGAACCATGGCACTCGCTGTTCTTGCTCGAGAGGTCGGGTAAAATTTCTGAAACAAGACGATCGACGGAACCATGGCACTCGCTGTTCTTGCTCGAGAGGTCGGGTAAAATTTCTGAAACAAAAGCGCATCAGTAATGACACCATATCTTTTGTGACTTATCACAAGCAGCATGCTACCACAGTATGCTACTAATTGAATTACTCCACTGATCTATATGCGAACTCGCGGGAGACATTTATAGATTACCTATTTTTGTGTAATAGACACGTGACACTGTCACTGGATGACAGCCGTGGCAGGTTCAAAAGTCAAAATGGAACATAACCTAACTTTTTAAAATTCTCGAGGGCCGATGTTTAAATTTTTAAAATGATATCGATATTCGGAAAGTTTCAAATATGAGATACGCACAACTCGTAATAGGGCCTGCTGGTAGTGGAAAATCTACTTACTGCAGTACTCTTGTTCAACATGGAGTTGACGTGAAAAGAAACATTGAGGTTGTAAATTTGGATCCGGCTGCCGAGCATTTCAATTATACCCCAATAGTAGACATAAGGGAGCTGATTCATGTACAGGATACGATGGAAGATGAAGAACTTCAGTTTGGGCCAAATGGTGGACTAGTATTCTGTATTGAATACCTTCTTGAAAATTCAGACTGGTTACATGACAAACTGGGTGACCAAGATGATGACTACATTTTATTTGATTGCCCTGGACAAATTGAATTATATACTCATCTCACGGCAGTGAAGAAATTAGTGAAACAATTACAAGATTGGCAGTTCAATATTTGTTCAGTTTTTCTTGTTGATGTACAGTTTATGACAGATGGACCTAAGTTTTTGTCTGGGACTATGGCTGCTTTGAGTGTAATGGTGAATTTGGAGCTCCCACATGTTAACCTTCTATCCAAAATGGATCTTCTGAGTAGAGGTGCCAGAAAGAGGCTAGACAGGTTCTTAGAACCTGACTCACATTCTATCTTGGGAGATATTGAACTCTCTGGTGGTTCAGTATTCAACAAAAAGTACAGCAAATTAACAGAAACTATTGGAAAGCTAATTGAAGATTATTCATTGGTTAGATTCATTCCACTTAATTTGAAATCTCTTGAGAGTATAGGCGATGTGTTGATAACTATTGACAATGTAATACAATATGGTGAAGATCAAGATGTGAAAACAAAAGATTTTGAGGAAGCAGATGAGGAACCTGATGAATGAATTGAAGTTTGATATCATTTTATATTTTCTTCACTAGTTTAAGTCATTTTGAATACAATAAATAACCATTATCTAAGTATTATGTTGAGCAAATAGTTTTGCATCACCCCATTTTACATACTTTGTAGTAGTTTCCTGAGAACTTTCATAATGTTTGTAGTGCCAATGAGAGGATAATACATAAAAATAGTGCAAATGACTAGACAAGTACCTAAATGAACTGTGATCAGATAATAAGGTGAATTAATAGATACATGTGCACCAGTTGGTACAGAACTTTTTTAGTTGTGTATACACTCCTCACCTTGAATTTTGCACTCAAAAGATATGATGTTTTTGAGACAGGTGTTTCTGAAAATTGTCCAATTTGAACATGGTATTAGGTTTATTTCATCAAAAAGGCAATTCAAAGAAGTATCTGTGGAAGTTCCTTGGGGGCAAATATCAGGAAAATGGTGGGAGCCATTTGATACTAGGCCTATTTTATCAATTCATGGATGGCAGGTTTGTAGAATTACATCATTACTATAAAACACAACTCTGCTAATCTTGGGGTGAAAAATTTTGAAACTTGCAAGATCAATGAAGAATGCCCAAATTCTATTTTCTTTTTGACTTAAAATAGTTTTCTAACCTCCCAAGTTCTGTGGCCTTGGTGAAAGAAGGGAAGAGGGAGGAAGATGATAAGGCGCACGTGCAGATATAACTCTTAATTCTGCTTTATTCTATTAGATAATATTCCAGGGGCGTCACAAAATCACATTTTTCGGGGAAGAAAAAACGACCTTCATTCTCTCTCGTTTTTAATATAAAAATGTATTGTTTAGCTTAACTCTGAGTTTCTCCTTAATTTTTCCAGTGGCGCCCTGAAGGGTTACCTGATTGATATTTATCAGAGAAATAATCATTGTGATTTGTGCTTCATACTTTATTTTCCAATTTAGTATGATTATTATTCGATGACCTGATGTAGGTTCATTTAAGATTTCCATTGACATTATTGGCGATTAGCCACAATAATAATAAGCAAATATAGTTCGGTCATCGTGGTTCGGTTCAGATAGGGTCCGGTTCGGAGATTGTGAGAATGTGTCAGTCATCACCGCTTATACAGGGTGATAATGGAAGTCAACAAGTCAATTATATGGGGTGTGTCATAATATATGCTCAGGGCTTCAGGATGTGATAGCTCGTTCAAAAATATGAAAACGTTTTTATCAACTTACCCTCTAAAACCAGTCGTTCCCGTGCGCATTTTTATTAGTCATAATTGGTGAAGATTTGAAGGCGTACTAAGTGTTTTTTTCTCCAACTTCTACGCCACTCAAAAAAGTACAGTTTTGAGCCGCCTATTTGAACCGCCAATATAATTTCTACACAAAAATGGAACTCTTGGCAATGAGCCGTTTTCTAGAAAAATCAACTCTTATGTTGAAAACCTGTTACTAATTAAACAAAATTCAAACGTTACAACAAGTAACAAAATCAAACGTTAACTTATTCATAATTGCACAATTAGAATAAAGAACAATAACAAATCTTATACTCAGTTGAATTAATTGTTGGAAATGTCCGCGGTTAGCTGCAATGCATGCAGCAATTCTTAAAAAAATTCACCATGTTTTCGATAGCTCCTCGTCCAACGGGAAACTAAAAGCATGAACTATTGAACCACCCACATAATTCCCCCGACAAAAGGGAACACAACACTTGAAAGGCATTGTTATTTCGCCGATCACAACACAAAATATTTCACAAAACAGTAATTTTTCCGCCAATTATTTTGATGAATAAACAACAAAAGAATTCGGGACCGTTTCAAAAACATACGTGAATCACCGATAAATTAACACGAACTGACGCGTTAGTCGACCAGCGATAAAATAAAACACTGGCCTCTCTTGGTGACGTCACGAGCTGTTTACGTCAGAGTCTGCTGGCCTTGTTGTATCGGTGGTAACGCTCCACCTGGTCATAGAGTGCATTTTCGGTATATCTCTCGCACCAGCAAATTTCAGGATCCTTACCCAACGATTACGTAAGATACAGGGGTGTTTCCATTAGAAGTGAAACACACTGTTATTATGCAACACCCTCTATATGTCATACAAGAACTTTTCATTTTTGAGCATACAGGGTGATTCACATAAGAACCGACATAGAGCAGGGGCATGTAGGGGGTCCCGAAATATGGCAATTTAACGCAACTCACCTCTATACCAAAGTGAAGTAATACATTTTGAAAAAAATCAATATCTCCGTTATTGAAAAGGAATATTCTCAGATAAATTATGAACATACAAAAATGGATATATATTTATATAAAGCAATACATTGAGAATTCGCATTCTCTATGTGATGAGAATATTTACTCTTTTTCAGTTAATTCAATAGAAAACAACTACTTTCCTGGCTATATGCCACGACGAACATTGAATTATATCTATTGAACACACACGATAAGAGTTTGAAAATAAAATATAAAAAATTCTGAAATTGAGAATTTGCATTCTCCTTCAGACAAAAATATGTATATACACACATCATTCTGAATATTCAACAGAAAACAACTACTTTCCTGGCTATTTGCCACGTCGAACATTGAATTATATCTGATGAACATTCAAAAGGGGAACATGAAAAATAAAGAATGATGTGTGTATATACATATTTTTGTCTGAAGGAGAATGCAAATTCTCAATTTCAGAATTTTTTATATTTTATTTTCAAACTCTTATCGTGTGTGTTCAATAGATATAATTCAATGTTCGTCGTGGCATATAGCCAGGAAAGTAGTTGTTTTCTATTGAATTAACTGAAAAAGAGTAAATATTCTCATCACATAGAGAATGCGAATTCTCAATGTATTGCTTTATATAAATATATATCCATTTTTGTATGTTCATAATTTATCTGAGAATATTCCTTTTCAACACTTTCATACCCAATCAGGGGGTTCAAACTTGAACGATGGAAACTTGTGATTTTTATAGACCTCTAATCGCAGATTCGTGATAGAGTCTCAATTCAGAATTCATTTCCACGCCCTGTATGATGAATGTCAATTTATAATACACCCAAAAGCAATCTCCGTTATTCTTGAACTAAAAGCAACCAAATTTGGTACACTTTGTGGATGTATTTAGGGCGTTACTTGACAGTAACTAGAGTTTAATTGAAATTTGTAAAGGGGGTATACCGGGTGGCGCACCATTAATATTCAACATAATTTTGTTAACACTTGATGGATTTCAAAAATCTTTGCTTTGTTTTGTGGGCAATTCAATTCTAAAACTTTTCTTACTCCAGTAATTTTTCGAAGAACCTCATCATTTTCATCAAAAACTCGAATAACTGAAAACGCGCGCTGTAGGTGTGTTATTTAAAATTTAAAATCATCGAAAATTCAAAAGTTGGCTATGAAAATAAACGTCAAACTTGACAATGAGGCAAGTGAGCTGTTCAATTAAGTAATTATTGTTGTTTGAGTGTTTTTGAAATGAACGGGAAGTTTTCTTTTAACGAGCAAGTTGACATGCTGTTAGTGTTATGCCTATAACTCCTTAGGGAAGCAACTTGGTATAGAGGTAATTTGCGTTAAATTGCCATATTTTGGGACCCCCTACATGCCCCTGCCCTATGTCGGTTGTTATGTGAATCACCCTGTATTATAGCCTATAAATTTTTTCGGAATATCATTTGTATTTTTTCTTCCAGGATAACTGCCAATCATTTGACAGGCTAATACCCCTATTAAATGAAGATGTGGGATTCCTAGCTATAGATTCGGCAGGTCATGGATACTCATCCCGTCTACCTCCTGGCATGCTTTACCACCATATAAATCATTTAATAACTATTCGGAGTGTAGCAAACTATTTCAATTGGCCCAAAGTATCGCTTATGGGACATTCTCTCGGATCGATCATGTCTTACATGTATTCTTCGCTTTATCCTACTGAAATAGACTTCCTTATATGCCTAGACGCAATTAGGCCTAGACAAACAACTAATGTACTTCCAGAAATTACAAAGACAATAGAACTTTATATGAAAACTGATGAGTTTATGAGAAAAGGACACGAACCGCCAAGTTACTCAATTGAAGAAATCAAAAAAAAATTATCAGAGCCCATTGAGAATTCTATCTTGTTGGAATATACGCAATTTTTGATGGAGAGAGGAATTGCACCATCAAAAAAGTACCCAGGTAATACAAATATTATACATACACCGTGTCCCAGCTAAAATGTCCCCCCTGTAAAAAATCAACCGCGCGATCGAATGACTTGAAATTTGGTCACCCAGTATATTTGATGATGCTTTCTTGAAATATGCTATTCCGGGTTGATGGGATTTTTTCAAACGACTTCGAAGATATGGCAAAAAATTAAACGATTCAATAAAAAATGTATATCGAATGATGGGTGTCCTGTACATAACTACCAGACTCGTAAAGGATTATCTTCGCCTTCGGTTTGGAGAAAATCTAATAACCACCAATTGTCTCGATGGTGATAAGAACTGGCCAGCTCGGTCGCCAGACCTCACCCCACTTGATTTCTATTTGTGAGGCTACTTGAAACAACAGGAGTATGAGTCGCCAATTGTGAATATGGAAGAAATGAAAGAGAAAATCACAAATTTATGCGCACAAATTGATCGCAACGTGATGCATAGGGTCACAATGAACGTTATCAAAAGAGCTAGGAAATGTTTGCAGCAGAATGGATGACATATTGAGCAGTTGTGGTTTTAATTTTTTTTTTTTTCATTCGATTTCAATCGTGTTATATAATCTAATCATATAAATTTTTTATTGAATCGTGTTATTTTTTGCCTTATCTTCGTAGTCGTTTGAAAAAATCCCATCAAATTTCGGTGTGACCCTGTATACCCACGATTTATTCAATAGCATATTTCCAGTGAGCATCATCAAATATACTGGGTGACCAAATTTCAACTCATTCGATCGCGCGTTTGATTTTTAAATATAACGCATTGAATCCCTTTTCATGGACACCCTGTGTAATTCTTCTTATATCTGATTATTTGTTTGTTTATGGTATTAGAGGGGGTGTTAACCAAATTCCAATGTTGTAGTCCGTATTCAGATTAATATATAAATATTTAGAATTTTCACACCTACAATTTTTTGGTTTTTACAAAGAATATGCTTGTTGTCATATTCGATATATATATATAAATAAATTCGACAGGGTCCAACGCCCAAGTGAATCACACTGTGTATATAAGTAGTAGTTATAGATATACTTATACATTTTTTTTTTAGGAAAATACTACTTTACAAGAGACCCTAGAGTAAAAATCTCAAATTTTTTTGTTATCAGTGACGAAGAAGTATCACAAAGTATACCGCTGATGAAAATGCCAATATTTTTTGTGAAAGCATCAGATTCACCCTATTTTTTTGGCAAAACGGAGATATTTTTCGAATTTCTGGACGCTCATCGAAAAAATAATACTAATTTTGAACATCATTTCATCGAAGGTACACACCATGTTCATCTGAATAATCCTGAACGTGTTGCACCTCTGGTGAAAAATTTCATTAAAAAATACAATGTTGGAGACAGAAGCCAGGGCGGTCTTCCAGAAAATATTGTCCAGAATATTGATGCTACTCAAATGTGGAGTGATAACAACTTTGAGAAAGACTCAAATTGAATTATAAATGCGATGTGTATACAAGTGCTTTTCTTTTATGTCGATCCCCCTAACAACTTTGAAAAAGACTCAAATTAAATTATAAATGAGATGTGTATACGGTGCCTTTCTTCCGTGTCCCCATCCCTTTTCATTTTTTGAACGAGCAGTGAACTGAAAAAATTGGAACTTGGGATAATGAATACCATACAGGGTGATTCACATAAGAACCGACATAGAGCAGGGGCATGTAGGGGGGCCCAAAATATGGCAATTTAACGCAACTTACCACGTTGCTCCCCTAAGGAGTTATTGGCTTTGAAAGTGAAGTTATAAATTTTGAAAAAAATCAATATCTCCGTTATTCTTGAACTTAAACAAACCAAATTTGGTACACTATGTGGATGTATTTAGGGCGTTACTTCACAGTAACTAGAGCTCAATTGAAATTTGTGAAGGGGGTATACCGGGTGGCACACCATTAATATTCAACAGAATTTTGTTAACCCTCGATGGATTTTGAAAATCTTTGGGTTGTTTTGTGGGCAATTCAATTCTTCAACTTTTTTTAGTCTAGTAATTTCTCGAAAAACCTCATCATTTTCATCAAAAACTCGAATAACTGAAAACGCGTGCTCTAGGTGTGTTATTTAAAATCATCGAAAATTCAATAGTTGGCTATGAAAATAAACGTCAAACTTGACAATGAAGCAAGTAAGTTGTTCAATTAAGTAATTTATCGATAAACAATTGTTTGTTCTGGTTGTTGTTTAAGTTTTTTGTGTTTATTTTGGTTAGTTGTTAATCCCAGTTTTTCACATTTCAGTATCTTACTTTACGTATTTTGTTACGTATCTAAATAATAATTTGCCAGCCAATTTCTACTGATCACAATTAATGACCTACTTTCTTGTTGTACGTTTATTTTCATAGCCAACTTTTGAATTTTCGATGATTTTAAATAACACACCTAGAGCGCGCGTTTTCAGTTATTCGAGTTTTTGATGAAAATGATGAGGTTTTTCGAAAAATTACTGGAGTAAGAAAAGTTTTAGAATTCAATTGCCCACACAACAAAGCAAAGATTTTTGAAATTCACCAAGGGTTAACAAAGTTCTGTTGAATATTAATGGTGCGCCACCCGGTATATCCTCTTTACAAGTTTCAATTGAGCTCTATTTACTGTCAAGTAACGCCTTAAATACATCCACAAAGTGTACCAAATTTGGTTGCTTTAAGTTCAAGAATAACGGAGATATTGATTTTTTTCAAAATTTATAACTTCACTTTCAAAGCCTATAACTCCTCAGGGAAGCAACTTGGTATAGATGTAAGTTGCGTTAAATTGACATATTTTGGGACCTCCTACATGCCCCTGCTCTATGTCGGTTCTTATGTGAATCACCCTGTATTTTGAAATGAAATTGACACATAAAACTTCAAGATGGCGATTGGGCGCCAACTGGGAAAAAATTAATAAATGGAAAGGGTTCTCTTGTGACACTTTACAACCCTAGAATAAAAAGTCAATATCTTCACCTACTACAAAAATGGCGCAACATTTAAGTTGCCTGAATACAAACACATATTGTATTCCAACAAGATGAAGCACCACCACATTAATAAAAAAAAAAGATAGAAACAATACTTTTCCCGTTCGTTGGATAGGCCGTCGAGTTCCTAGGAATTTGCCGGATTTGACACCTTTAGAAGTTTTTTTATGGGGCAATTTGATAGCCTACCGAAATACTGCCAGGTTTGAAAATGAGAACCACACATTTTTATGAATAAAGAAATATTATAAGAACGTTCATTTTATGAAAAAATAACTGAACAGTTATACAGGGTGTCCCGAAATAAGCCTGTCAAACTTCACCTTCTACGACCAAAAATCGGAAGAAAGGTGGGAGCTACGGCCCACTGAAAGGGGGCTACTGAAGATGATACTTCTTGAATATTTCCGAAACGTCATGTGATAAAATGATGCAATACAATAACTAAATAAAGTTAACTTTTTATTCCTTTTTCATTCAGGAGTGTATAATACAGGGTGGGACTACATTAAATATATGTTCAATGCAGTGGACATAAAAAGTTTAGTTCTTGTACAGAACGCGCATTATTTTATCACAACAAGGGGTTTGGAAAATATTCAAGAAATATCACCTTCAGGGGGGCCGTCGCTCTCGTAGTTGACATTTATCGACTCATGTTCATTGAAACTTTTCTTCATACTTTCATTATTTTTGGTCGTAGAACCCGCATGTGAATTTTCGGTAGGCTATAACTTCGGGACACCCTGTATAGAGTTAGACGATCGATGAGATCGCTCGGCCACTGCGACAATCATTGATACTGGTCAAAATAACTTGAACCTCTTATTGGTAAGTAAAACCATGTAAAACCAAGTAATGAACATATTGAATGGCAAAAATAAAAACAAAATTATAAACTTTCATTTATTTCTTACAAAAATTATTATTTAAAGGTACGAGTTGCAAATAATAATACACCAGTATTTACAGAGAGCTATTGCTCATAATTTGAAAACTTCAAGTACTATTCAAATGAGAATCAGTCAAATTGTTCATTATCTGAACTTTTTGTCAAGTACCACTTTTCTTTCAAAATTTTTTGCTTATGTGTAACTGGAATCTGTTTAGATTGCAATCCTTCTATGACCTCTGGGTATTTGGCAGAATCTTTGGAATATCTGTATGATTCGTACTGCATTTTTTGTTTCTTTTTGGGTTTTTGTATTGATTTATATTTGGGGTGCACATTATTTTTAGGGCCATATTTGATTTCACTCTTTTTCTCCGGTTTGAAGTAGTATTTCTTAGGAAATTTCCTTGAAGGTACAAAACTTGTAGATCCTCTGTCACTATCATCCTCTTCTTCATCATCACTATTTTCAATATGCTCATATTGCTCATGGTCATCCTCATCATCATGGAAATATTTTTCAAATTCTGGAGTGCCGTAATGCTCTGCTTCATCATCGTCTTCCTCATAATTCGCTTTATCTTCACTTTCCTCTTCTTCTATATCTTCCGAAACCGGTTTTTCCTCTCCACTAGGTTCTTCTTGTTGTTCAGGCATTTCAGATGGAGTATCGATAGGTTGAAACTGACTCCTAGGTGGAGCCTTAAAATGGCTTTTTGTGATAGGAGGAAGCCTAGTAATCGCCACAGGTTGCGGCAATAATTGTTGACGTTGATGATGTTGATAAAGCACTGGTTGTTGAAAATGGGGAAATTGTTGAGTAGAGTGGTAAAATGTTGGTAACACAGGCCTCTGCACTAGCTGAAGAGATGTGGGATCGTAAACGAGTTTGCCATTCATCAAACCGTATTTCTTTGGGATGTAATACTGGGGTTGGATGTTGTACAGCGGGTGTTGAACAACATTCCTAGTCTGTGCAGATGATATGACGTTGGGTACGTTATTGTAGGATTGGCGATTGTGGTTTTGGACCAGTCGTGGACTGGCGCTGACTGGTTGTCTTTCTACCCTTGGAGGCCTTTGGAAGTCGTACAAAATCTGCGGAGCTACCAACTTCATCGGTTTCGCAACTCTCACAGAACTGTCGACATCAGTAAAAGCAACGGATGGCCTGGAATTAGTGTAGTACCCTTGGTTATCCGTCTTGGGGGAATCGATAGGCAGATTTGGATGATCTGAGTACAACCATATTATTTTGGGTTCATCAGGATTTCTGTAGTGGCCAATGAAGGTTGGTTCAGTTTCAGATATGTTTCTGAAGTCAGTCGAACAGAAACAGTTCACTATCCACATCGAAGAAAAAACTATTCCAAGCTGAAAATAAAGAGGTGGTGAACATCTGCACTTCTATTTTGATAACTTCAGAAGATCGAAATATGTACAGGGTGTTGCAAAATTAAACCGACGATGTTTCACAGGTGATAAAAGATGGCACTTCGTGATTTTATAACGGAGGTGTTTATTAGTTTTCGAAATACAGGGTGTTGAAGCTAAGAAATGAAAATAACTCAAAAACGTTGCAAACAGGTGAATTCGAATGACGAAACGTTTTTGCAGTTTTTCAACGTTATTGAAAAGGAAATTTATAAGCTTCTCAATGATCAAGATTTCATCAGTATTGTATGTCTACTCAAAAGTTTGGTCACTTAAAAAATAATATAATGAATATAATATAATAATAAATAAATCTTGGTAGCCATTGTGATCTGTCTATGAAAAATATAAATGAAAAATGTTTGGAATTTCGACACAAATCAATTTGTTCAGATATCAAAATGAATGTAAGTAACTCATTATCATAGTGACTTTGGCTCATGAATGGCAACATATAAAAAAAGAGAAATGCTTCATCAATATTTTTAATAAACAGATTATTCAATTCTAGCCAACTGTTTGAAGCTTAGAGTATAGTTTTTCAAATGGTAATAGTTATACTCACATAAGACGACTCCATGCTGATCTTGAGAATAAGTAGTCTTCAATGACGAAATCTCTGACATTCAAGTTATTTTATAGGTAGACTGACACTCTCTCCAATAATCAGTCTTTTTTTCAAGACATTTTCCATAGTAGGGTATCCGTTTTTTGCTAGTTTAGGTGAAAAAAGGAAGACGTGATCACCAAGAATTCAATCTCGATGGCAAACAGCAAATGGATACTTTCAATAATACATATTAGTGGTTAGCTGGTCACACTTTTTGATTTCATTTGATTACTTTTACCTCGCATTTTGCTATCAAGTTTACCGTGAATTAACAAACCTTTCGAGATCGCGAGAAAGAAATTCAGTTAGGTAGCACATGAACAGACTAAAACTGTGGGTAGAGGGTGATCCAATAAAGTTGGCGCACCAGTAATGTAATGGAAATTGAATTATATTTCGTGACTACCTTTTACTTTTCAAAATTTTTGGATTTTTTCCTCTTCTCTATAAATAAGTACATTGGTTTTTACTTCAATATACTTTTTTAAATTTTACTTGTCTTTGGAAATCATGTTATTACCACTTATTACCCTCTGCCATATATACAGTGTGTTACAATTTGCTTCACTCCACCCTTGTACTTTCGTATTCTTTGGCCGATACAAGACGAGAATGTTTTCTCCTCATAATTTACTACCCAAAATGATCTACTTTGTCGGGTAAATAAAAATTATCAATCACAATTTCTAAGTCTACAGCGATCACAAAAACTCCAGCGAAACTGAAGGAAACGGATTAGGCATTTTTTTACAAAAACTTTGATAATAGCAATCGATTCGGACCAGCCACACATACTCCTATATCAATTTTCAAAACAATATATCATAAGGGGTGTTTTTTATCAACATTACAATTTTTTAATAATTGCATTTTTCAAGTCACCATGTATAATAATCCTTTCAAGAATTTGAATAATACCATTAATACCAGACATGATGGTAGTATCAGGATCAGATCATCTGGCTACAGAGTGAGAAATTCAGGCCAAGAAATAGAGAAGAGTTGCGACGAAAGAGTTTGCAGAGAGATACCACCGGAAGAACTGAGGAGAGTTGATAATAACGTGCGAAAGGGATATGAAAAGTGTATAGAGGATAAAGGAGATATTCCATGGACAAAAAAAAATTGGAACTCGTTAGGAATGATTGCTGATTTAAATTTTTTGATGTTATTTCTTATTAGTATTATTTGGTATTTTCTTCTCCTTTTTATTTCTTGATGAAAAATTCAAATTTATAATGATTTTATTCCCTATTTATCTCACTCCGTGAACAGATGATCTTATACTGACTACCATATCATGCCTGGTATCATTCAAATTCTTATAAGAATTAGTATACACAGTGACTTGGAAAATGCAATTATTAAGAAATTGTAATGTTGATAAAAAACGCCTTTTATGAGATATTGTTTTGAAAATTGTTGTAGGAGTATTTGTGACTAGACCAAATTTATTGCCATTAACATTTTTTTTGTATATAATTGCCTATTCCGTTTTCTTTGATTTTGCTGAAGTTTTTGTGATCGCAGTAGGCCAAGAAATTGTGTTTAATAATTTTTTAAATTGACAAATTAGATAATTTCAAGTAGTAATTTTCTGATCTCAATATTAATAATATCTTCTCAATATTGATTCGTCCCTTTTGCTGTCACAAAAAAAAGTGGAGTATACACGGGGAAAATATAGATTTTAGCTCACGGTTGTGTAGTCTCCTGACGCGTAGCGCAAAAATCTACAACTTTTTTCCCTGGTATAAGAAATAGCTATTACAGTATAAATAGTTCTTTGGTGACCTAACCGGTCGAGAAACGATATTGTTTTGACGTCAGCTGAAAGGATCTATGAGAATAGGTTGAAAAATCTGTTCATATTTCGGGGTCAGCCGGTATATTCGTGAATAATGACGTTTATAAATGAACGTATATCATAATATTCAGAATATTTCGATGACTACTTTACCAATGACAGTTTCTTTTTTATTACTACTTTTGATTTAAGATAGGCACCCATGAAAACAGAAAATCAGGACCTAAAACTGCTCATGATGAAATAACACTTTAGTGAATAGATTAGGGTATAGACGAAAAAACTATTAATTATTTCAAACTAAACTTTTATTACAACTCAATTGCTTAATCTTCATGAATCAAGTATTATAACTTAAATTAAAAGTAAAAAATAATAAGAAGCTAAGTAAATATGCGCATTTAACAGCTTCAGCTTAGACTAGAGAAAATTGGAGAAGGCAAAAGAAAAACAAGTTTGAAGATAATCACTAAATATATAATTATAATGGTGCGTAGGTACGTTTCTTCTAAAGTACGACCAGTAGGAGGATATTTTTATGATTATTGAGCACACCAGAAAACAGCATCGACAATATCTCATAATAATAATTCAGTAATCAGTCAACCTGAAGGCATACAATGTTTCCCAGCTAGAAAGACGGTAATCATCCAAAGAGAGTTTCCAAACAAGTGCGAAAAGTGCCTTGTGCCTTTCTGCAAGGGTTAGAATCAAATTTTTTCAACAAGCGTCAACTTTTCCAAGTGAGAAACAGGTTAGAATGATTGTATTGGAACAGATATTTTTTGAATATATATGGTAACCACGATGTAGGGAAGATGGTGTTGAAACAGCTATGCTTTTCCCTATAATTATTATTCAACCAAACCGCTTTACGTACAGCACTCTTGATGACACTGATTTTAGTTCGGTGAATGCAAGAAGTTCGTTCTTCCCTGTAGAGGGACATCGAAATCATGGAAATTGTCAAGATTGTGAATTTTGTGGTTATGTTTTATTCACGATATATTTTTGATGTCAGTTTTTTAACGTTTGTAGAAAAAAGTTGATCCAAACTCATGCAATAATGCACTTTCCAACACTTGTTGAGATATTAACTTCTTAAAAAATATGGTTGAATCATTTTTATCCTCTGAAAACATCTAGAAAATGCCGAAAATGATTTGCTGCCACCAATCGCCAATAAACTTTACACTGCGTCCATGGTCTGGCACGAATTCAATTAATCACTAAAGAAAGTCCAATGCATCAACTATTTTGTCCAAACACACACATCATTTACCTTCTTTCATGTACAAATTTTGTGATAAACAGATGGAAAAAAGTTAGAGATACTCAAAAATTATTCAAAAAAATGGTGTTCCAAAAAAAATCTTTTGAAATTAAGAGAAACGACACAAAAATGAGTAAAACATTTTGGTATTAGCCTACAATACTGTAGAACCTCTTCCCATATGAGAGAGTTCCGAAAAATTTCACTCAGAAACCAATATTCATCATTTGAATGGCCTCAATTTCTTACTTCCTAATAGTGACATTGTTGTCACTTGTGTTTCATTACCCTGTAAAATTTTGCATCATCTGATAGATCTCTCTCGCAGCAGAACTTGAGTAGCTTGGAGAAAAAATGTCAATCATAACTGGGACACACTGTATATTCTAAATGAGCAAATACTGTACATCGAAAGTTTGAGCTATACAATAAATGCTACCATATAAGTATACCAAAATAATTTCAAAGCTTCTCCCATGCATCTCGAAGTTTAATTCAAATTTTATATTTCATTAATATTTATTTGCCACTTGAAGCAGATATTGTGAAATCGTTATTTTTCAGTGGGGAAGGGGTGAACACTAACCCATCAGTGCTAATATTTCCACTTGTTAAATCTGCCAGAAAATATTTGTTGCTTTACGACTGGTTGTTGTTCTGTTATTGAACAGCTTTACAATAATACATCAAATCACATTTATACTATTTATGTCTGAAGTGAGGGTAAGTACTACTATAATTAGGCTAAATGGGGAGGGGGATAATGCGAATATTATAGTATGTGGCGAATTGTCACATTTAACTGTATGTTAAACTTTGAGGAACCCCATTGACAGTCTTTGATTTCAGCACGTCGTTCTCGTAGGAGAAAACTGTTTCCCTTCCATTTTCGTGGACTCTGAAACAAAAATCAAAACTTCCTGAGGCCACCATCATTTGAAATTGGTGAATATTTTAGATTTAGGGCATACAAAACTACTATTATCATAAAACAACATCGCCGAACGTAAACAAATGATACTGTTAACGCAAATTGGATTTTGAGACTACCAAGGTCAATATCCAATTGATTTATTAGGCATATATTTTTTTATACTTTCATTTCATTAAAAAATATATGAAATCAATCCCGAACATTAATGTATGATAAACAAATACTTTACAACCGGTCGCATATTTACACATCCTACCACCTGCAGTGAAGCTACAGAAGCTAACTGATTCAGGCACCTATGCATATTACTCATATTACTTAGTAAATTGTGTATTCAAATGCTACGCCGGCGACCCGGGTTCAATGCCTGCGGCGGTCGGCTTTTTTTAAAATGTTTTTTGTTAATACTTTCTGGACAGGCATTTACTGTTGAGGCCAATAGTGATGTCTTTTTCAGTGATGTTTTTTTTTCAGGATTCGTAACTTTTCTGTAGACTCCGTCGTGTTCTAACGGGAGCATTTCTTTGGAAATTTATTTTGAGAAATCTAAAAGGAATAAAAAATGTGAAAAAATTCTCTATGCATTTTCTCATCGAGATGGACGTCATATTATTTTTACTAGAAGTGAAATTTCATTTTGCATTCACAGTGCAGATATTCATGACAGTTTCAAATTCCTTCTAGTAAAGTACTTTCTAGTTTAGGTTACTCACCTATATGTATATATACCTGCATATACCTACCTACCATAGGAAAAGAAACCAAATTCTGAATCAATCAATACTAAATTGCTTACTTGATCCTATTTATATCGATTTCAGTACAAGCATCACTGCCTTCCTGTCTATAATATTGAGAAATATATACTGATTGATTGTCTTTATTACCTCAAGAAACATTATTGTTTATAATAGGGATATATATAGGCTGTGTCAAGTCTGTGGTTTGACCAGGCACATACGTTCACTATGAAGTCTGACCATCAGTCTGACCAACCAGCTGTTTGGGAATATCGGTCACGTTTCAAACCTCCCCACACCGTTACCACGTTAACTTCTGGATGGGAGTCAAGTCAGCCATTGACCATTCTGGTATCACCACTGTGGTCAGACGGATGACTTGACACAGCAATAACAAAACATACATATTACATAATAAATCGAAACAATAATAATTGCACAATTATAGTTTCTCATAAAAAAATTATGATAAAATATAAAATGAAAATATTATAATCCATTACAAGTAATCAAATTTTGAATGATTAGTAGATATGGAATTAAAGTTTACTGAGCAGATATTTCTTTAATTTGATTTTAAATTTTTCTGCTTCTTCTATATTTTTCAACTCATTAGGTAAGGAGTGAACTTATGCGGGGAATGAGGTATTTTCAACTTGGCAAAATTGTGTTAGCGCCAGTAGGTTCATCTCTTTCTCCTGTAGACATAGTTGCCAGATTAGCAATTAAATTTTTCGGAAATGGGTACTGGAGATATAGTATCACTGTTTAATTTGATAATTATAACAATTAGTCAATAAAATTTCAACATCATAACTAAAACCAAACTAAGAATATAAAAAGCGTCTTGCTGTTAGATACCTGCATGAAATTGTATCCTAGTTAATTTTGAAACTAATGCAATACTTCAGAGTTCAGAGTAAATTGAATGTTATCAGTAATTTCAAATCATGGCATAAAAAATGATGAATATTGAAAGCAGGATCGAAATAGTAATAAAATAATTTAAACTACAACTATGGAGTCATTCATACATTGCTAACTCGATTTTCAACATTTGATGACAGACATTATTATAATGAATCGAGTAATAAGAGTAATAATGACAGTAGGATGGCGTAATAATCTGACATCCCATCGTCTTGTCAAATTCAACAAGGTAGGTATTTGTTCTACTATGTCTACTAAAGCACACCACTATACTACTTGTGAAAATACAGGCAAAATCAAAAGACTCACCTTACATGGTTCTCATAGTTTTAATCACCTTAATTCTACAAATACACGGAAAAATGAGAATTCACTGTTTTCCATTCTCAACAGTGACTACCATCATGAGTAACCATAACCATAAAATAAGACTTGACACTTGCAGATTGGCTCACACTTATGTGCGGGCTATTCGAATAGATTAGTACAGACCAATCAGAACCATGGAACTTCATTGTTGATAACTAGCGTCTAGAGACAGGGTACTACAATTAATCTTCGCGGTGGGGGAATGCTACAGCAGAAGCAAGTTAAGGAATAATCTGCAATAGTATGATTCATTTTACAACTGAAAAGTGAAATGGCATATAATACCTGGTAAGATTGACTGATATGTGATTGCACGACTTTTTTCCTGTCAATAAAAGTTAGATACAACATTATTTATCATATTTTCACAATCAAAATTATATAAATAAGCTGTTCGTTGATTGAAATTTCTGTCATTGAGTTTTCGATGAAATTCATTATTTCCAAATATGATTACAGCACTCGTCTTCGGCTCGTACTGCAACTTTCATTTTCGTGGGTAATAGCCATCATTATGCGCTCGTTGAATAATATACTATTTCCGTCGACCTTGTATTAACGACTAAGTTTAATGTATATGAAATCGTTCATTAATGACCCCTATTAATGAACGATTTGTCTATTAATGCACGATTATTTTATAGGCAACCAAACATACACCGCATGCATCCATTGTTCATGCTATAACTTAGGGAATCTGCATTTAAATCAAAAATATGGATTTCATCGAAGATTTTCCGTTAACGGGTTCGCCTTTCCAAGTTTCTAACACAATTTTAAGCCCTGTTTTCTAACACAAGGAATTTATTTTCTATGTTGATCATTTCGACAAATGTCAAATGTCACTAATGTCAGTAACAAGGCTACTGGGTGATTCTTATCAGTTTTCGGATGAATGATAAATTCGCGGACTAAGTTTTCTTTATTGCAGGAGAAATGAGAAATATAGTGGACGGAAAAATTTTGTAACCAACTTGTATATTAAAAGGCGATTAATGATCTCGAACATTAACGGGCTCGCTTCGCTCGCACGTTAAAATATCTCGATCATTAATCGCCCTCATTAATACAATAGTTGGTTAAATAACTATTATTTATCAACTAGTTCAGCTTTTTTCGTTGAATTATCTGGTCGACCCTGCCGTCCCTGATGAGCCGTCACTGGGTAGGGATAACGTTTTCGACTTCCCTTCATGCCATAATAGCGAAAAGGGGTTAAATTTGCCGATACTGGAAAGGGCCATTCCTGACATTCCTAGGAAAAAATCGCACTTACTTCTTGGTGGTGATTTTCCTGCCGTTCACGAACCGCGTCGAAGTCGACGTTCGCTTGACGTTCGCATTGACGGGCGCGCCATTGAAGGCGGTGCTCAGCGAGCCGAACGACGTGAATCCCGTCGTCTGGCCGGTGCTGAAGAAATCGTCCATCAGGCCGCCGCCGAACTGCAGTCCGAACGAGGAGAAGAGAGACGCATTGCTGAGGGCGTTCTGCGGTTGCGCGTGGTGCCTGTGCCTCTGTCGTCTGTCTCTTCCGTGCGGATCTGATTTAAAAGAGCCATTTTTTTATTCCCTTCCGCAAAACAGAATGAAAATTAATGGTGTGCTTCCAGAAATTTTCAACATAGCACAGGGAGTGCCTCAGGGTTCCCCAATAGCTCCATTATTATTCAACATTTTTTGCTATGATATCGGCAATCAGCTATCACTGAACGAGAACAATTACATACTCCAGTTTGCTGATGATAACTCAATTATTGCACATGACAAAAATATTCTGGGACTCATGGACAAACTCCAAACTATGGTTACAGCTCTGACTGAATGGTTTTGTAACTGGAGATTAACACTAGATCCAAGAAAATGTAAACTTATGATTTTCCACCATAAAATAAAGGACAATTCCCCAACCATCGATATTCTGAATGAGACCATAAATCCAGTAGCAGAAACTAGATATCTTGGAGTATTACTAGACAATAAACTCAAGTTCCGGAAACATCTCATACAAGTCAAGAAGAAAGCAATTGGAAGGGCCAAACATTTTCGTGGTTTAACTAAAGTAGAACTCATCCTCCAACGACTCCACAGACTCAGCACAAAATTTGCGAAGTCCGTCTACAATATCCCAGTGATCAGTTATTGGGCTGTCGGAAAACTTCATGAGAAAAAGAAAATTTCCAGGAATAACTATTTTTCTGATCCAACTGCAGCAAACAGGATAGCATGCAATAAACTTTTTTTATCAACATTAATGAACTATTATTATTATTATTATTCCCACTCTGTATTTTATATTTTATAAACTGGGCTGAGAGACTTTGGTCAATGGCCTTTTGGGGTATATCCCTAAGATTTTCTCTATCTCTCTCTCTCCCTTCCGCTCTTGTTCTAGAGAACCAATCAGAATTGACCATTTTCAGTGCTTCTCCTGCATTACAGCGATGTTTACAAAAGATTATAGGATTTGCTCTACCAATATAGAAGACGAAGTTACCCACACCACCGACATACACTACAATCTAGCGCTAATTCCATAAGAATGAAGGTAAGCCATTTAAGAGATCGAACTGGTGAAGATGATTCCTGTGCATTTAAGACCTTATACCTTAACCACTCTTGCTTATGTTTCAGAACACCAAGAAACATTACTCGCTGTTATGAAATATGAATCACAGTCTGGGGGTTCATGCGAGATTTTCGGGAGATTTGCGACTACTAGTGGTCTAGATAGAATGTATGTCAGTGACCCACACGCTCAGATCAGCGATAACATTTTTGACATTTAAAACGACAATTTTATTATGTTGGAAGCCAGAATGGCGAAATCTGAAAAAAGTGTAAACTTTTAGCCGTTTAAACGTTATATGGCGGTGATCCGGAAGGTCGCCGAGGTCGAAAAATTGGATTTGGCATCTCTGTACTATCTAAAACAATATAAAAAAAAATAAACCTAGTACCCCAAACCATGTAAGGTGGACCCCTTGTTGATGACCAGGTTACTGGATTATTTATTACAGCGACATTTTTTTGTTTACTAAAAATTATCGGACTTGCTTTACCAACACAGAAGACGAATTGACCCACACCACCGACATACACTACAATCTAGAACGCTATTTCAGGAAGGAAGTAATTCAGTAACCTAGCGCCATTGCTAGGCAGCCAAATTTTTGATCAAGGAACAGAAGATATTATAACCTCTCGCCTACTGACTAGGTATTCGTTTAGAATGACAATGGTTCTACAAAAACCACCAATTACATAGGATGGAGAAGTACAAAAAAAATTACTTACATGGGAATGAGAAGAAATAATAACATTCAACTAATGAATACTTTTTTGTCTCCTGTTATATAAGGTGAATCCATATGAAAACAATCTTGAGAATCCAAAAAGTTCTTATAAACGTTTCAAAATGAATTCTGTAATTAATATCTCGAACCCAATTTGACTGGTTCTGATGAAATAATTTCAAAAGTTTCTTGTTAACTCCGTGAGGTTTCCGTTAGACCTGTTAGAAAGTGAAATTTTGGAGATTGTGGTTAAGTAATCAGATACAATTCATGTCTCCAATTTTTTTCAATTTCCTCTTCTCGTTTTTCATTTAAAAATATGAGTATTATTTCAATACACAGGGTATACATTTGAAAATTTCCCACCCTTAACGTCTCCCTGCCTATTAATAATATGAAAAATTGAAAAGACAGTTCAATTTACGATTAGTTTTGTCCAAATACTAACCTAAAACCATGCATCTTGATCTTAGTGCAGCCAAGTTCTAATAACTTCTGTAAGAATAATAAACTAAGGTACCGTCGGGAAGAGTTATGAACGTCCTTCAAAATGATGTACCACTTGTCCCCCCTTCCCATTAGACATTCTAAAGCCAACATCTACCCCCGTCTAGGGGGTTGAACCATGAGGGCTAGAAATATTCATTCAAAGTGTCCCCGTTGAAAATAAAATTGAACTGTCTTTTCGGTTTTTCATATTAACTACTGAAGGGGAGATATTATCAAGGGCGGGAAGTTTTGAAATTGACACTCTGTATGACTAATAAGATTATTTTCCCCAAACTTTAACTGCGGTTAAAACCTTCAATATTAGAGAGCCTGAAAAAAATATGGATCAATTTTCAGTGACACCTTATTTTGAAAAATTCGTTGAGAGAAATATTGGAAAATATCATATTTTCACTTAGTTTTGAACTTTTCTGGAACGAATCTATTCCGTTTTACAAGAAAATCGCTAATAATATTAAGACGTTTTTGACATACTTTGGAATTAAAACTTGTATTCTTTCTGCATAAAAAAAACTATTGTGAAATGGAAATTACATTAGAATGGTTCGATCGTAAGTAAAACTATAATAAAATCAAATCGGAACATGAAAGTAGGTATGAGTAATCTAGAATCTATCTCACAATAATTTTTAAGAAAACTTCTGCAAACAAATTGTACCAATATGAAATAATAAGAGATTGTGAAATGAGAAACTCAATCGATATTTTTTCACCTTATTTCTACAGATCATGTGAATCACTTCAACATTGCATCACTATGAATGCTTTGAAGCATGATTCATAGTATCCAGGATAACTGTTGATTGTTGCCATACATATTATTCATATATTCATAAATCATGCATAAAATTACCTAACAGTGATTCTGTTTTGTTATAATGTGTGTTAAAGTTGATATTCTGATTATTTTTCATATCATTGAGATAAATTGAATTTATAATATTGAATAGGTCAGGATTAGTTGGATAGGAGTTTTATTACTCTTGACCAAACTTTTCAGAAACCTTGCGAATTTTAGAATTGCTATTGCAATTTTGATTATAGTCTGTATTGAGTCATCATAGAGAATCACTAATAGGGGCAACTGGAGGTATACAAATATTGGCGCGATTTTGAAACGGAGATATAAAAATCATGTTTAAAAATAGAACTCATACTCTCTCATGTTGGAAATCTCATTTAAATGATTCTAATATTTATGATCTTTCACAATATGGTAAAAAATGATATTTTAATTCATCTTTATCAAATTTCTTCGTTTTCCGAAATTATAAAAAATATATGAATCCAAATTAACATGTTTGGTTTTGAAACCAGATCAACGGATTTTTGTCAGATTTTTTCAATGTGTGGCTTATTCCGAACACCAACACAATTTTTCAATATTATTATGATATTATAAGCATCCTCTTCAAATTCAGGGTATTGAAGTTGAGAATAAGAGTTAAGAGAACTATTTTATAAAAATCTTATAAGTAATATATAGTAATGCCTTTGCAATTTTTTTGTTTCATCTTGATAAAAAAAAAAATGATTTCAACTCATTTGGATTTTATCACTGTTAAATTCATTGGAGAAAATGAAATAGATTCATGATGGTAAATTATTTGATTACTTACCGCCAAGGAGATCAAAAACTGTGGCACCGAAAAATTCTCTAAACACATCTTCTGGGTCTCTGAAAGTATAGAATCCGAATCCATTGAAATCAAATTCGTCTTCATGACGGCTTCTACCACGATTGTTTCCATTTATGAGACCTTCTTTGCCATACTGGTCATATACACGCTTCTTTTTTTCTAAAAAAAATATTCTATTTGGTAAACAAATATGTACAATCTGTACAATGCAAGTACACTACAATTCGTTTTGAAAAAAATAACACTCAGCTCGGCAAGCAATTATTGGTGGGTGAATATTTAGCAAACCTTGCAAAATAGAAAATTAACATGCATTAATTAGTTTTGTTAATATAACAATTTAATATTGTATGAGGAATTTTGTTTTTGAATAATAACTTTTTTATTTATATACTGATTTCATGTAAGAACATGAAAATATACAGGGTGCCCCAAAATTGCTGGGACACAGAGCTAAGACCCAACTTATTTATGTAAAAAAATTTACCGTTTGTCCGTGAGACAAGTTCAAAGTTTATTGAGAAAAAAACATATTTTTGTACGCTGTTTAAAAACGAGTGAAACAAATTGAATGAAATTCGACGAAAGTGCATTTCAGATGATATCCCTTCTTTTATTAATCAAAGATTCATGAAAGGAATTGTAGAAGGGTTGAAACCACCCTCACTCCTGACATTTTCTTCAGGACATTCTTAGGGGTTTCTCACATTTTTTAAGCGACATGACTGATTAATTATTTTTATATTGTTACTCTTGTGAAAATTTCGTATTCCGCATACTTCCGAAGGAAAGAAAGTTTGATAAAAATAAAAAAGGTTCTGCTTTCCTAGTGAAAGTTTGATAAAAATAAAAAAGGTTCTACCTTTGTTTGCACTGTCAACTAAACTTTTCATTATAATGACATTGAACATTAACTAGGAATATATATTAGCATTATGTAAGAAATATTTTTTTTTTCCTTCGGAACTATGAGGAACACGAAATTTTCATAAGGTTGACAAAATAAAGCTAATTAATCAGCCATCTCGCTCAGAAAATTTGACAACCATATGACCACACCTAAGAATGATCTGAAAAAAATGTCAGAGGGTCAGGGGAACCCTTTTACCATTTCATCTTGGTTTCTTTGATTACCGAAAGGAGGGTAATCATCTAAAATGCACATTTGTCAAATTTCATCCAATTTGTTTCACTCATTTTTGAACAGTGTACAAAAATGTGTTTTTTAAGTGATTTTGAACTCGTCTCACGGACAAACCGTACATTTTGTTATATAAATAAATTGGGTCCTTTCAACTCATTTTGACTTGTATTACATGTGGTAGCTGTGTCCCAGCAGTTTTGGGACACCCTGTATATTCACGTAACCAGTAAGGAAACGCGTCATTTTTTGAATATGGGATTTTGAGGGACGAGCGGAGCGAGATCCCGCAAAACACAGAGTTACAGAAAATGCGTTTTCTAACGTGAAATATATGGCTTTGGAATGCCTTAAAATAATTTTTTGAGATTTTTTCCATCAATTCATTGTATAATAAATTCAAGCGAATTCTACCGAACAGGCATTTGGATTGGTGATTCCCGACCTTCTTGCGGGTGCCAATATAATACACGATGAACTTGACAATGTTGCCAATTTGGACAGAAAGCTATGATTAGTCGGATATTCATTCCTCGATTTTTTCATTTCCCCAAATGATTCAGATGCTGTTAGATAACTCAACTAATAACTACTTACCTGAAAATTCGTGTTATTAAAATTTTGCATTGCATGATTGATAAGTTAGTTGGTTGATTTCTGTTGGAGAATTATTGAAAATTGTAAGTGAAATGAGCATAATATGATATGAAAATTCTGATTTTCGTCAATATCCAGGAAGAAAGTATTTTAAATCATTATTGTTTAGTTAGGATAATAAAGTTTGAAAAAATCATGTTAATATGTTATTATTGTTTTGTCAAGCACACAAAACTAAACACGACTTTATACCAAAATATCTCTGAGAAAAGGGGTTGTAACTGTAAGAAAAGGGACTGTGACTGTCAAAATGACCTCTATTGGTTCTCGTCGATTTTGTTGAACTGTTCCTATTACAACGATTATCATATACCTTTCGTTTGGAATCTACGGAAAAGTGAAAAAAAAGAACATTTGGAGAATTTTTGAACAATATATTTTCGTATATATTTGTACTTCTTGTACCGAAACTTATATTGTTAAGACGGTTTTGAGATGATATTCAGCATATTTTGGTTTCAAACAATGAAAATAGAACTGCTTACCATCAGATAGTACTTCATAAGCTTCAGATATTTCTTTGAATTTTTTTGTAGCATCGTCCATATTGTCTGGATTTTTGTCGGGGTGCCATTTTAAAGCTAGTTTGCGATAACTGTAATGAAAAATTACAAATTTTCTCAAATTATCACATAAGTAAATAGTATTTTCATAATGAAATGCAAGGATCTCAATAAACACTACTAATCACTATAATAATGTATTCCATGTGTATTAACACCACCCAATCAGGTTCAATGAACTAATCAATGTACTTATATACAGGACGTCAAAATTTAAAATTTCAGAAGGATTCATCAAGATCAAATGCATGGTTTATCCTCAACTTGATGAGATATTGATTTAAAATTCGGTACAGTGCTACAATATAACAAGTCACACCTTTTAAGCAAAAAAACCCAACAAGAAAATAAGTGGAAAGTTATAGAGAAGACTTGAGAGAAGAATGGTAGTTTAAAACACGTTGCTGGGCTCAAATTCACACTAGTGGTATAGGCCGAAGCAAAATCAAAAATTTGCCCCACAAACCATCAGTGACTCTATGTAGCTAAAGTCTACAGAAGATAGAGTACATCGTTGAAATTTTGGATAATTGGAACCCTGGGCCCAAAAACTCGAAAATTTCAGCTCGGTCTTATAGACCGACTCGGCACTTGTGTATATATGTATACCTTTGTACGCCGCGTCGGTCCGATAGCTCGGTCCGGCCTACTTTGGCCTCGGTCTAGTGGTCTAGCACTGTGCAAAATACTCGTCTCGACTTGCTTTTTTGAATGTGTCACTTGTATCCCGATTGTTCTACACTGGTTGGGGGATTGTTCATTTGATGTTTGGTGGATGTGTAAGTGATATTTTTTTAGTTTAGAAAATGACCAGATTTCTAGATCATAAGAATTCTTAGTCAGAGACCGTATGAAAAACGTAGACCTTGCACCAAGTGGTACCAGAGAATAAAGGAAGAATCAGGATAGAGGTCAGCCCCTAATTTGAAAAGAATACGGACCTTCTGTGAAGTATGTCCTGAAGAACCTCTATTCAGTTGTATTTCTTGAATAAATTTTGTTACATTTCATCCACTGAATAAACGTTTATTTCACAGTATCGGCCTACCAAACATCCTGTGTTCATACTGATTTGCCTACCACACCGACTCGGTCTGTGTGTCTGATGATGATATTTTTCAATGCAAAAGTGTCAGTGAAGCCGTCTCTGTCACTCTCCGCGATATTATTGACAATATTCAGACCGACGGCTTCAGGATCAGTGATGCCGACCTTTCAAATACGTTTTCCCTACACAGACCTATAAAATTCCCTACATTGGGAAAAAAATCCCTACCTGTCATTTAAAATCAAATGAACCTTAAGATTTATTGGATTTAATAATAATAATAATAATAAAGCGGCTTTATTCATCATTATAATTTCTACATACAAAATAGAGAACAGTGAAATAAGAAGAACAAATGATGAAAAGGCGAAGTGTCAGCTATATAGCTGTTTTTCAACTTAACCAGCAGACATTTTTGAAAACACAATTCTACTATGTCCAAATGTCACTGTCACTAGTGTCACCTATCATAAACAAGTCAAACCAGAGGCACTTATAGAAATAATCATCGCAGTGTCATCAAATTACCTTGGCGACCGCAATTAATCGACCGCTCTCTGAACTGACAGACTGCATCTGCTTTCTTAAATTCGCAGTTTTCATACGTTAGATCGTCGCTGGGGCTGTCTAGCCACAAGAACAGTCAAAAAATCCCTACAATTCCGTATTCTCGAATAATCTGTCCCTACATCCCTACACACCCTAAATTCAGCAAATTATTCCTACATGTAGGGAATATCCCTACAGGTTGGCACCACTGTTCAGGAGTCCTTCAAATGACCCGGTCTCATAGGCCGAGTCGGCCTGGTGTATCAACCTTATTCCCAGTCTATGAGACCGAGGCGGCAAGTCAGGATATTTTTTTCTCGGTCCTATAGACCGACATGGCAGTCAAGGTGTTAATAGACACTGACCCCTCTTTTTTTAGCATCTGCACCAGGGACTACCTATAGCTATTTCTTTGTGATAATCATTTTTTCATTATTCATTTCAGTCAGTGGTGACTCCTGAATTCACTTATTTCAGTAATAATTTGAAAAGTATTGGTCCGTTAGCCACATAGCACCAATGGACCAATATTGATTGACTGTCTTTACTACCCCAAGAAACATATTTGTTCATAATAGGGATACAAGAACACATATAAATAATTAATCCCACTCAGTGGAAACAAATTCACACTTTCTCTCAAGATGAAAGTTATAACATTCCAATTCTGAGCAATCAAATCATTCCCATTATTTTTCAATGAAATTGCCTGACCAGGTATTTTTTAAGATTGACTTAGAATTTTCCTACATCATGTATCATGTCATGTATATTTTTCAATTCATTGGGTAATGAATTGTATAAAATTATTCCATTATGAAATACAGATTGTGTGGCAATGTTTGCCTAGATCCTTCCTAGAATGTATCAGCTATCAAGTAATGCTCCCATAACTATTGACTTCATGAAAAGCTAAGTTTGATATTTTGAATTTATTCCTGTCAAAATTAATAAAACAACATATTTTGAGTTTATACAATGAAATCAGATTTGCAAATCGTCTAGGTTTGTATAAATTTACCGTTGGTTCTAGAAAATTTTGATGAAAAATGCACTTAATTGATTTGTTTTGTAATTTCATAAGTGGTTTTAGGCTTGAAATATTTGTGCTCCCCCAATGTGCTTTTCTAATTATTATTATTATTTAAGAAACAAATCATTTCCCAAAAAATATATCTAAACTGTTTAAAATTCTAAATTCTAACCTTTGACAACTTGTAACAACCCATGTTGATAGAAAAGTAACATTATTCTTAAAAGATTCTTTAAATGGATTGTCCTCCATTTCAAAAACACCTTGTTTAAGGGAGCATGTATAATGCTCTTAGATTAATACACCTTTAAACATGTAAGTAAATGCAGATATATTTCATTTTTAGATAAGGAATGAAGTTAGTAGGTTATGCTTATATGGAGCAATTATAGTAATGGTTTATTCAGAAGATAATATGGAATATAGGAGATAAAGAAGAACCATTGAAAAAGTTAACAGCTTTTCCATTATATCATCAAACAAAGAACAAATGAGTGGAGCTAGTAGATTGATACTTACGCTTTCTTTATTTCAGCTGTGGTTGCAGTTCTAGAAACCTCAAGGACTCTGTAGTAGTCCACCATGTTGGTGCTGACAGAATCTATGTGACCCAGCTTGCAAAAATTTCTTCCTTCAAAATAATTTAATTTTGCTACCAACTATATAGATTTGGTACACCTAATTAATTAATATTATCTACTATTATTGAGAGAAAAGCAAGATTTTTTATATTAAAAAACTCCCAATAAAAAGATATCTGATATCTGCAATTTGTGACTTTCATACTATCAAAATAGGGCTGAGTAATGATGGTAAAAAGAGGGGCACCTACCTATTGTTCAATTTTGAAAGAAGCCTGATATTTAAGTGCCTTCCATGAAATTACTGATATAGGTATGTTACTCAGATCTTGATTTAGATAAGAGTTGAGATCTCTATTGTGTTTTGTAAATACCTACATGTAAAATATTACTGTGCTGCATCAATATAGGTACCACCTACCTACAGTTTGAAATTATATTATTTCAGAATTAAAAATTAAATAAATGAAACATAAATGAAGAACTCCCACTTAATTATGTAGATTTTCAGTCTTCAGTTTTATTTTAATATTCAGTGTAGGTAGAAAACATTATAGCCAGTTTCAACGTGATTTTTAGGTAGGAAACCCACACTTTTAATTCAAGGTCAGGTCATTGATTTTCACAAAACTAACAAAAGTTAGGGTTCAAAGTAGGTTCAACTCAAAGATATTAATCATTACAAATATTGAAGGAAATGTCAGTCACAACAACTGCAACTACCTGTCCTGTTCAGTGTTGATAAATAGATAATTTATTCACAATAGATAGTTTGATAACAGGTAGTTTTTTGTTAAAATAAAGAACAATGTAGCAGATAATTATGTGGAAAAACTTAATCTATAAATGACACCAAATTGAATGAAAACTGACATGAAATATGATGAGATTACCTGATATGGAATGAAAGTCCAACGAGAACACTAGCTAATCAATTTTTTTTCAATTCACCATGTTCCACTTCCTGAAATTGTTCATGCTCGACAGTATGTGCAGCTCCCTTTAAATGAATGAAAATGTGCGCAATTTTTTATACAAATAATAATTGCTTTTATAATAATTGGATTGAAGAAAATTTTCCTTTACCTTATAATCTTCAATACTCCAGAAAAATCACATAATTAATAATTCTATTTGACTTCTCACTTCACTTATCACTACCACACCACACAAGAATCAAAATTCAAGAATATGACATGTGACAATGACAGATGACTTCGACCGCCATATTGGTTTGACAAGTTTCGTATTATTTTTTCCCTACGTCGGCATCAACGCCTATTGGTCGATCCGCTACTGACAGTACTGACAGAACTGACAAAAAAGTTTTTGTTTTGAATTTGTATTTTGTAAACTTTGTATAAACACATGTTTATAAACCATTTTTGAATAATATGTATATTATATTAAATGTAGAGTTTCCTACCTGGTGATAAATACAAAAATGTCGCGAGCTAATAAATCAAAGAAAGATTCAGTGAAAACTAATTTGCAACAACCTGCCAACACCTGGGTTTTTTTATGTAAAGGTAAACTTTGAACAACTTCTCCAGAAATTATTCAATTAGAAAAGTCGAATGTTGAATCCAAAACCAGGAAGCTATATTTTTAATTTCGTATGTTTACAATTGTAGGTGAAGGTTTAAACATTCCAGAAGAAGGTGAAAACAAAACTCCAGATATTGTTTCACTCAGACATCCACAGTCTGGAGAACCAGCATTTTTTTTGTTCACCTCAGATAATAGGAGTGTTTATGAAATTCTAAATTTTGATGAAGATAAGAGGTCATGGTTCATTGATGAATTTGTTAAAAGTGATGGAAAAATGTACCTTTCTACTCCATTTGACCCTATATTCCTAAGTAAGTTTCATGACTTGTATATTATATAGTATAGTTGCAAAACATTTCAAAATGAAACATAATCAACTAGACTTTGTATATTATATTCCAAAAAATGTGTATGTGAACACAATAATATTGTTTCAGTTATTCCATATCTTCAAAAACATTGTTGCTCTCATGCCATCCCATTGGATAATCTTTTGAGGGATGATGACTACCCTGAAACTGGTAGACTTCTAAAATGTAGTGGTCTGAAATGTTTGACAGCTATTGCTGACAGAAAGGTAAAATACCCTGTCTTGAAATGATGAAAGCTAGTCCCATATGTCCCATAGTTGATAAGTCAAGTGCAGATAAGTTTTTTATATTGGCAGACCTGCTCAACATTACTGTTTTATTTTCACAGGGTTGTGAAGACTTGAATGCATACAAATACAATGAAGAAAAAACTCTTTCTTGGCTGCAGGAGAAAACAGAACGTGTTGCAAGAGTATTGAATCAAAATAGAATATGTGGCTCTGGAAGTGGAGCTATTTCAGCCACATTCATTAAGGCCTCAAGAAATGAAGAATCTGATGATGGAGTCTATTTGAAGTATGCCCATGGAATTGTATCTGAATATCTTTCAGATGAACTGAGCAAACAATTATCAAAGCATCTGCATCTTCCTGAAGATGATGAACTCCAAAATAGTGCAAAAAGAAAAAGTAGTTCACTATTAGGTCCTGAACAGAAAAAAGCTAAGCTGGAAAAGGACACCAGTACAGTTATTGCAACATCAGAACCAAAAATGATGGAAGCAAAACCAGCAAAAACTGCCATAACAACTACCAAAGACAAAGCAAGGGCAAAAGCTGCTAGTGGTAACAAAACCATCAGTTCTTTTTTCAATAAGAAATAATACTGACATTCTGTACTATATTTTTTAATTAGGATTAATGCTCAAACATTTTTTTGAATAATTTTAGTGTGGAGAGATTGGAAAACAGGTCTGATTTCATGTCCATCTTTTATTTCATTATATACTTATTCTGACCATGGAGAAATACACCTTTTGATAATGGAAAATATTTTCAGTTAATGTCAAAAATGCTTGCAAATTTTATGAATGATTCTCTAAATCTTATATAATATAGATTTACAAAAAATTTAAATATTTTTGGAAAATCTTAAAAGTTATGTTTCTGGCTTCATATAATTGAATTGATCTCTGATTATCAACCTATACTTGTTTTTTTTCTCAATATACCAATTAATAGAGGTCTCTGAGGTCTAGATCTTCAGGAGTATTAGGAATTATCATTCACTTTTTTGAGCTTGATTCGAAATACTTTTCATGAATAGAAATATACCTGAATGTCCCATTGAAAAAATTATAAGCATTTCATATATTCCTTCAGATGGAACATTGAATATATCATTTAATAATATATTCAATTATGACTATTATAATAAGAAAAAACAAAATACACAAAGTCGGTCGACCACAAATTATATTACACAATTACTAGTGTGACTAGTTTCGGCTAAACAGCCATCTTCAGACACAAATTGAATAAAGTACCTGTGAGAGATGAAATTACAGACGAACAATAAGTTTGCTGAGGAAAAAACATACCTGCTATAGGCCATGTGGTGATCACAAAATCAACAAATAAAAATCAAGCGGTTATTTCAACGTAAATAATCAGTCCGGTAAGGGGGTGATTAAATTTTTATAACGGCTGAACAGCCAAAAGAACCTTATAATCATGAGGTTCAACATTGGCACGAAAAAAATTCAGATATTTAAATTCACTCAACTGAGTTATTATAAGAGCCAGAGAGTACTATTTCTGAATATTGTTTCCATCAGCTGCTCTCGGCATGTTGACATATATATTATTGGGACAGCTCAATGGTTTGGGTGTATCACCTACATGGAAGACGTGTGGAAATACAACCAATAAAATTTTGCTCAGTTTCATTCCCTTATCTGACGACACAATAACTTCTTGGTGTTATTATTTCACAATATATGTCATCTTCCATGAAATGTCAAATTTCAAGCAATGATAGCTGGTTACAAGCCGAAGAAATAAAAATGTTGCTATTATCTGTTACAGCCGTAGAAAACGATATAACTCGCACGGAATGATAATTTCCCACTCCTATGATTTGCAGCATTCGCCTACGGCTCCTGCTGCAAACTTTAGTATGTGCTCCTCGAACAATATTCCTATTTTTTGTTGGTACCCTACTATGCTTATGTAAAGAATGCCTCAGTTTCAATGTTCCCCTGAAGATGCTAACATAGATAGCGAAACACGTGTTGAGGCGTTTAAAAAATCGGGTTCGTCGTCGGCTCTAGAAATGGCGCGTGTTTGAAAGACCCTAATATCCACTTCTTTCAGTATACTATTCTGGTCCAGGAGTTTTTGAAATAAGTGCACATATTCATCAGGTGACGTCATAATTTCCACCGTGTAGAAATTTGGGTGGAAAAAGGGGTCTCACCCCAAATTTTATTTTGATCCCAAAATGTTTTTTATTGGTGTCATTCGATAGTATACGACGTTAGGGGTGGGCAAATTTATCGATAATATCGATGATTATTGATGAAATTTTCGATGATTTTCAATAATTCTCAAAATATCCGTTGATTGTGATTGTTAATTTTAATCGCCCACTCCCATAGTCCATTCCACCTAAGAAGACAGCATTGGAAGTCATAGGGGAGCGTTGATCTTCGCTTTCATTGGTTAATATTGGAGGCAATATTACACTTGCTTATTATGACTCAACGAGGTGGCGTAAAGGTTGAAGTTTTTTTCAAATGTTTACATCATACAATTTAGATTATTTTTCGTACATTAAAATATTACAATCATTTTTGGATTAGTCGTCATATATTTATTTCGTCAGTGTAAACATTCCTTCGTAACACACCCAATGATCCTTTTCAGGTACCTACTGAATGCAAAAAATATCGATAGTATCGATAATTCATAGAAAATCATCGATAATATCGATAACTTCGATAATATCGATACAATGTGATTATCGATAATCAAAAATCACTATCGCCCACCCCTATAGTATACGTCAAGCTTTCTTTAATGGGTTTGAGCTCAGATCATTCTAAGGGTTTGGGAGTTTGAGATATTCGTTATTTATTTC